TCGGCAAAAACCAATAGCTCTAAGTACCTGCCATGACGTGGCCAAAACATGCGTTTCTGGGCGTTTTGGAGCAGGCACCGAGAACGCGTTTGACGTGTTTTTTCGACCTTCTGACAAATTGTTTTCAATGAGACCCGGGGGGATCCTTAGTTCGTCGAGTGAAGAAGGGATGGGGCTCTTAAAATCAAAAATTTATCTGTGATTTTCAAAAAAATGGATGTCAATTGGTTAAACTTGTGCAAAACTGGTGAAAGCAAGCGTTTAAAAAGTAATTGGGTCATTTTTTTCAAAAATCACATATAACTTTTGATTTTAAGAGCCCCATCCCTTCTTCACTCGACGAACTAAGGATCCCCCCGGGTCTCATTGAAAAATATTTGTCAGAAGGTTGAAAACACACGTCAAACGCGTTCTCGGTGCCTGCTCCAAAACGCCCAGAAACGCATGTTTTGGCCACGTCATGGCAGGTACTTAGAGTCTTAGAGCTATTGGTTTTTGCCGACTAAAGCTTACGAGGTACCTTTTGATGTATCCTTTCATGTGCAAAAGACGGATCTCAAAAAGATGGAGCGAAGCATGAGATATGCATGAAGACGTCTTCACATTTCTGTCCCACGGGAAATAGGGTTTTGATTCTGCGAATAAGGGAATTTCGACCTTAAATATTATGTGCACTAGCTCGATCCGCTTATTACGGCAGGTGACCGCGCCAAGTGGCATTACCGCTTGACAGCAACTTGAACTCATTGGGCGAACGCCGCACCTCCCCAGCAGCTTCCGCGTGACCGAGTACTGTCGACCTCAGGCGAAGTTCAAACTTGGGCGGTGGTGATTCATGAACCTGTCACGGTGCTCTGGTATGCCAATCTCATACGCAGCACAGGACCATTGGCATTGGCATGGCCCCGCGTCGCCGTGAAGTTGGCTCATCTCTTCAGCATCAGGCTCTCATGTGCTTGTTTGGCCCGGGTGAACTCTTTGCCCAGAGCTTTTGTACGTGCCAGACCAGCTGGGGAACCTACCGGGGATTCAGGTGGAGCAGTGCGCAAACACGGAGTGGCGGTACATAAAGAATGGCTTCGCTGTCGACATCAGGTCAGTCGATTGCAATGCCAGTGATGAGTTCGGAAACGTCAGATAGCAAGGATGCCCATCGCGAGTCCATCAGCGACGCCCATAGTGGGCATGAAAATGTTGGAGTGCCGTGCTCCTCCGGGGAGCTGTCCTCGGCTCCAGGGTCCCCTGCTGCCAAGGAGGTGGCCTGGAGCGAGGAGGAGGAGGAGGAGGAGGAGAAGGTGTGCAGAGTATGCTGCTGCCAAGAACCGGATCCCGCGGGTGAGGAGGCGCTGGCTGTGCTCGAGATCACTAGCCACATCCCCCTCCTAGAAGAGCAATTCGAGGAGGCAAGGCGTAGACGGAGCTTGAGTCGAGACTCCGTCAAGGGCTTGAGACCCACCGATTCTTTTGCTGCCATTGTCGAGCGACCCGCCCCTGCAAGGGGCAGCTTCCGAGGTCTTGCTGCGGACCTTGCAAGGCGGATATTCCAGAAGGAGGAGGGGCCGGCGGCAGGCGATGGAGGCCCTGCTCTGCGCAGAGCCAGCAGCCTGTCCTGCGGGGTGCCCCAGCAAGGCGTCCTCAGGAGTTGGTCGCTGCCACGACCAGGCGCGGAACACGGCGTCGACTTGGAACAGGGGGTAAAGCCTTCGGAACGACTGCCCAAGCAGACAGCAAAGCCAACCCCGGAGGCAATACAAGACGACATACAGCAGACCGGCAGCGTTGGCCAGCAGGCAGCAGAGGCAGCGGCTCCGCCTGGGCCCATGGCGTCGGCGCCTGCCAGTGAAGCTCCTGCAGGGGATCCCCCGGCGGAGGTGGTGCCTGGCATGCCCCGCGGCCGCAGCCAGCTGCTGCAGTTGGGGTGCCACTGCCAGGGGGACCTGGCGCTTTGCCACTACGCGTGCTTTCTGCGCTGGGTCGTCTCGCGCGGGCCGTCTGCCGCCCACTGCGACAACCAGTGCGAAATCTGTGGCCAGGTAGGTGGCCGGGATCACCAGGAGCTCAGGGGCCATCGCAGCAGCTTGGCTCTTTGGAAGTCCCGGGTATGTGCCAGAAAGTTCAGTTCGTGCCGGCTTTGATAAGGGGACTCTGGCTTGGTCTGTGTGCAGCCCGCAACCAGCGTGAGCCAGGCCGACATCAACACCATCAATTCAGCACTACGTCATCGGCGGCGGTTGACGGCCGGGCAGCGAGAAGGACGAAGCGCCCCCGTGGAGTTGCTTGTCCCTGAACTAGCAGGCGGCGACCCCAGTGTGGCGGAGAGCGAGGCAGATGCGCGCGCCCTGATTGGCGCTGCTGCCTGGTTTGACCCCCTGAACCGCGGGGGTGGGGACGCTCGCAGCTTTGGGCGTACGCTGCAGGTGGACCGCGCTCATCCGGCGCCCGCGGAAGTATCGATGTTGACGCACAGCACGCGGTGGGCGGTGGAGATTCTCGGGGTGGCGCTGGCCACCGCACTGCTCACGCTCACGCTGAGCCGCCTCTTTGTGGATGTGCTCCCACAGGTAAGCAGCCGCTGGGGCAGCGAGGCACCGGCGGGCCGGGCTCGGGCGTGCATCGCTCACAGGATGCATGTGCATGCCTTCCGACATGGCTTGAGCACACTCTGTATTCTACGGACATGATCATCAGAGCACACTGGCCTGTATCCAGCTGGCGCAGTTGGCAGAGCCGGGTCAGGGTGCCCTTCCCCATCTGGAGACCTGTGCTTTGCTGAAGAGCGGTCCCACGTTTTTGCAGAACCAAGTACGATTCGGACTTCACTACATCCTGTCCGCCATCATTGCATTCGTGGCCGTGATCTGGTTCCGTGTTGTGAGTCACTCCGTCCAAATTTACTCATTGATTGGATTGGCCGTGAGCACATCCTCACAAATGCTTCTGGTAAAAGTATCTGCGATTCTTTCTGCTTGCCAGGGGCTCTAGGGCATCCAGTTTTTGGTAAAATTGGTAGCTTGTTGTTCCATCAAATGCTTGAACCAGGCGTTAAATGTCTCTGCATCCTTGCTTTCCTTTCTTTTACAGGTGGCCATCCCCCGGTTGCGCTCTGGCCCTGCCCGTAGTGGGGCGATTGTAATGTGCATATGGCTTATGGTCCTTGGCGTCTGGTTTAGTGGAACCAAGCCCCCAGATAGGACCTCAGGCTCTGGCCGTGGTCCGTGAGGTCTTCTTCTCTTTGCCATTTAGGCATAAAAAGGTCCGAGAAGTACTGTACACGTTGCGAGTAAGGAGAAACTCATAAAGGTGTTATAGGTCAAGGAGCTTGTCTGTCGCTCAAGCTAACCCGTCCTACTCGGGCAAGTTGACCAAGCGCGGACAGAGTCTGAGAAACGAATCCGACGTGGATCCGCCATTGAAGACAACATAAAAAGGCAACAAGTCCACAGGATCCAAATTGGAGCAGCTTATGAGTAGCTCCTTGTTTATATTTATACCACCGCATACACAGTTGACGGACAACTTCCCGAAGGTAGAGCAAGCAAATACATACAGATGAGGCTGGCCGTCAGATCAGCAGACTTTTTAGATTCAATCGACGTTTACCTGCTACTGCACAAATGTACAGGCCATCATGGTCTGTCTATGAGGGACGCACAACAGATTCCCGGCCTGTCATGAAGTTGATTGACCTCAGCCTGCACCGCACATGCACGTGAGTCAATCTTCGATTGCACTTCAACACTAGGCATGTAGGAATGAACCGGAATACGATACCGATTGTCATTTTCTGAACAACGTCGGACATGCATCAGATGCGAACAATTATATGGGTGCGTAAGGTGCATCTGGTGAGAGAATCGTGGCCGGACACTCCATGCAAACTTACACATCGACGCGGAACTCATCATGGTGCAGTGTCATGTTGAAGCGCAAGCTTGCCTCCGACGCAATCTGGTTGCGCAATTTATCATGCGCGTTTCGCTAGCTAGACCCGCTGATCTGTCCTTACAATTGAGAACTGCAAGCTAGCCTTATCACCGTGCCACGAGCGATCGTCTGGGAATCTACATGTAGCCTCATCATGAGTGCAACGTACACAAGGTCATGAATAATATGCATGGGCATCATCGCACGGCGTGCATTTAGTGCGCTGCATCTCGATCATATGATCGTAATGGCCATCGGGATAAATGTTCCAGTGTCAGGGCAAGACCATTCAGAAAGACGAGCGATCCATGTCGTTTGATGTTGAGCACGTTGGCTGAACTTGTAGGCCTTCGTAGTCCAAGCGAAAACGTTGGATGACTGCATCATGCGTTTTATCGGACTGACGCCAAAAGGATTGACACCAGAAGGTCTTCTGGCTACAGCGAATGACCGCAGTCACGTGCTCAGGCCGTCGGAGTGAGGGCTCGACCCTCCTGCAATGGGGAGCCTTGAACTTTTTAATGTCGAGCAAAGAGCAGATCGGCTAGTCAGACTCCTGACTGCAAAGGTGTCCGGCAAGAAAAAGCAAGGCTCGCTTTTCTCCGGTAAACATTCTGAATAGTCCTGCACACGTTCACTGGCTGCATGAGAGGGCCACGCAATCCAACGATCCGTTACGGGCATGAACAAGGAACAGCAGACTTGCCAGCAGCCCAGCTCATGTGTTGTTCGCGCCCATGCGACTCAAGCCTCCCCCGTCTGCACTTGGAATGCATATCTTTTTGCACTATGAACCATCAGGAAGGACACAAAGTGCAGGCAATCTCACCTGGACGCTTCAGTGCTTCTGCACCGGATCCAGGACCGCAGTTGCCCTTCCCTTGTCTTGAGCGCGCTTACTCGTAAAACATCGTTACGGGTCGTCGTCTGACTCCGTGACCTGGTCCTGTTCAAACCTTCCCCCTACCCCGACCTCTCCTCCCTTCTCGTCGTCGTCGTCTGAGTCCTCCAGCTCGTCCTTTTCGAAGGTCAAGCTCCGTTCCCCCAGGGCCCCACCCCACAGAGCCCCCACCTTTCGCAGAACACTAGCGTTTCCCGCTGTCGAGTTGCCCTCAGCTATTCCCAGCTGCACAGGACTGAGGGACGATGTCCAACACGCAGGAGTGTGGGAGCTTCCGTTCCGCCCCAAGCTTACCCCAGCTGTTGCCTTGCTCGGCCTGCCATCCACCCCTGCCGTAGCTACGACAGCCCCTTCCCCCCGCGCCTCCTCCCCCTGTTCTTCGTCCGACTCGGTCAGCTCGTCCTGCTCCATCAGAAACCCCCGAATGAGGTCCTGCGCTGCGTGCCCCTCGTGCTCGCCCCCCCCCTCCTCGCCCCCGCTCCCCGCCGCGTCCTCGTCCGAGTCGGTCAGCTCGTCTCGCTCCATCTCCACGTCGCGCACCGGCGCTGCGCGGCTCCTGCGGCCTCCCTCCGGACTGCCGCCCTGCGTGCCGCGCTCCGCCACATGGTCCTCGTCGTCCGAGTCTGTGAGCTCGTCCCGCTCCATCTCCACTGCGGGCATCCCGGCACCCGGCGCGTCCCGTCCGCCCGGGGCTACTTCGAACGAGCTTCTCAGGTCCTGCTCCGAACCGCCATACTCCTGCCGTCTCCCCGTTACCACGTGTTCCTCGACCTCCTGCACTTGCAGGGTGCTCGTATTAACTGGTAGCCTCCCTCCTGCCTGCGCCCCGGTGCTCGCATGGGGCAGGCCATTGCGTTGCCACGTGTCCTCTTCGTCGGAGTCGGTCAGCTCGTCCCTATCCATTGCGAGCATCGCCCCCCTCTGCCGTGCCTCTTCGCTACTCCAGGCGGCCCCCAGACTTCCGTTCCCGGCAGTCCAACGAAGGGGATCTGTGCCTGCCAGCGGATGCGCGCTCGCCCCTGGGCCAGGCTGCACTGGCGCTCGGACAGGCGCTGCCTCCGTCCCCTGCCCACGTACGGGCGGGAATGGTTGCTGGGGCAGGCTGCCCAGGGGCCGGACCTGGTGCAGCAGCCCCGCCGGACCCCGTGGCGGGAGCGGCATCAGGGGAGGCGGCCTTGGTCCGGCCCAAGTGTGAATGGGGGGCACGGACTGGCCTAACTGCCCGCCACCAGCGCCAATGATAGTAGCAGGCCGGCTCCCCTGGTTGCCATGCCCAGTTGCAATATGCGTGACGCGCGCTGCTCCAGCTGGCGGCTCCCCGTTTCCCCTTGCCCCCGGCAGCCTGTGCACGGTCACCCCCGGTGGCCGCTGCCCCGAGGGTGGCCCCTGTCCGCCTCCCGCTGTGCTGCCGTTGGCCGCCCCCCTCTCCGCAGCGGCTGCTTCCTGTGCGGCCCTCTGGCCCTCCTGCGCGCTGCGCTTCTCGGCGTCTCTGGCCGCCTGCTTGCGCCGCCGCTCCTCCGCCTCCCGCGCCTTCTGCTGCGCTTTCACCGCCTTGGGCTGCCGCTGCCGCGTCTTCCACGGCTTGGGGCTGGCGGGCGCGCCCGCGAGAGGGGCTGCAGGCGTCGCGCGGGGCGGGGCTTGACCTACTGGAGCGGCGACTGGCATCGCCACTCTTTCTAAGCCCGCTGCGTGCTTGGAAGTGTCAATCTGTGCACGCGGGCTACTGTGCCTGGTCTCTTGGGCCGAGCCAGGGCGTGTCTGCTGTGGTATCCCTACTGTACCTACGGGCGGTGGCGGTCTAGTGCTGTCGGTGGGGGCTGTGCGGCCCCCACTGCTGGCAGAGGGGGCGGGGAGGGATGCTGGGGCCTCTGGCCGCGGCCCTGCGTTGGAAAGCGGCGGCTCCTCCCCGGATGCCGTCTGCTGTGGGAGGGGCGTACTCGCTGCTGTAGGCCGGGGCACCTGCTGGGGCCCCTGCCCCCGATCCGTCGGACCCCCTCGAGCTGCGGTACGTGTCGGAACGGGCGACTTGGGGACGGGCCTCCGCTGGACGGCCGTCCCCGCGCCTTTGGCCGGGGGTCCGGCCGACGGCCCTGCAGGCCGTGGCCCATCGTGCGGCACAGCAGCCACGGGCGTGGCCCTCCTGGCCTGAGGCCGGATGACGACTGTGCGCGCGGCTGGACCGTTGGATGCAGGGGCGGAGGGGTTGTGGTGGGCTGTGGGGAGGGGTGGTCCGCCTGCCGCAGGCGGGTGGGCCATGGGAGCGGGAACAGGGACGGAGGGATGGACCGGTTTGTGGGCAACAGCCGCTGCTGGAGTTTGAAGCATGGGCCTGGGCGCCAGAAAGGGCAGTGCTTGGGTGGCGAGGGGCCGCAGAGGCGGGCGTGCCAACGGGCGGTGTGCACCATTTGTGGGGAGCAGAGATTGGCCCCTGCCCGGAGCAGGACCTCCCTTGCTCCTTTTCGCGGGGGGCTGCTGAGCGGCCAGACCGGTCATCCAGAACGGCCGAGTAGGAGCGGCGGGGGGCGGAGCCGCCGGGGCCCCTGGCGGGTGTTGAAAGACGGCTGGTTCAGGTTGCGCAGGCGGTGCTTGGGCGACGGCTTCTGCCAGGAAGAGGCCCCGCACGGCAGGCCGGGGAACCGCCTCGCCTCGCTCCGGGGGGGTGTCCGACTCGGTGCCGCTGCTGTCGCGGTCGGCCTCGGCGGGGCGCAGTGGGCCGTCGGTGGCCAGCTCGCGCAGCTCAGCCGCAGCCTCCTGGCGGGCGCGCTGCGTGGCCAGGCGCTGCCGCTGCTTCTTGCGCCGCTCATTTCGGATTTGGCTGCGAGGAGAAAAGGTGAGTTCATCAGCCCTGCCTCCTAGTAGCTGGGAGTTCAGGAGACGCCAATGTCTGGACATGTGTAACAGGATCGCCGCTCTTTGTTGGACTGGGCGCAAGCCACCATCAGCTGAAGGTGGTTCTTCCGCTGCACCCTGCAGGCCCGGCATGAGGGATTAACCGAAGATGCGACGACAGAGGAGGTTGCGCCTGACCTGGCCTTCCAGGTTTTCGGCTTGAGGCCGCACGCCTGGCGGTACAGCTTGGGCAGCAGGGCGGGGTCCGCGCGCGGCACGTACGCGGCCAGCTGCAGCCAGTCGTAGCCATGGTGCAAGATGCCCTCGTCCACGAAGAACTTCTCCTGCGCGCTCAGGGGGGCGGTCTGCAGCACGCCACGAGCCCGGTCAGACAGCGCAGCCAGGCCGGGCAAGGGTGGAGTGCACAGGACACAGCGGGACGAGGGGATGCGCCGATTTAGGCAATGCTTACGCCCTCGAGCTGCAGAAGGACGCCCCGGGTGGAGGGTGCCCGGAAGCCTGCCCCATACGAGGGCCTCTACTGACGGCGTGAGGCCGGCGCTGCCTCACCTTGGAGTGGCGCATCTGCTTGACGACGTTGTCGGGCGCGTTGCTGCTGCAGCGGTTCTTCACGCGCACCACGATCTGGTGCACGCTCTTGGTGGGCAGGAAGCGCTGCCGGATGCGCTCCCAGTCGCTGTTGAACTCTTGCATGCCCAGCGCCAGCAGCCTGCGGCGCACCAAGAGGAGGAAAAAACGGTCAGGCCCCTCTTTCGTGGAGTATCTAGCCTAAAATGACCTCGCACTCGCTCCGACTCGTCCTGTGCCATATCCGTCTCTCCCATGACAGCAAACCGACAAGAGCACGCAGCCGCAGCGATTGAAAACCTGCAAGCCAGGAGGTTCTTTGTCGGTGGCCGTGCACAAGCGCCCAGGCACGCTGGCTCACTCGTCTTCCGCGTCCGAGAAGACGCGCAGGCGCGCGGTGGGCGCGGGCTCGCGGGGGAAGAGCGCGGGGTTGAAGGCGGGGTGGAAGAGGTCCTGCACCAGGTCCGACACGATGGGCGCCACCAGCGCCATCGCCACCAGCGTCGGCTTCGCGGCCTTCAGCAGCTCCTCGCCAATGGCGCCCTCCACGCCCCGCCTGCCACGGGGCGCCAGCACGCTGCCTTTCGGAGCCTGCCCGTCCACCAAAGCAGTGTCCGTACTGGGTCGTTCAGCCGCTGCATCAGCCCCCTCTTCCAGGAACAAAGATCGCGGCGGGCGAGCGGGCACGGCTTCTGTCTGGGGCTCGGATAAGAGGACGGAATGGAAGCCGGGCGCGCTTTCGCGGTCGGGGCCTGCTTCCTGCGGCCCAGCCTCCGTAGGCTGCCCCAGCAAGGACGGGTCCCAGGCGGCCCCCGGCAGAGGGCACGGGTTGTGCTGGTTGGTCAGGATGGACCGAATGGTTTCCGAGGGCTTCTGGGGCGGCCGGGCGTTGGGGTTGGGGGGGAACAACGGCTTGAGCAGGGCGCGAGGGAGTCCCTGCCCCGCCTCAGGGGGATACTTGCGGTCGAGCTCCGCAATGACTGCACACCACAGATCGAAAGCGGCATTTAGGGACGTGTCGTGCAAAAACCAGCATAAAAGATAGGCACGTGTTGTGCAAAACACCAGCATAAAAGAGGCACAAATGCGCGACTTACAAAGAACTAAAATGATTGACGCCGTGACGGTTTGGAAAGCCACTTCAATGAAGCATGTTTCACATACGAAAAACGCACTTGTCCCTAGCTCTGAACGGATATTACTCAAACAACGGCGAGATGAGGGCCACGGCAAGCCCAGCTGCTTGTTTGTCTGGGGACAAGCTCCTCGTACAGGATGTGCAGCGTGGTGGGGGCGGCCGTACCGAGGTCCATGTCGCGCAAAAAGTCGGGCACCGCGTGCAGCGGCTTCACGTCTAGCAGGCTGCGCACGGGGCCGTCCACAGTGGGCGCCCAAGGGGCGACGGTGACCTGGCCGTCCAAAAGCAGGTGCGGGTGCAGGGACGGGCGCGTGCAGGGCGGCTGGAAGCAGCGCGCGGGGAAGGCGATCTGCTTGGCGGCCAGCACCCGCTCGCGGGTCGCCACTAGGTTTTCCAGGAAGGCCTTGCACTGAGCGGCCAGCGCGCGGCTGGAGGGCGGGCCCAGGCAGGTGAGGCAGAAGAGCTGCACCAGCAGCTGCACGTGCTCGTGGAGCTGGCAGTACAGCTGGCCCACCTGGCAAGGGCGAGAAGAAGGAGAGGGTCGTATGAGCACCCACAAGAGGACGGGCGGCGCCTCGAATTTGATGACAGATTCGTACTCCAAAAACGAGTGCGGAAAATCCAATCAAGTTTGATCCGACTTGTTGCTTTGTGTCTGTAGCTTCGCATGCGGCCTGCTTGCCCGTCAGCTTCACGTCGCCACCTCAACCTGCCTCCAGCTTCCGACGGAATTGCAGCTTTACCTGACGGGTGCACAACCTCACAAGCACCCAGCCGAGAAGATTACCTGGTTGGCAGTGAAGCGGGGCACGGTGGGCGGGGGCGGGGGCGCGGCCCCGACGGGCTTGAGCATGAGGACGGGGCGCAGGCGGCCGTCCTGGGTGGGCATGTGGCACACCACCTGCTGGTAGCGCCCCTCCAGGCTGGCCGGCTTGATGGCCAGCGGCCGCCGCAGGGCCGCCGCACGCGAGGCTGCCTCAGGGGGCTTCTTCCGGCGGCTGCCGCGGGGCCGCCCCAGCTTGCGCTTCCCGGCCAGGGGCTGCACAGCAAGGGACCAGGGCGTGGGCGTCACGGCAAGTGCGGGGCAGCGGGGGACTGCTGTAGGGACTGCTTTAATACAGAGACTCCGCAGAGACGGTCATGTCTCGACTAAAACAGCGGCAACACCAAGTTGACGCCCAAAATCAACGGGACTGCGGGCGCTTCTTCCCCACCAAGAGGTCGTGAGCGTTGGCCAGAACCGCGATGTCTGAGCAGGGCTGGAGCGAGATGGCTCCCACCACTACACAACGAACAGGGGGCTCTCCAGGGAAGACAAAGAACAAAGAGAATTGACTAATCAGGTGCACAGAACAACACCAGACACAAGGCTCACACAAATGCATGCTGCCGAGCCCCTGGACTCTCCGCGCGTAATCAGGGTGAGTTCTCCTTTTCACGCAACACAACACGCCACAGCTTGACACCGGCACAAACAAATTCTTAATTCATAAAAGCTGAAAAGGTTCCTGAGTTCCTATCAGTCTGCTTCGATTGAAGCCGGGACTGTGCCAGGTCGGCGTCCTATCATCAATCTCTATCCATTGCCCCCCCTTTTCTTCACCTGTGCATCTTCCTCCTCCTCGTCCGGCTCCTCCTCTGCCACGAAGTCATGATCATCCTCGTCCTCGTCCTCATCCTCGTCCCCCTCCCCCGCCCCCACCCGCTCCTGCTCCTTGGGCTGCTCGTCCAGCGCACTGATGGACGCCAGGAAGCGCGCGTACTCCTCATCATCATCGATGCCAGGGAAGAAATCGTCCTCGTCATCCTGCAAGGAAAAGTTTGATCACCTTGAAACGCTTCTAAATGTAACTGCCCTACTCAAAAAAACTGGATTGCAATCCAAGCTGCCAGAAGCAAGACGCCAAACATCCAATGAAGCTGGCCCTGACCACGTCGAACATGCTTACGCCACCGCGGCTATCTCCGGAGCAATACACAATTCCTTATTGACAGGAGAGTGGTACACATGATGCTCCAGATGGAACTGTTGAGCCATCCTATCCGGTCCTGGTACTCCCAAGGGCACTTTGAGGGTGTCTGCATTCATCTGGGGTGCCCCCAACGTCAGACGATCTGTGGTGCTGCCCTGTACCTCTCTGTCTGGCTTGCCCACCTGCAGGAACGTGTCCAGCTCTTCCCACGTCAGCTCAGCCAGGGACACCTGCGCCCGCGTGCGCTTCGCCGGCCCGTCCAGTGGCTCCTTCCCCTCCTCTGCCGGCCCCTCCCCCTGCTCCTTCGGCGCCTGCATTGACAGAGGCAGGTCCAGGGTGCCGTCGGGCGGACCGTGCGCCTTGTTGGGGCTGAAGGTGAGGGGTGCCCCAAACGGGTGAAACGCGCTCTGCCCAGGGCTGAATGGGCCCAGTACCGGCACAGGGGGGTGGCCCCCTGGAGATTGGGGAAAAGGCAGCAAGCTGGGGGAGGGGGCAGACGGCATGCCCAATTCGTCCAGCAGTGCTTGCTGAGGGGGGGGAGCGGGGACGTCATCCTGCTGGGAGTGAGATGGGGGCAGGGTGAGGCGGGCCAGGCTGTTTTGTCCTTTGGGGGAGGCAACTATGGACTCAAGCGGTTGGACATGGAAGCTTGTTCCCTTGAGCCCAACATTCTATCCTGGAGCATAGATTCTTCATCAAGTTGGGGAAAACAAGCCTAGACGTGCACCGAGGCACTTCTTCGAGAAGATCTGCTAACGAGGGGCACACAAGCAGTAAGGATACCTTTTAACCTTTTTGTGTTATTTGGTGAGCTGACCATGCACAAGAAGACAGGTCTCAGCGATGGCCAATGCCGGAGTCTCTGCCTCCCCTCTGCCTCTGCCAGAGTGTATGTCAGTTGAGCCACCAAAAGGATAAACGCTTAACACCGCACCTCGGGCTCTTCCTCCTCGGATTCTTCCTCCTCGGACTCCCTGAGGAAGAGAGGGTTGAAGTCCACATCATCGGCGTCGTCATCTTCGTCGCTCGGCTCTTCCCTCGGCAGCACAGCCTGCACGGGTGTCGCCACGTCCTTTGCTTGCCCCTGTTCATCCCCCATTGGTCCTTCGCCTTGCTCCCTGCTCGTCGACTCTCAGGCTGGAATCACTACCTGCTGCAACCGCCTAGAACCGCGACGTCCAGCCACTCTCTGCAAGCTTAGGCTTCAATTTCTAGCTGCGCGGTTGTTGCTACATCCTTCTACTCAGTGAGTTAGATGTAGTAGCTGCCCGATTGGTGATAGTGCCTTGTGCCAGTTCTTGCGCCCCCATGGCCACGAGGGCCGTGATCCATTGCACATGAGGACTCATCAGAGCTCTGCTGCAGCATTTCAGTCTACCCACTCACTTCTAGTTGCTAAGCACCACGTGCTCAGGTTTTTTTGTCACTGTTATCCACGTGTCATTCACGTGCGCATTCCTGGACGAATAGAATTTGTTACCAGCTCTTCGCTGACCATTATCATGGAGACTCGCCGAGCCCTGTCCTCCTGCACTTCGCGGGCTAAGGTTTTTATGCCACCCCCATACATTGATACAATCCAGAGGGCCATTTGAAATTGGCATTGGCATTGGCAATTGCCTCATCGCGGCACCTGCAGGCTGCATGTGCTGGGCGCTCCTCCTCCTCGGAAGCTGTTTCGGGTCTTGACTCAGGTGCTCAAGCGATGAGCTGATATGCGCTTGCATGTGAGCTGCGCATTCTTGGCCTCATGTCAGAAGATGAGTGCCAGCTCTCGGGCCTTCTTCTCCCCCCAGCAATGCAGCATTCACCTGCCTCCTCCTCTCCGAACCATCCGCGGCACGTCCTACATCCTGGAGAGTACCTCCATCAAGGCGCACACCGCCTCTAACAGGCACCATCGTGAACTATTAATCCCTCTAATTCATGCTCTTATGCCTTCCTCACATCTTCCTGCGATATCCAATGCTCTGAGAGTTGGCTTTCCAGTGGACATAAGTCCTGCAAGGAACGTGCAACAAGGTCCGCTGGCGCCCTCTGCTGTCAAGCAGACTGTTTCTCCTTGGGCTGCCCATCCCGGCGGTCCGTGTCGGAAGGTGACCCCTCCTCCGCACCTGCTTACTGGGTTAGCGGCTTTGTCTGTTGCGGTAAGGAAGAGGGGTTTGCGCACCAGGGCAGCCAAGGGTCCGTCTCCTGTAAAGCTGGACAATGCGGACCAGCCCAAGAGTCAGCCCTGGGTTGCGGATCTTCCCGGCTGGTTGGAGGGCATCCGAGCGCTACCGTTGGAAGAGCGGCCCTGCCCCATGGTTGTGGTGTTTGACATTGAGACGACGAGTCTGAGCCGGAGAATATCAAGGATTATCGAGTTTGCGGCTCGGGATGCAGAGGGTGAGTCGCACAACGTCAAACGTGCTCCGGCAAGTGGGCAGTGGGTTCTGCGCTTGTGTTGACAAGTGCTTTCTGTTCTTAAGTAAGCCACGGGCGTGTCATTGGTGTGTGCGCTGTGATTGTAGGAACCAGGTTCACATAGGCAAGTCCTGACCAATGGTGGTCAACGAATGTCACACATACTGTTGTGTCTGATCTTCCACCTCAATTTGTGCATTCGGTCCAAGCTGCGATGTGCTCTGCCTTGTCTGACCCCGGCCCTTTGCTTGCAGGCGGTGAAGGTGCCGCCATCCACTCCCTCATCTTCCCTGGGCCCCACCAGTCCGTGGGCGGCTCCATTCACTCGCACCACATCAGCGATGCCATGCTCACGCCGGCGCTGCCCACCTGGGGGCAGTTCTTCCCCAAGCTGCGCTTCTGGGTGGAGAGCCGGAACCCAGACGCACGACCTGTGCTGTTTGTTGCCCACAATGGAAACAGCTTTGACGTTCCTATTGTGGCCTGGGAAAGTGCACGCGAGGGCTTGGCGATGCCCCAGGACTGGCTATATGTGGACACCTTGAGGCTTGCTCAAAAGCATCTCAACGCCAAACAGGTGGACCCCGAAAAGGGCAGCTTGAGACTGGAGCACCTGAAGAGGTACTTCCAGGTGCCGTCAGACAAGGCCGCACACCGCGCGCCTGCCGACGTGGACGTGACCCTCCATGTCCTCAGCCGCATCCTGCAGTATCGCTGCCTCCCCGTGGGCATTTTGTACGACTTCGTCATGGCATTTGGCATAGCGGACAGGGAGTTCCGTTTTGGATTGAAGAAGGACGAGTTTGCAGCACTCCAGGATCTGGTGGCCGCAGGCGAGCAGCAAAAGCGCGAGCAGGACGAAAAGGCTCTGGCATGGCCGGGGGTGTTTGTAACTAACGCGCATAGGAGAAACGATTCGCAGGGCAAAGGAGATCGGAATTCGGTGACCAGGGATGGGCCTGAGAAGGAAGAAGTTGTGAGGGAGGGACGGTCATCCGGCGAAAGCCTTCTGGTCTCAGCGCTGGCGCATGTGGGTGAGGAAGAGGTGGCTGTCGGGAAGCGTCCAGCAGACCCGAGCAACGCAGTGGCAGGGCCCCAGATGGCAGGCGACGCGGAGCTGCCGAAGCCGCTGCCAAATGTTGGGAAGGCCCCCGTGATCGCATCTGTTGAAGTTCGGAGGCTGCGCTCGAAAATTAAGGGCAGTCTCAAAGAGCGGGCGAGCAGCGAGGGCCAGGCCGATGTGGGCGGAGGCGGAGGGGATCAGGGGCGAGCAGCTGTGGATGGAGAGGGGCAGGGGGGGGGCGTAAGCGGTGATTCGAAGCATCTGCCGGGTGAAGCAAGGGAGGGCCCTCTCGCACCAGCAGGAGTAGAGAGGACGCTGCCCCTCCTCGCCAACCGCCAGGGGCGTGTCTGGCCCCGGCTGCCGCTCAGAAGAGTCGACGTAACAAATGGGGCAGCAGCGGCGGTTCCAGTTGCAGCTGCTGAGGGGATTACCAAAGGGCGCCTACCTGCAAGCGCAGTGGTGCAGGAACGAGACTCGGGGGGCTCGCGGGCCCGTCCTCCCTTTGGAAAGGCGGGGGAGCTGATGGCGCATCTGGACGACTTGCGCGAAAGAGTGGCCAAGAGAACCTCCGACGAGCCGAGCGCAGCCCTCCAGGGAGAGGACACCCAGCTGACCAGCGCGGGAGGGACGAACGTGCTGGTGCGAGGGCCCGTGGTCGTAACCACCGGGGGCGACGGGGGCAACGAGGCTGACCGCGGCGATACCGGGTCGGGTGACCTTCCCAGCGCAGGAGATGCCCTGAGGGGCCAGCTTCAAGCCTCTGCAAGGAGGTTAAAACGGCAGGGGCAGCAGAACGAGGCGGGGGAGGGGCTAGAGCGTAGTAGAAAAGGATCGATGGATGGGGCCCCTGACATGAGCGGGATTCATGCCGGGATGTCCACCTCTCAAGGGGAAAGGTCGGAAAGTGCAGCGTTCACACAGGAGCCCCCCTCAGTGATGGAGCGGTACCGGCTGCTGATGGCGCAAAGCAGGAGGCAACTGTGACAAGGGCACCGCATAGCCTTGCGCTGAGACACCAAGTTTGAACGGAAGTGCCCCCGTGAAGGTAAGTGTCATGATGCGGATCTGCCGACGGTTGTGTGAACATTTCTTGGGTGATGCTCTTTTGAAGAATTTGTATTGGCTTTGGCAGATCCTTACTTGAGAGTTGACATCGATCGAGCAACGCAGACGAAGTTGCCAATGCAAGCGTATGCGTTGCGGGTACCCTGAAGGCTCGGTCAATAATGATCAGTCTTTCTGGCTTGTTGAGAATCGATCTGCTTGGAAGATCCCGCACTCTGCTCTCGGTTAATTGACTTTCATGTTGTGCAGAGCCGACCTCAACCGAGAGACTTCACAAACTACAATGCACCGGCACTCGCACTCCTAAAACGGCCCTAAGAACTGTCACAGACATTGCCGAAAGCATCATTCCACTGCGGTGTTTAACAAAATTTCGAAGCGCTGTACACGGGTCTGTAACTCATGATAGACCCGTGTGCGTGCCACTCGGTCTTAAACGCAGCAGAGCTGCCGTCATGCCTTAGCTTAGGTTGCATATCATGAAGACTGCACATTACTGTTTATTGCACCCTGTAACGGCAGCCCACGCCATTGGAGTTTTGATGCAGACACGGGCCGGTGGGCCATAGCCGAACATAAATCATGAATTCACATTTTCATGGCGCAGCTATACATGTATTGATAGTTTAACGTACCAGCCAGCTTCAAAGTGGGGCATATATAGGGCGCATTGACCGCCGTTGATTGTAAAGATAGAGACTGCATCCTTGAAGTGAGGCCTAACATGTGTGCAATCCCGTGTTCATTTGACCTGCAGTCACGCGCGTGCGTTGATGTATATATGCACCGAATGATCAAGAGCCGAATGTACCATTCTCCTTTTGGCTCAAATCACCTTACAGTGGCAATCAATGTTGTAGACTTGAATTTGCCCAAGGAAGATCTGATATTGCAAACTTGATTGCTGGCTACTACACGTGCAGATATGGACAACAACGATATGCAACCTTTATTACTGATAGGAGATGAATGCATGATCCCGACGCAGCTTGTAGATTCACATATCCTTTTGTAGCTTGGTCGCTCTGTGACGGTCCTGCCTGCACTCTCTACATACGACACCAAGTCCGTCCGCAGTCTTCCCACTAGCTACAAAGGAAGCTGCAGACTGCACCGTTTTGCAAACAAAGCACATTTTGCTCTTCTTTGCAGTCATCTTGGCTAACTCGATCTGACGCGTTGTTAGTTCAAAGCATGAGGTGCAAACAAGGAGTGCTGACTTTTCATCAGATCGGGGCTTAAATTCTCCAGCACCTTTTCGAATCTTGCATAGATTGCATAGAAGCTTATGCCCCTCATAGCATGACTTACTCTTTGCAAGGCCAACTGAAGCCTCTGAATGCTTTTTGAAGAGAGACTCAGCATTAAGCTTTTTTAAATCACTTTGACTTTCATTGGACTTCTTCTTCGCTTTTCTAGCACGAAGTGCTGCACCCTCACATTCTTTGCAATCAGACCTAAGGCCTGATGCGCGGCCCCGGCTTTTGAAGTATGCACTTGCAGGTTTCATCTGGTTGCACCTGCTGCAGCGCTTCTCCTGAACATCGGGGGCCAGTACTGGCAGGGCTTGCTTCCGCAGCCGATTGTTCTTTGCCTTGGTGCACTCCTTGCAGGTGCTCATCAGGTTGAACCTGCACTGGCCGGGGTAGAAACCATCCCGCCCTTTCAATATGCCACACTTAGTGCACGTCTTGGCGATAGAGCTGGCGTCCAGAACGGGTATCTGCTGCAGGGCCCCTTCCTCCATTCTTCTGCGCCTTTGGCAAAACCTTTGAACAGAGCTCTGCTATCCTGAACAGCGATCTCGAGCAAAGAACGATGTGAGCTCGCAGTCGGCACGCATGACATTGACCACCACGGCCTGCAAATTGCAATGCAAAATTGCCTGACAGAATCTGGCCGGGACAGTCGTACCGGCTGCTTGGGCAGCTTCAAACCCCTCTGGTTGTGGCACCGGTTACGCAACCCGATTCTATGTCAATGCGCTGCGCAGCTTTCGTACCTACACTGACAGGCTACAACTTTCATTGTCAAGGTCCATGTTTGATCAGGCGGAGGGGACATTCCAGTCATGGTACGTGTAACGTGGGCATTGGGCAATTGCGCTGACGAGGGAGCTCAAATTGCGCAATTTGACGTCTTCTCTCTCCGATTCTCTTTTTCAAACACCAGTTGTCTTTAAGGTGGAAGCATTTTGTTCCCCATGGCCTCCGTTGAGACCGCTGCAAATGAGGCAGAAATGCCCCCTGCAATTGCAACGGGCCAAGGCATGGGGTCCCCTCAAGGTGCTCCAGTATCTGCCACCTCTGATGATCCTGGCCCACTCCCCACGTGGACATGTCTCTTTTGCACTTGGCAGAACGCTGATGTGCCCACCATCAATGTGTGTGACGCCTGCGAGAAACCCCGCAATGCTAGCCCCAAAGTGGAGGAGAATGCTGCAGTGGAGGCTACTGGAGGTGTTGGGATGGAGCAAAAGGCCACCCCCTGGGCCTGTGCAGAGTGCACTTTCTGGAATGAGCCAGGCGCAGAGGCGTGTGCAATGTGCCAAGTAGTCCCAGGCTTTGCTAATGTCAGCGCTCCTGGTGGTGCTCAGGGACCCCCCAACGATGCACATGGTGGCGCTCCCGTGAACAAACCCCTGAGCTGTGAAGCTTGTACAGCCAGCACACCGTGCCAGAATTGTCTGACTCAGCTGAACGCTAGCCTGGGGGGCCAAGAGGCCAGCGCTGAGCAGGGGGTGGGCCAGCAGGGGCAAGCAGCGGCAGGGGGTGACAATGTGGAAGAAGTGCACGCCCAACATACCGCAGGAGAGGAGGGGCAGCCACCACAAAGTGCCGAGCAGGGGACAGACAAGCCAGCGCAGAAGGCCCCCGGTAAGTGCTCGCCAGAAGTCTGAATTTCTCAAATGGTACTGTTTGCTAGTGGTGGCTAGTGAAACCAGGATTTCCACAAGTTCAAATGTATTTGTAGTGACCGTGTTGCTGGGTGCCTGCAGAGCCTGTGATATGGAGCTGCCAGGTGTGTACGTTTGAGAACCAGGAGCCAGACGTTCGCTGCCAGGTGTGCACAAGCTCAAAGCCCCCACAGGGGGAGAACCCAGAACAGGTACGCACAAAGACTGTGACAGCCCGTACAGGCTCAGGGATCCCCAGGGGGAGTGACTCCTAAAGCGTATGAGATGTGTGGTGGAAATCTCCTGGCTGTGTTGTTTGTTCAAATGACGAGTCTTCTCTTGAACAAAGGCTCTGGGGTTTCTCTCAGTCCCCTTTTCACCATGGGTCTTCAATTGACGGGTGCAGACAAGTGGTTGGCATCCCTTGTCTGTGCAGGTGGCTGGTGCCAGCCAGAACATGTGCACCTTGTGCGGCCTGATCAAGCCGTTTGGCCAGCCATGGAAGGGCGGCCTCTGCTCTCAGTGTCGGCCCATTGTGGAAGAGGACCTACCAATGGACGTTGAAGGTATGAAATCTCTGGCGACTGTCTACAGGACTGCGCGGTGGACAGGACGGTATTAAGCATGTTGAACCTTGGGTGACAGGATCTGAATGCCTCCCTCTCCTATGAGATCAAAAAGTCATAACTTGTGTCAACATCGTGGAAGTTAAAGTCTAGACAGTCTAGACAGCCTTTGCAATGGACCAAGATGAAGTCAGTCTTTAACACCAGACAGAAAATTATGCGACTGTACAAATCTTTCGTTGTCATCCTCCTTACTATGAGATTACAAATCCGCCTCGCCTGCGTTTTGTTCAGTGTTGGTACACTAGACAGCCACAAATACTTCGATCAAGGACCTGAGCCCGTTCATTCAATCATTTTCCAGCCCTCCCTGAGACTGAAGTGGGCCAGTCTCGGTCTGCTCCCCCGCCTGGTCCGTGCGGCGTGTGCCACAAGGTGGTCCCAGGCGTGCTCCTGCAGACGGTGGATGGGTGCGGTCACTGCGCGTGCTGCGCGTGCCTGGCCTCCCTCACCCTCACCAGGATGGACGTGGCCCCCCCGGCTTTAGCTGCAGCCCACAGCGACATCCTGGCACTTCTCCACTGCTGGGAAGCAGGGTGGGTCTGGCCAACGAGCCTGGCAAGGGCCCCTTCGCAGGGAGCACTTTAGATACATGTCTTCTCTTGTGCTTCCTTGTGTCGCTCTACTTCAATCTGAAATTTTGCATCCCAGGCGCCAACAGATTTGCTCTTGCAAATCTGGAAGATGAGCAGTCGACTCCATCCCCGGCAGAACAACTGTTTCGAGGACCTTTTTCAGTGTCATATCCGTCCTCCTGTGCTGGTACAGTTGTCCCCGCCTCCTCAGCAGCGGCAGCCTGTCCTGCTCCCTGCCCCTCCCCAACTTCCTGGCCCTCTCGCACTGGCTGGTCACGGCCATCAGCAGCGTCTACCCGCAGCCGACTGCCGTCACTAGTTCCAGCCCCGATAGGGCCACGAGCCAGGCTGGGGTGCAGGAGGCGCCCCCGGCAGGCCCCACGCCAGAATTCACCTGCGGGGCACAAGGCTGCCCCTCCCAGGGAGTTCCCCAGGCCTTTGTTTCAACTGGGGAGGGTGAGCTTCCAGTCTCTCATTGAATTTCGGCAACTGTAGGCCCCGCCCATCGGTACAATGCGTGTATACAAGAAGTTCGCTGAGCTCGAAAGCACCGAAAGAGTGTGACAAACATTCTGCCGTCAACGAGTCTTTCTGTTCTTCGATTAGAGCAAGCCGCTCTGGAAACCCAACCACCAGAGCAGCTAAACGAGCTTGCTTAGCTGGACAGTAGTTTTGACATAACCCAGGAGTGCCCCGGTTCAAAAGTAGTGCGCAACCAGTACCTTTCGACTGGCCCCTACCTGATACGCTTTCATGCAGACCCTCTTCTTGCTGAATCAAGCTCCCGTGTGTTTCCCAACACCTCTTTTGTTTCATGTCGTGTGCAGGTGATCCGTCCCACGTGTGGGCGGTATGTGCGGCGTGCCCCCACATGACGTGCCTGGCGTGTGGCGCGGCGGTGGGTGTCTCCCTGGACGCTGAGTACCGCGACCACCGCTTCAGCTGCCCCCTGGCGCAGACGTGGGACGTGTTCCGCGCGCTGCTCGCGTTCGAGGAGGCCTTCCGGACCAACGAGGCCGTCGGGAAGGCCAGCGCAGACGACGCAGAGGGCCGCTCGCACAAGAAGCAGAAGACGGAGGCAGCAGGGAGCGGCAAGAGGAGGATTGTGTGGGCCAAGGGCACAGGTCAGCGCGCCTGACCCGAACGTGTGCGGATCACGGCCTTGCAGAGCGCGTTCGAAGCTCTTGTGGGGAGCTGAAGCTGACTCTGTGAGGGTTCGGCTTTCTTTGGGCAGGCTTAGGCTCTTAGGTTGGATCCCCGACGTCGATCTTTGGGATGCGTGAGGTTAGGAGCACCGTGTCCGACTGACGCCCCTTCGTATGTAGCCCAGTCTTGGTTGCGAGATCTGTACGGCTTTGATTGAAAGCAGATACTTCATGCTTACGTCGAGCACGTTCTCGGGTTGTGCCAATCTCCTTGGCTCCGTGCTGACAAGTCAGAGCTGCAGAGCGGACCTCAGGCGCCTGAGAGGACCTTTGCCGACCTATACCACTCTGAGCGTTGGTCTGCCTTTAGCTTCTACTGGAGACAAGGGTGACAGTCCGGTACATTCGTGTGCAGGCTTTGGCGGCGGTGGTCGCGACGAGTACGAGGAGGACGCGTACGACGACGAGGACGAGGACGAGGAGGACGAGGACGACAACGAGGAGCCTTTTGAGGAAGACGACGTCGACGAGGGGGAGCAGGCTCTGGCGGGACTTGGCGAGGGGTCGGGCGACGAGCCCGACGATGAAGACGATGACGACGACATGGATGACGTGGGCGAGGAGGAAGAGGCAGCGCTGCTGCAGGCGCTGCTGGCATCGCAGGCGGAGGCGGGGGCCGCCACACAAGGAGGCGAGCAGGAGCAAGCGGAGGGCGCAGCCACCGGCCCAGTCTCGGGTGGGGGCACAGACGCACCCAAGGAGAGCCCAATGGGAGAGGCGGCCCAGGGCACGCACCACTCTGGCGCCACCGGCAATGACGGAGAACAACATGGGCAGCTGCTGTCCGCATCGGCAGGAGGGCAAGCAGCGGACTTGCTGGCGGGGATGTCGCCCGTCACGCCCTCTGTCGGGGAAGCTCCCGTGAAAGCAGCCTCTCCACCGTGGGCAGCCGCCGGCAGTCCACCGGAAGCCACGGCCTTCCCTGGCAACATGCTCGAGACGAGCCCTGCCGCTGAAATGCCTGCATCCAACGCTGAAGCTGCTCCAGAGGCGGCCACGGGGGGGACAGCGCATACAGCAGCGACCGGAAGTTCCGCGGGTCCTGTCGCTCCCCAGCTGCCGACTGGATTCCACCTCGACCTAGCAACGATCCCCGGTGCAGTGCCAGGCCCTCTCGGCGGTGTCCCCGACGCTGCTCCCGCCCTGGCTGCTGCCGGCATGTCCCCGCTTGCGGGCATGGTTCCCCCTGCGGGCTTGTTCGGCCTGCCTTCCGGCGTGGCGGGGGTCGGGCCGTCCTCGGACAAGCGCAAGGAGCGCAAGGATAAGGAGGAGGCGCGAGAGGAAAAGCTGCGCGAGCGCGAGAGGCAGGCCGACATCCGACTGGCGCTGGCGGCAGAAGCCCTCACGGAAACACTGTCAGGTGCGGGAGGGCATTTGCGCAAAGGCGGGATGTGGTGGCTGATGGTCAACTTCGTTTGCTTGGATAGTTCTCTTCCCTCTTGCATCACTTTCCCGTTTAGAAGTGTCCCCTCCTATTCGCAGAAATTGCACACAAAGTATCTTCGTTCCGTCTCGTGAAGCTGGGGAACGAGACCGTACGGTTTGTGCCGACGTAGATTATCTCTTTCCGGTAAAGATTACCAGTTTGTCGGGTCTGTACTGGTCGCCCGACACTAAGCCTCCTCCGCTCGTACAGGCGACGACTTTGCGCCTGTGCCCAACGCTGCGACAGCGGCCCTGGTGCGGCGCAGCTGGGCTTGCCGCATATTGGCGGCGGTGCTGGCGCGGTGCAGCCTGCTGGACGTGGGCCACTGCCGCGAGCGCGAGCAGCTGTACCTGCACCTGCTGCACCTCGTGCGTGCGCTGGGCCGCCACTCCGACCTGCTGCCCGCGCTGCTCGCCGACAAGGACGACGATGACGACGGGCCGCACGCCAAGCACGCCGGCCCCGACCCGCGAGGCGCGGAGCGCAAGCGGAGCAAGGGCCTGCTCGGCATCGTGCTCACCACCATCAGCTGCGCGCTGGCAAAGCGGCGGAGGCAGGACGGGCCATCACAGGATATGGAGGAAACTGCTCGCAAGCAGCCGGAAGGGGGAGGGGTGTCGTCCGTGATGGACGGGCTGGCTGCAGCGGAGGTGGTGGCAGAGCGGGGCATCCGGCCCGACCCGGCGCTGAAGCCGGAGCGCATCGTTCTGGAGGGCGGGCGGTCGGTGCTGGCGGCGCTGGCGGACCTGAACCGGCAGGCGCGCATTGTACAGCAGGGGCTGAAGCACGGCATGGCGGAGGGCGAGAACGAGGGCGACTTCGGGGTGGCCATGGTCGGGCTGGTCCTCGAGGTGAGCGACTGCTACGAGCAGGCCAGCCGCCGCGCCGCACTCTGGGACAGCGAGCGCAGGCAGGCCGGCGAGGAGCGGGACGCGCTGGCCGCGCTCGAGCAGAGCGCCCGGGAAGCGGAGGAGCGCGCAGTTGCAAACGAGAGCGAAAACGGGCGGCATGGCGGGGAGGCCGCGAACAGCGAGGATGGAGCTGAAACCGAAATGTCAGAGGAGCTCGTTGCCAAAGAAGATGCGCCGGAAGTGGAGGTCGAGGATGCGCCCGCTGCGCAGACTGGTGATCAGGAGATGGCGGAAGCCGAGCGGGCGGTAGGAGGCTCGGGAGAGGCCGCCGGGGCGATATCCAAGTTGGGGTTAGAATCGTCGGGTGCGGACCAAGCCCGCGGGAAAACCCCGCTCAAGGAGCGGGTGATGAAGGGGCTCAAGGGGATGCTGATCAGCAAGAAGAACCACGGCAAGCAGAAGGAGCAGGTCGCAGAGGCCACTCCGAACGGGGAAGCGAAGCGGGAGGAGGAGGAGCTGCCGAAGACTGCGGACGCCGGGGCGGGCAGGGGCACGGGGGCAGAGGGCGGGCCGAGCCTGGAGGCGCGCATCCGGGCGTACAAGGCGGGGCTGAAGGCGGTGCAGTTCCAGGAGGTGTCGCTGCTCGGGGAGGACGGGCAGTACGAGCACAACTACAGGCACGGCACACCACCGGTCGCACTCTGAAATACCAACTCCTTGTTTGGTGGAGGGAGTAGTTACCGGGAGATTGTGAAAGTGCTTGCGTGTCCGTCGCTGAATATGGAGGCTTCTGACAGTGTCTTGCTCGAAAGATTGTCTGTTAAACGACGCGAGATTTGATTTGACTTGACTGCTTGTCACTGTCTCGTTTAGAGTGAAGGTGCTGGTGTGAAAGGTAGAACGCTTCTCAGTGCTGAGGCACCAAGGAAGAGAGCGGGCTGGGTGCAGTTGCTGATTTAATTCCCTCCGAACAAGGTTGTTTACTGCTCAGATTTGTTTTTTATGATTCTATTCTACATGATTCCGAGCCGCCCAGATTGACCGCCGTTCGGCCGTGGTGCAGGGGCGAGGTGGGCAGCGCGTATGGCGAGCAGTCGGGCAGCGGCGCGCACTCTGCGAAGCGGCAGCTGCGCATGCTGCGCGAGATCGCGTCGCTGGCCACGACGCTGCCGCTGGAGTGGGAGTCGTCGGTGCACATCCGCGTGGACACCACCCGCATGGACCTGCTCAAGGCCGCCATCATCGGGCCCCAGGACACGCCCTACAGGCAAGCCCCGCACTCCCACCCACCAGCTCGGGGCGCCATTTGTGAAGTCCATATCAACCTCCCGTTTCTAGAAGGTAGATTTGGTTGTGCTCTGAGCAAATCTAATCTCTGCTGGTGTGTTTGCAGCAACGGCATCTGGCTGTTCGACGTGCTGCTGCCCCCCGACTACCCCGAGATGCCGCCCCGCGTCAAATTCCTCACCACGGGCGGCGGCACCGTGCGCTTCAACCCCAACCTGTACGACTGCGGCAAGGTGCGTCACCCGGCACCGCACTTACCACAGGACTGCGCGTGTCTCGCAGAAGCGTCTTAGCCCCAGCAGCATCATGTTCAAACTCTATTGGAAAGTCCAAGCATCGAAACTACAGACACAATCAGTGAGGAGCGCTGGCCAATCCTCCTTACTTATGCTGTCTATTCAGGTCTGGGTTCACCCTCCATTGCCTCCCTTGCGTTAGGGCAAGCTCTTCGATTTGTTCCCCTAAGGGTTGCCCCGTAGTTTTGGTCCCTCTCTTGTTTGAAGTAAGTGCGCAATTCTGCAGGGTGCCGCCTGCCTTGACGCCCTTTGCATGCGTGCGTACAGGTGTGCCTGTCGTTGCTGGGCACGTGGTCAGGCCCGAGCTGGCGGCCGGGCAAGTCGACGCTGCTGCAGGTGCTCATCTCGCTGCAGAGCCTGGTGTTCGTCGCGGAGCCGTACTACAACGAGCCCGGCTACGAGGCGCGCGAGTCCAGCGCCGCTTCGGAGGCGTACAACCAGGACGTGCGCCTCAACGCCATGCGGTACGCCATCCTGGCGCCCCTCAAGAGCCCCCCCCGCGCCTTCCAGGACGTGACGCAGCAGCACTTCAAGCTGAAGCGCGCGGAGCTGGCGGCGCAAGTCGACGACTGGATCAGCCGAGCGGACAGCAAACATAAGGAGGCCTGCACGCAGGTCGGCGCAGAGATCATGGAGGAGCTGGCCAAGCTCGGCGAGTAGAGAGGAACAGAAGACGGACGGTAGAGGGTTAGCTGTCGAATGTACTTTGGAAGAGGTGCGCGCCGTTCAACCTGTGCTTTAACGGAGATCACGGTCAGTTGAAATGGTGTAGGATGGAGAAGAAGCAACAGGCTAGTCAAACGGGTAGGACCATGATAGTTGTACGTATACACAGTCGGACTTTGTGTACATATGGAAAGTACTATAGCTTGGAACTGGGCGCAGTCGAACCCTTCTCGGTTGTTCCACTTGTCACTCCACGCTGCTGCTTGTAGCTGTCTAAGATAGATCGGATCGAGTAAGTAATCAGTGGCCATCAACGGAAACATTTCGAGAAGCACAGGAAGCATTGAAAGGGGCCACTAACCTCGTCAAGTGCAAGGGAAAGTTCGGTATCAGCATAGATATATAGTCATCGGATCAAACGGCATTTGCCTGGCCTGAGCTACTGCTGGCCGATTCCGTTTCCCGCACGTCTTTACCGAATGGAGGCACCCAATGCGGATGATTGATTGAACAAGACGGCAAACTCTTGGCACTGCCGCGCGCGTGGTTCAACGAGAGTCGAATACATACGTAGGGAATTCGTGTTGCAACTTAGGACTTTGTCTCTCTTCGACGGGTTTTGCAGTGGTATTGAGGTGTATCGTGTCATATATATCGATATCGTTCTAATTATGATTTTGAGAAGTGGCATATGGACCCCACTCTAATGCTGGCCATCCCGCCCATTGGCCGGTACGCGACGGTATACCCTCATATCATGTTGGGTCGTCTCAAAAATCTGATGAGAAGTGTGCCCTGATCAAGTGTCCCGAAGGTACAACAGATACTTCAGTGCTTGCGTCAAATAACAGCATGCAACAATTCAGCAACATTAAGTGCGTGCGACACGTTACTCTAGTTGTACTACTGGTCAACTCTAGCTAGCTTTAGGACATGAATCTAGCGCTGAGCCTACACTTTATTCAAAGCAAGATGGTATTCCCATGCTGATTGCGCGCGTCTACACTAAAGCTTCGCACTAACTTCGCCATGCTGGGCTATCGACTGTTGCAGCCAGGCAGGAACTCACAAAGTTTACTTTCTATTACATACATCAATCAATTGCCTTGTTGGCGCTAAAGCGTGCCCTTCTCCGTTTGTCACTTTCTTCGTCGATTCCACTCGCCTGTGCGCCATTGCCAGTCTTTTCATGCGACAGCTCTTTGAAATGTACACTCATGTCGCCCCAGCACCATCAACACCAACTTACAACCGCGTGCTATACAGTCTCATCACTGTTGGAAGGCATCCTGGAAAGCGCACACGGAATCGTGAAAGTCCTCTTTCGAGAAGCAAAAAACGCCTTCCCGGGTCACAATCTGCTCCGGCTGCGTAAAAGAAGAGAGCGACACGGTTAAGTAACCTCGAACAGCAACCAGCAGGGATTTTCTTGCTACCAATCAGCTCTTCGTCATATGGAAAGCTCCCGAAGGTCTCCTTCAGACCAACGCCCTAAACACTGAGCTCAAGGAAGGATAGCGTGGCATTGGAGATCTAGAGAACTTATAGAATTGACTCAGGCGATCCTTCGAGCAAAGCTCCTACTGGCAGGCTTAGGATACTTGCGTCAGCAGGTCTCGATAACTTTCATGACCAGATTCATCACAGCAAACGACAGCGTCGAATGTATATCCCTGGTGTATTGGACCCCCTTTAGCTCCTGCATCCAGTTCGTTCATCGTGCCCAGTTGACCTACCCAGACTGCCGTCCACTCCAGCTGGCTCGTATCCAGCACGGCCTCTGCCCACGTGCCCCGGAGCGCTGCCACTCCGCCCCACCCACCTCCATTCAACACGTCTTTTGCAAAGCGCCACGCTTCCTCCTGCTCTCGCTCTCTGTCGTCCGCCCAGACTGCTGCCCGGGGGCTGGCTCTGTACAGTGGGCTTCTCAGCTGCGAGCTCCTCTGCCGACTGGCTAGCCGCGGTGTCATGTTCCCAATGTCCCTCAACGCACTCCGCCCTGCTGCCCCCGCTTTTGGACTCTGACCCACGCTGCTGAGCCACAGGTGCTGAATACGAGGAACACCAGGCGGCGACCACGCCAAGCTTTTCTGACAAGCGGCAGGCGAGCATGCAGCCGGACTGATTGGGGCGACGTGTGGGACCCCAGCTGGACACTCCTGGTTGCGAGAGACCCCGACCTCCATGCTGCCTCTCCGGGGTGACAGCACAGGGCCGCTGGGTCTTGTTTCCTGGTGCAGGCGGGGCCTCTTGCCCGCCTCTGCGCCGTGGCTGGCGGCCAGGTCCGGCAGTACCCACGAGTAGCCCGCCGAGCTGACCTTGCGCTTCTGGGGCAGGATGCACCGCTCGCTGCTGCTCGTGGCCTCGTCCTGGGTGCTGCCGGCAAGCGGCCCCTGCCGGCACCGCTCCTGCACTGCCTGGCTCCCACTCGCACTTCCCCCTTCGCCCTCGCTCTTGTCTGGAACGTCAAAGCTCTCATACATATGCAGCCTCCCTTGCTCGTCCCCTGCCCTCGCCTCTGCTTCGTCGCCCCGTGCATCCTCTGACGTGAAGTCCTTGTTTTCCTTGGCGCCCTCCCTCCTCAGCCGGGCCGCGTTCTCGTCGGCCCACTCGATCTGCACGTGGGCCGCCCCCCCAAGCCGGAACGAAGGCCTCTTTGCCGCGGCCAGGATCTTGCGCGCGCACACGCGGCTGCTCACAATGAGGAGCGCGGCGCCCCCGTTGAGCATGAGGCGGCTGCGGCGCTTGGGCGGCAAGAAGTGCGCCGCCAGCACGCCCTCGAACTGGCGCTGCAGGGCGGCCTCCAGCGCGTCGGGGTCGTCGCGCTCGTCCAGGCCGGCCACGCGCAGCGCCACGCACTCGGCCGCCATCATTGCACGCAAGATCGAAAGGGGCCCACCGCGTGGAGAGGGAGGCAGAACAGGGACGAGGACAGCCCCGAAAGGTTGCTGCCAAAGAGAACTTTGTGGCAGGAACGGGCTGTTCAAGGCGTTGAACATTTGTCGTCAAACTGATCCTAGTCTCTTTTGACACAACCCCAAGTCTCTGTCTGATTGCGGGAGATTGTAATATAGGCAGGCAGACTGACAACGGCCACTAGCGCCACTGGGTGCGGCGCTCTTTGGGAAGCGTGCAAAGGATAGAGTATAAAGATTGAGGCCGCAGCGGGCATGCTGCTGGCTGGACGTCCCGAATCCTGGGATCGTAACGGGCTTTTGAGTGGATGAGGTCGGCCAGCGAGCTGCCAGCCTAGAACCGTAATCATTGACCAGGCCGCTTGTTAGGCCGGCTCGCCTGCGCTGGAGTAAATCCTGTTGGCATGTTGGTGACGTCATGAGTACCACCAGATACTTGCACGACGCAAATGGTGATACCGCATTCACCAGTGAATCATCCCACGGTCTGCTCGCTTCAGGGCACTGAGTCCACTGAAAGTGCCAACGTACACGTCTATGCATGCCACAGCAATCGCCTGTATGTACTAGTAGGTCATACATCACGTTATCAAGTCGACTAACATGCACCACCGTCAATCTGGCCCATATGCGCTCATCCGCAGGCTTCGAATATGAGCACCGTCGGATGAAGGGAGGACGGTCGTTTTCAGATTTTCTGGGCAGCGCCTTTGGCGGCAAGCATTTGCTGCACTGGATCAATGCAGTCCATCAATGATTGATTTATCTTCAGTCCTCATTGAAACGGGCCGCGAGACTCGAGGCACTTATCATGTGTCATGTGGAGAGGTGGAGCTTATTTGAGGATACCGTATTTGGGCTGAGTACGGTCAACAGAACTTTTGCGAGTGACTTAAATCTGTGTACAGGATCATGCTCATCATCCCAGACTCGCACGTATATATCAGCGCACAGCGCAGTTGGCCAAGACGCGTACGTAGGTACCCCGACCCGGACCCCGACCCGTACTACTTATTCAGCAATTACAGCTCTGAAGGGCTTGCATACAGTTATATAGGAGACTTATGTGCGCGCTGCGTCGCAGAAGCCTGCCGGCCGGCATTCACGTCACAAATACGAAGCAGGGTACATGCTTCATTCTAACAAGGCATCGACAGTCTGGCACAAACTCGCTGTCATGCAGTGTATATATGTACAGTATCTGGACAGTATCGACGGTTGAAGCTTGATTCAACCCCCGTGCGGGACACATTTAATCGACGGCTCCTGTTGAGGGATCCCCCAGACGGCGGTCATCGGTACGGGATGCCCCGGTAAAAAAATAACCGTCTACCCGAATGGTCTTGAGAACCGGTGAAAGCCAACCTGGAAGCAAGACAACTCCAACCGTGTCGAACGGAGTGCAGAAGAAACCGTCCGGAACGACGGCCGCAGAGTGGCGGTGCGAGCGGTCCGCGTCTTCCGTTCCGTCTTCCTCCGCTACCTGTATGTTATGCTATAGGACCACCCTTTCAAACAAAATTTGGAATCGCTCATGCAGGACTGATTTTGGATTTCACGTTTCGAGGACACCCTGTCCCAAGACTCAAGAGCGGCCGGATCAGTGGGTTAGGACTACTTTCTCTTTCTGTGCGTAGACCACTGCAGTTGATCAGGCATCTGCATCATTGCTACCGTACATGCAGCGGGAGTTGCATCTTCATGATGGCCACGCTTGACGCAGCTTCCAGCCTTGTCGATACAGACAAAAGAGGAGAAGCACTGCCTGTGATCGACTGCCTGGGCGACGATCTGCTGTGCTTGGTGCTGGGGCGCTTGAGCACGCGGCCGCTGCTGCAGTCTCCCGCGCTGGTCTGCAAGCGCTGGTCGCAGCTGTGCAAGGTGGGGGCGACCGCGCAAGGCAGCGCCAGGCGCACATCGGGTCCACGTTGGACCGATTGCCCAGCTTCTTAAAATCCGTTGTTAGTACTTGTTCCTTTCCTTGACTTGCAATTGGTTGTTGCAGCCGTCTAGAAGTCAGAACTCCGCTGTATCTTCCGCTTGACCACTGCAGGACGCCCTTCTCCTCGATTGCAGGCGCTGGTCACTGTATTCTCCCCCCCTCGCTTCCTGGCAAAACTACCCGCGTCCAAGAGCAGCACCTGGCTGCACCTACGTGGCCCCGAGGCGGCGCGGATAGTGGAGCGCCATGCAGCCACTCTTGAGACGCTGGACCTGCGCTACCTGGGGGCTGCAGCCAAGCACAGCCCGAGTAGCGAGTGAGGTACCATCGCACTCTGTCCATGACTCGTTTGGGGGACTTGTAGGGGATAGGCATGCAGTCCGCACGACTGCTTGGCAATCTGCCGGGTCCGCATGCCTCGCTGGTTGCATAATGTCTCTGTGACTTGTGGGTAGTTATCTTGCAGCATCATGGTGCAATCTTGTAGCCAGCATTGCAATTGTTTGAGTTTGAGAGGGCAGCATTTATATGCACTCATTGGACAGCTACTGTCAGGCCTGCCATTGCGTGCCTGCCCCTATTGTGTGCTTCTCTAGGATAGTTAAGTAAGCTCAAGTTATAGTGAGAACGAAGCTACACCAGAAATCCAAACCCAAACAATCACCCGCTCCGCACCCGTACCCACCCTAACCCCCATACTAACCCTACCCGTCCCAGTACTATAACTCGAGCTTTCTTTACCTATTCTAGAGAACGAATCCTTCTCCCCCGCCTGCCGCGCCTGCGCACCATGGTCCTCCCTGCGCTGGAGTTCGGCCGCCAGCTCGATCTGACGGTCCTGCCCCGCAGCCTCACCACACTGCGTTTCGCTTTTGAACCCCACTCCTACGCCACCCCGGCCGCCCTGCCCACCTGCGCCTGGTGCTGGCTCGACAACGCCGGCCTGCGCACAATCCGCGAGCGGTGCCCCAACCTGGAGAGTGTGGCATTTGGGGTTTGCCATGATCGCATCACCACGACGGACACACGCCCCTTCCTGGCGGCCCTCTCCCCCACCCTCAAGACTGTCTCCCTCCAGTACGGTGAGGTGGAGGGGGTCCAGGACCGTACGCTGCGCCTGTGGGACGATCTAGCCTTTATCCTCCGCACATGCCAGTGCCTCGAAAGTTTGGAAGTACAGGGCCCGGTGTTCCGCCTCTATCCCGAGATCTCTGGCTGGGCAGACGGGCCAACACGTGAACCCCCGGCTCTGTCGTTCCCACCGCGGTTGCGTGAGCTGCGGCTGCTGGAGCAAGGGGATACGCGCAACCGTTTCACTCAGTACGGGCTGCGCCTGCTTGAGCCGGCAGTGCGTGCGCAAGGCCACCAGCTGCACGCCTTCCAGGTAGCGCCGCTATCTCACAAATGGTGGCTCTGGGTCGCTGCGTCATGGAAACGCCCGGCTATTGTGGACTGATCGTCGCTGGGAAGATAAATTGTTATCAGAGTAGAGGGAAGCGCACTGTTCTGAGGGCGAGCTGCAGTCGTCGGGTTGTTTATTCATCAGCGCATGTGGTGCAGGCCAGCGCAAACCAGATCGATGGGCCTGAGCGTTGGGACTGGTCGTGGACCCCCAACCTGCGCGTGCTGGACTGGGGCAACACGTTCTGGATGCGCGCCTCCAACATCCGATTCTCCAAGGTAAACCGATGCACGTGCTACTGGCAAAGCCACGAAGTCAGTAGCTGAGAGGAGCCACGCAGAGACGAGTCTTGGAATGTTAAGGAGAGCCCTGCAAGAGGATTCACGGGTACATTAAATAGCACGGCGAACAAGGCCAGTCTAGGCCAGGCCGCTATAAGTTGCAGGGTGGAGGTGCTAGAGGAACTGCTGATGTGTATTGGTGGAACCTATTTGTGAATGCGAAAGCAGGCACAATAATATGGTGTTTGCCTTGCTGCAACCGTGACCCCTAGCTGCGACAGAAAGCACTGACCCTGTCATCTCTTAAGCTGCCGTCAAGCGGCAATCTCTCTGCCGGCCAACTGTGTGGTGCTGGTCATCCACAATCTTGGCCCCCCACCCCCGTGCATTGTGTGTGCAGAGGGCGGCCCGGAGCCTTCTAGAGACTCTGCTTCTGCTCCCCCGGTTGGAGCGGGTTGTGCTGGCGGATGCCACCGACGAGATGCTGGTGGCGCTCGGGCAGCACTGCCCGCGCCTGCGCGAGATCCACATCCATGTGAGGCCCCAGGGACGAGCGGAAAGGTCTACAGTGGATCGAAGAGATGATAATATTGCTCTTGACCGAAAGGCCTGCCCGCAGTAGTCGGGTGGTGCGCTTGCTCATCTCGTGTGCATTCAGCGGGAAGCTCATCTCGTGTGTATTCAGTGGGAAGAGGTCAATCGACGAGATGAAGACCTCACAGTGTTGGATGGCCCTTGAGACGGCTTTGCTTGCAGACATCGTCAAACTAAGGTCCTCCCTGATATTAGTTATCTCTGGAGCGATGTCCCTTCGCTCGGCCCTGGTCCTGCTTCAAACCCGTTCCCCCGGTGCAGGGCCCAGAGTTCGCTTTGCGGCCGGTCGAGGGGCTTCCCCGGTACCCGCGGGTGGAGGAGGTGACCAACCGGGGTGTCATCGCGCTCGCAGAGGGCTGCCCCCACCTTCGCGTGGTCGACGTCGGCCACAGCCTCGTGAGCGTGGGGGCGGTGCGCGCGCTGGCCTTCCACTGCCGGGAACTGCAAGTGCTGATTCTTACCGGCTGCCGGTAAGTCCTGCGGACCAGCGCGGACGCACTGAGCGGCCATGTGACAACGAATCTTATTGCGATTGTTTTCTACGCTTCCTTAAGTCGTGTCTATGCATATATGCCATCCTGAGGGAGGGCGGAGAACAAGGGGGCCGTTAACGCATTCGCGTCGGGGCCTCGAAGCAGCGTTTTGCGGAGGGGCGGGACAAATCTGGACCGTGCTTCTTGTCGACACAACCTGTTGTATGTATCTTTGAGAACAACAGACGGCTTGGAAAGATATGAGGACGCTCAATCACTATCCTGTGTTTGTTTCTGCTTTGTAAGCTCAGTCCACGTCCACATATCTGAAGTTGGAGGCTCGCCAGCGTGCCGCAGGCGCCCTACGTGATTGCTTTTAGAGGGGCTTGCCTTATCCTGGATGCATGCCGCACTGCGCGTGCAGGCCCACCCCGACGCTGCCCGGCATTGCGGACGACGCGGTGGTGGCGCTGCTGCCCCGCCTCGGCTCGTGCCTGCACCTGCTCGACCTGGCGGGCACCGGGGTCACGGCCGCCGCGCTCCAAGCAATCGCCGACTGGGGACAGGTGGGCGACGCACATGCTGCCGCAGCGCGGCAAGATGTTCAGGAAGAGCATCATCACCACTGCTTCACGGAAGAGACCAGAGAGCGGGAACACCGGGCGAGAAGGAAGTCAACGGATCTGCCTCCCTCCTGATCTTGACCCAGCTGATCTGGCTCTGTTGCAGGAGCATCCGTTCCCGCTGCGCGTCCTGGTGCTCCCCTCGCGGCCGGCCATCCAGAAGTCGAGCTGGGCTGCGCAGCTGAAGGCGCGGCCCGGCCTGGACGTCAGGTTCGGCTCGTCGGGTATCCGCTGGGCCGGGCTTCATGAGAGCCCGCTCCTGGAGGACTAGTACGACGTAAGGTGTCGATGTTATATAATGAGGTGAGTATATCACGACGTTCGGTTCCACGCGCGCTGATTGAGTAGAATATGTCGAGGAAACATTGCAAATCCTCGTGATATATGCACGTTTGTGCAGATCAAGGTCAAAGCAGCCGTAATTAGCGACTGCGCATCTGCGCAATGCGACACTTAGCTTTGTTTCTTAGTTTCGGAAGGAGAGATGAAAGAACAGAAGGGATAGTATCGCTTTGCAGCCCGATGCCAGAGCTCAACATTGAACAAGTCATGAAGATCATTAAGGATCCAATGAATGAGGATATAAGCCCGGGAGTCCAGTAACGTTGTGGGCCCGTAAAGAAACAAACATAACCACATTAAAGTCAGAGCGGTTCCGACCTGGTCTCCCTTCAAAGAATGAAAGTTCTGCAATGAACGTTCCAACGTCCCAATCGAAACTGGCCAGAGCGCGGTTCCTGTCGCAATATCACTCTTCTGAACATTGTGGTTCGATTCGAAGATCAACTTGAATACAGTGTTAGTGGCCAGCGCTTCTACTTAATTCAATAATCATGTTGCTACCATGTTGCAGCTATAATCAATCAAATCATAAGATGCTCTCGAGCACTGCATCCACAATCGTGCACTGCGTATCCTTCAGAACATATTTCACACGTGCATGCAAACATGATGCCTTGACTGGATTGCTGCGCGGAGCCATGCCTTGAGTGATCAGCTAGGTCCGACAATCTGGCATATGCACTCTCTGCCCCCGCAGTATATGGTCACGTGAGTCCATGGCAAATGGGAAACGTTGCACTAGCTCGCTGCAGCATTATACATAGAATCAAGTACTGCCGGATATATTGGCAGTGGTTCACACATGCGTGGCCTATATGTGCGTCCGTTGTTGGAAACATGTATGCATTTAGTATAAGCATTGACTGCTGTAATAACGTACATCAACTGCACGACATGGTGCTGCACATGGCACACGCCGCCAGTGAATTAATTGAGTCCCGATTAGCGTTCCCCCGCTGCCGATCCATATCATCTTTTCCACAGCTAGTACGTCCAATCGCATTTACTTGAATAATGGACAATGATAAATCACCATATGCTGGAACAATGCAAAACGGTTACTCGTCACCGAACACGTACATTCAATGGGCCCAACATGGTGCACGTGCATTCTTGATGCAACATCCTTTGCTCATGGTCTGCAGACCGCAGCGTCCGAATATAACAAACGCAAGCTGCGGGTCAATCAAACGTAGCATCGGCCATCATCAGGTCAACAATGATTGCGGATCTTCCAGGCAAAAAATCAGGCGTATGCCTGAGCTTCATGTAATCCTCACACTTCTTCCCAAAGGGAAGCTCTTCCTGCAGATTGACATTGGTGTTGTCTTCGACCTAACAACACTGTTTCGACATGCTCAACGAGAACCTTGCTGAAGACATTCAGAAGGTCGAACTGAGCAGAGGGCAAGAAAAGTTGCAGCAACATACGTTCTACGAATCAGATCAGCCCCCCGAGTGCGAAACAGGCTCCGTCACGAAGCGCCCATCCTTGAAACTGTTGACGAATTGCTCCGGCAGAGCGTGCTCGACGAGGTCGTCGGCCGCCGTCTTCCCGGGCACCAGCACGTTGATCTCGCTCGACTTGGCGGTCGTGATGGACGCGTTCAGCGAGCCCGCGCTCAGGTAGAGCTGGCAGCCGTCCACCTTGTCGATGGCGATTGTGGGCGCCACCCCGTTGCTCTGGATCTCCACGCTCGTGCTGTTCACCACCTCGCACGCGGCCACCACGTCCTGCGACACGAGCACACTCGGACTCACCATCTCGATCGCTGAGCGTAACAATCGGTTTGTAAAAGAAGCTGCTCGAGCGTTCGGGTTTCGGAAAGGCCAGATCGTTCGACCCGTGAAACGGAGACCGACTAGACTGTCTAGGTTGTAATCGAAGACGCTGTGAAACTTAGAACCGGTGCGACGACTGCTCGAGCGGTATCCTCACCTCGAATACCAGGCCCGTCCTATTGCACTTGTCCACGGTGATGTTGTTCACTTTCCCTGCAGAGTACGCCGGAAGTGAGAATACAGCCGAGAGTTTCACTCCCGCCGCTGATGTCATACTGCTACCTACACAACGCAAGCAGGCAACCTGGAATCCATTATAAAGTGCCACTAGTATGACCGGAATAAAGAGGAATGAGAGGAATAATAGGAATCTGACTTCGAAGCAGACAAAATAACCAATGTGAAGTAATCAGACTGGCTGTTTGGACGAAATGTGACCGGGTCATGAGCTCAGACGTGCATGATAAAACGTAATCCCAAGCGATTTGTGGAACATGCACCGAGACGGATCGACCTACCTTTGACCTGTACGACCGTGTTTTTGCAGTTGTAGATGTAGACGGACTGCCGTGGGTTTGTCTCTGCAATAACGATGTCCTTTTTTCCGTTGAAATTCTCGACCACCCACCTGCAGCCGGAGAGCCTTGTCAGCAAGCCGATTGTTGAGCACTAAAAGACCAGGCTGCCGATGATGCTGATGGCACAACATTCGCAGTGCGCCGTCAATGTCTTGAAAACCTGGAAAGATGCGCCTCAGCTGGAACCCAGGGCAATAACAACTGATTCTCCTACGGAGATCTATCAAAAAGCTGCTTGATACAACGATTCAGTGGCTGCATTCCACATAAAGTGTGCGTAGGGCAGTAAAATTCGTAGTTGGCGGGGCTCACTTGCGATCCTGCTGCAGTTCGAACTTGGGTGCGGCCGCCGCTGGAGCTGCTGCCTTGGAGGCCGCTGCAGGAGTAGCAGCGGGGGGGGCAGCCGAAGCAGGAACAGCGCCGGTGCGGTCGGTCCGGTTCTTGGTCTTCATGTCGTCAGTCACCTTGCGCAAGCCTAAGGAGCAGACGGCAGGGGGCGGTGAGGGATGAGGAGAACCTCCGGCGCTGAGGAAGCAAGCTTTGGTCAGAATCTGTTGCAGTACAGCCGAGTCTCAAGTGCTCAGGTATCTTGAACGATGGCTGGCTCCTTGCATCGGCTTGATGTATTTAACGTCCAAAAAGGTGACGTGCAGCTAACGTTCTTGCATTCAACGTTAAGAGCTGTGAGATTAAGATTGATGTCCATCTTTCAGCTGCACAAATGCGACAGACCAAGTCGCTTCCAGTGGGAACCCGAGTTCTAAGTGACAACGATATCACCGCTGTTCATGAATGTCGTCAATTAGCACCCCACTTGGTGGAACTTCCCAACCAAGAAGCAAGAGGTCACGTCCCCCTTTCCTGCCACAGAAAACGTGCACAAACGCACGTGGCATGCTTTGGCCGCGGCGGGCCGCTGCCAGTTCCTCACCCGATGTGACCGCGTCTCCCTTGTTCAAGTCCTGCAGGAGCGCGCTCATGCCTGATGCAGGTGCGGGGGCAGCGGCCCGCGGCTGCAGCAGCGAGCCTGCAGGGGGGGTAGGGGGCGGGGCGGGAGCCTTGCGGGGAGGGGGGGGAGGTGTACGGGTGGCTGCGGGAGGGGCGGTGGAGGCAGGGGCTTCGCCTTTGAACTGGGAGATGGGGATGCCATTGGGCTTCCAAGCAGGGCCGGTGGTTTGATGCTGCTTGACGTAGTCCTTGAGGCCGGGCAGGAAGACGGCCTTGAGCGCCTTGCACCACTCCACGTGCTGCGCGTCCTTGTTGCGGTACGCCATTAGCACCTGCGCAATCGCAGGCGTGACTATGGCGGGCTTCACTTGACGCTCCTTTCAAGCGGCTTCTGAAGCAGTGCTCAGTATGTAAGTTCTGGTCCACAGCATGCCCATGAGCTTGCACAATAACGAACATAGAAAGGACCCCTGCTAATGATCTTGCAATGTTGATGCCTTCAGTGGTACGCATAGATACTTGGAGGGATGATGCCTGTACCTTGTTCACATAGAACTCCGCTGCTTGGAAGGTCTCTTCCACATGCTGGGCTGGTAGACTCATCCCTGCAGAAGAAGACAAACGCCACCATGAGTGGCCATGAATCCTGGCAAGCTGCTTCAATTGAGCTGCTTCCATCGCAAAATTTAACAGAGACAGGTATGAGCTAAATACCACAGCTTCACCAGTAATCATCAAGTCGAGCAGTGCCAAATTATCCTGAGCACCTGTCCTGCTCACCGCTCTCCTTCCCTGCGTAGAGCACCCAGGTGAGTGCCTGCAGGCTGTCCGCCACCGCCTTGAGGTGCTGGAACTCGTCCGTCCTCTTGCCCTCAGTCAGGCTGCCCGCCTTCATCATGACCTCCCCAACAGGACTCACCAACGCCTGCATCTCTGCTGGAGTGGGCGCCTGCAGGCAACCACCTGGTGCTTCATACTCATGCGACACCCCCATCATCCTGTGTATTGTCAGGGATCAACGGTGTGTGAATAATCAACAAACGCAGTAACTAGGCTCTAGCCTGCTCAAGGTTTGGAATGTATTAAGCATTACTAAGGTGGACGGGCCAACCTACTGTGGTACCCTTCTGGCTGGAGGCGACCACTGGCTTCTTCCCTGTTACTTAGCTCTCAAAGCAATCTCATTGTGTCCAAGCAGAAATGTGATAAAGATGTCAGCATTCGCAGGATCATTTTCGCACATTCCATCTGTAGGCCGGAGGCAAAGCACACAGTTGACATTACAACCGCCAAGTTCCATTGTGAGGGCTGGTAACTTACAGCTGAGGAACTTCCAGCAGCAATGACAGCACAGAAGCCTTGCACAGAACCCTGCGAGCCAAAGAATCTGATCGTCCGCTAACAGGCACAGATTTAATACAAGGCATCAAAGCGCGTGTCGATCCCAGGGTGGGCCTGTGTGAGGTGACAGTGAATCCTGCACAGCATCAATTCTTGACAATCTTGAGCGCCTCGTATGCAGGACTCACCTTGCAATGGGAGATTGCCAGGACAACATTGCGTTCTCTTTTGAACGCCTCCTCCAACAGCTTGGAGGCCTCTCGAACTGGGCCTCCGATGGCCTCTGATGCTCCCACAAACTTGGTCACTGCAGTGTCAATCAGCTCATCAAAAGCCGCAACAGAGGTGGCCAACGAGGACTCCGTGGGTGAGGCAGTGCTTGGATCCGGCTGTCCTGTGGCGCCACCGCTGCCAGAAGCAATGCCCCCGGCAGACTCAAGCTTCTCCACTGCAATTTCCAGGCGCCGGACCAGCGCTTCCAGATTGGAAGCCATGGCCTGCTCTTGACAAACCCGCACTTCAAAGGCCTTGTTGCGCAAGGGTTTATGCGGCCAGCACCTCTTGATGTCAGGCTGTGTGAAGTAGGTAGGTGGGTACCGTACTTCAAGATCAAGGTTTTAGGCTCAGGTAGGTACATGTCGGACTCTGACTCTGAGCAAAGGTGCTTGGTGAAGCTGGGACAGCTGCAGGGGCCCGTTAGGTAGGGAAGACTGACGTTCAAGGGCTGTGAATTCACCCGCTGGATTGAGGTTCTTGCCACTTGTTCAAGTACCATAATGACAGAGCTGAAGAGGTGGCAGTGCTCAGTGTTCACTGACAGCTCAGAAATTTGGCCCTGCTGCAGCAGCTCAGCTCGACACGAGGAGGTGGTGAGCTCTCGGGTGTGCAGGATTCAGACAATTAAAGTGGCAGATCAAGCAGCAAAAGTTTCTGCGAATATGTGTCGCCAACTCTTAGTAATGTTTTGACGGGGGAGAGCATAGTCCAAATTGAAGAGTCAGGCGGGGCCAATGGCGGCGCAAGGGGTTGGAGCAAAGGTTCTGATCCAGACCTTTGCCTTTCTCTTCCTCCTGTTTGTAGCGGTCTATTATGTCTCCATGGCCAGCTCAACAAGGTCGACAGACATCTGCTATGCTCTGCAGATTGATTGTAGTGAGTCCTGGTCGTTTTGGGGCAAACATCCAGAGCAATTGCTTTTGCCCACAGTGTACAAGTTTGAGAATGAAGGACGATGCCCTGTGTACACTTACTTTGAGCCAACGCAGGAGGCGCCTTTAGAAATGGTCAAACTTCATCGACTGGCACAGGTGTGGCGCAAGAATTGGTGAGCTGCCTGACTAGCTTGCACGCACCTTCTCACTCTCAGTGTGCCCATGAAGCACAAAATGACCTGTCCTGCTCTCTTGACAGATGTTCTCCGGAACAGACTCTGAGGCAATAGACACTGCAATGTGGTCTTAACTTAATCTGAGGTTCGGCGTTTCAATGTCCTTGTCCTTGAAGTTCCTTGTCTGATAAGTATATGCCGGATTTTGCAAGTCTTTGAGGGTCTTTGTTGCAGAACGATACAACTTCAGCATTGCTGCTGCAGAAGGCAATGAGGCAGAGGGGGCCACAGAGGGCCTGGCTTTTGTAGGATTCATACACTTTCTTTGCCATTCTTTTCATTGACCTTCCCTCAGTCAGCTGCCACACCTTGAACAACTTGCGCCTCGAGGAGAAAAACGAACATACAACTTGACGCCCCACACCGTCGTGATTCTACGCGCAGGTACCGTGCGGGGTGGAAGCCGTATGTCATTGGGGAGGACGAAGCAAGAGATCATCCCCTGTATCAAGAGCTGCGGGAAAAGTTCAGATTGCTTCCAACGGTCAACGACAGGTTCTATGAACTACAGTGCTATCTGCGCTGGGTGGCAATGGCAAACCTTGGCGGGGGGTTCATGTCTGACTATGACATCTTGAACTACGGCTTCCCGCCTCCACCCGCTTCGGAGCTTAGTGGGCCCTGCGGGAGGGGCACCCTGACATCTTACGAGAGCCTTATGCCCATGCTCGTGTCGGGGGACTCAGAAGCCTACATACACATGGCAAAACTGTTTGCCAATTATCAGGTGTGGACAGATTCCTCCTCTGAAATGAAGGTTGAGTTTGTCTTCATTGTGGGCTTAGGCCTCAAGTGAACTGAAACAGTTGTAGCGAAAGCCCAGTCGGTGCATCTTGATTGCCTTGCCATACAATGCTTCCATTGTTTGAGAGCTGAATTGGGCAACAGGGTGAGAGCAGTTTGAGGTTCGTCATCTGAGAGAATTGCATGAGCTGAACTCACAACACTCTTCTGCATTTGCAACAGGTACAGAACGACGATCTTGATGCCAAAGGGAGACCGCATGTGTCTGATATGGAGCTGACTCTTAGCCGGTTCTCACATGAGTTCGAGGTTAAGCCGCATCAAGATACGCTCATCCACTACTCTCATTGGTGAGTGCAACTTGAGTTTCAGAGATCTTTTTCCCTTGTTCTTGATTTCAGGGCACAGAAAATAGCCCTCACGCATGCCGCTTTCATGATTTACTGATACAGTTCGATCTTCAAACGTGAGCACAGATTCGTGTGGATTCTGCAAAGAGATACGTTTTCGAGCGACTCCGTCCTGTCGTCAGTCACCTACATCGATCCATTCGCAGCTCCTGCCTCGATCAAGTGCTGCCTTTTGTTTTTGATGTCACGCTGGTCCCATTGCTGCCAAGGCCAAGGTGGCGGACAATCAAGTGAAATTGAGTCGTGTAGGCCATGCTCTGAGCTTGTTACATACCAGAAGTAACGTACCTTGCCCAAGGTCCCGGTTCATACTGTCTGGTTTCAACATCCAGAACATCCGAAGTGGGAGACGGTCTATCCCAATTGTGTGCTGGCTACTTTCTTCAAGTAAACGCGAAGTGCCTGGCCCAACCAAAGGTCTTATTCACCAATCTGTCCGGTATTCATTCAATTGCTTTCTTCATTGACACCAGGAAGTTGAGGGAGTAGATGTCTTCAATAATGGTTTGACGCAGCTCGCCTGGAGGTTTCGATGGCTTTTAGCATCGCTGATACCCTGTCCTCCTCGCAGGTACGTCCTGGACAACGTGGGCGAAATTCAGCTCCCACGGTGGCAGATTGTGAACAAGCTGGCTTGCTTCGAAGCTCTCTCTGTGAAAAAGTTGTCAGCGGTGTACCTTCCGTCGTTCACCGAGGGCGATCTAATCGCTAAGAACATGGTCGAGCGCTTGCAAAAGTGCCTGGTCACTGATCGTCAAAGTGCGCAGCGGAATCGAGCAAAGGAGCCGTATACCATCGTTCTCCTTCCGCCAAGCCCCATAGTAACTTTTGCTGTTGAGTATCTCAAGTACGTTAAAGGGACGGACTCGGTTCTGCTGCAGAGGTGGTTTGAGAAGAGCGCTGGGTTAGGCAAGCAGTTGACTTTTGAGGGGTTTCTGGGGAGTCTTGAAACCAGTGCAAAAAGTGTAAACGATTTCGATGGTCTAGTCCTTGGGCCTCTTCTCAACGGGGCCGGTGTCTCTGGGAGTGGGCTGTCCGCTATCGATCAGGTCGCAGCCGTAGAGAAGGCAATCAGCGGGGACCGTTTCATGGTAGGATTCCTGGACCAGGTCAACGAGACGCTGAGCTTATTAGAGTACGAGATTGGGTACGATCTGGATGAAGAAGATTACAAGGCTCTTGGGGAATGGCTTCAACACGAATGGGGTCAAATACACGAGGTGGTGCTCTCCTTGTCCTCTCGGGTACAGAAGCTATTCGAAACCAGTTTACCACTCGATACGAGGTTGCTTAGCTCTATGAGAAAACACTTCGAGATCAGAACGCGGAAGTTTGCAGAGTGGACTTCGAGCAGCACAAAGCCGACTCCATATCGTTCAAGGGTCTCTTGAGGACGAATCTTAAGTTGATGACCAGCCGACGAGATCTTTCTCGTTTTATTTGGCCTCTGGACGGACGGCTGCAGTCATACTGCCCTTGTTGTCGTACTCTGATCCAGTCTTGATTGCAAAGTGCAAACATGCAAGTGGTGAACCCAGTAATGGTTGAAAGCTTGGATGATCGTACTAACAATTCGATCTTGTCCAGCATGTCTCCAACCTACTGGCCGCGCCCGCGCCGGCCTGGCACCGTGCCAACCATGCATATGGGTGCTGAAATGACAGGCCGGATAATATCAGGGAATCCAAGCTCGCACTTCATGTGATAACTTGCTGCATGTCCGCACTGACACGTGCGGCGTGCTTGCATGCGCCAACGCATGTTGGCAACGTTTGTATCCAGTCCGATCCGGGGACCATGAACATGACGATCCGCATCGGTGCAGGACGGTACGCATGTATATATATTGCACTTGAGAGCCAGTGGCATGTAAACAAGCTAGAGCTGTATATTGATGACTCGATATACATGACGGTATACTGATAGACTAGGTAATACACAGTCTATGAAAGACAGCTCGCTCAAGTCACCGCACGCATGTGCTCGGATGCAGCCCGTGCCGTGCGCGCAGCGGACATTGCAGCGTTCCTGCAACTCACGTACACACATACTTATGCACTTACACAAACCGGCTACAGCGCTGAAGTTCAGGCTAAAGCGTTGTAGTTGATTGATCAGCGCCCCCGACAATTAGGCCACCGCATGCACCTGATTTGACATGTTTGTGGCACGCACATGCTTCGCAAATTTATCTTTCTATTGTGGCAGCCAGCCTTCGCAAACGTCAAAGCATGCAGCAGTGAGGACGTTCAGGACACGGCTTAAAATCGTGATCCGAAATAAGAACCTAATCAACAACTCGGGCAGCGAGCTTCTAAGGACAAATTGGTTGCGGGTTGTTCTATTAAGTGGCTTTGGGCAATGTTACAGCTGTTTCCGGCGTGTCCATATACTCAGCCCTGTACCAGAAGGATTTTGAGAGGCGTCAGATGAATATGTGCTGCAGAGTAGCATCGAAAGTCCTCAGGAACAAACAGATGCAACCAGAGGCGTAGTGAAGATTGCAATAAACAATCCAGAAACAGGCTTGTCCAACAAACGTGCTGAAAGTTGATTGAGAATCTAAGAGATCAGCTAAAGCCTGCTTTGCCGTGGTTCAAACGACAAAGAGACTCACTTTAACTTTCGCCCCAATTGATAAAGGCCTGTAGCAGCCATGAACATGTTCACTGTCATCAGGTTATAATTGACCTGCAAAAAAGGGATGACAAAGTCGCATCTAACAACCCGCTTCTTGCAACTTGGGAGTAAGTCATGCGGAGTTCTTGCCACTGCCATCTTTCTTGTACAAAGGTTTACCCAAGCTTTGCTCAAGTCCTCTCCTGGCTCTAGATGTGTCACATCCCTTTCGCATCATTCATTGCAGCCAGACTGGCTTGCTCCAGTGCTTCGAGCAGGGCTCTCAGCATTCACCAATGACATCCATCTTTGAAAAGAGCAGATCGGTCCTCCAGATCTGATGCAAAGAAGCGCATTGCAAAGAAGCTTGGAAGAGAATTCTCAAACCAATCAGAGCTCAATTCCCAACATCATCAGAGTCCTTGCCTCAGCCAGTGAACAGAAGTTGTGGACTCACAGGAATGATTTGTGTTGAGTATCTGGTCCAGATGACACCCGTAGCGGTGATGGCTGCAACATAGAAACCCCTTCATCAAAGAGAATGTAAACGCAAATTGGGCAATTAGCGCTAAGAAGAGGAATTCACCAAGGCACATTTGAAAGCATGGGTTTTGCGTCTGCCTGCCTTTTTGGAAGGGCACCTTATTGCAGCACCACAATCTCAGACTTCAACTTCAGCAGTAACCGAAGCGGATCCGCTGCAGAACGGACTTCCGGAGCACTTGTGTTGGTTTCAGGGCAGTAACCGGGGAGCCAACGAACCTGTCTGCTGTGGGTACGATATCTTCTCGACAGGTTTGCTCATGTCAGCAACGTTGGCCAGGCTGATGCCCCATTTGAATGTGGGTGCCCAGAAATGAACTGCAAGACTACAATACTTGGTAAGCCAGCTCCAATCAGCTTGCACATGTACCACAAACATGTTAGTGAGCGTCCAAACGTTGCTCATCTTGTACCAGTACCTTTCAATGTCCGGCTTCAATGGGTGTCTTTGTTTCCTGCCTAACGCAACCGCATGCTGTTTAAGTGTGAAGTTCCAGCCAACCAACAATATGGGGCCACCTCAAGGGGAAAAAGAACATCACAAAAGCTGTGGGACACCTCAGTTTGCACCTTGCGGCCATGCTCATGAGGGGCGAGGCCTTCACATTCAGCACTATACGCCCATCTCAGCCTGAATCGACCAAGGTCAATAAGTACGCATTGCAAAGGCGCGGCTTGGTTCTAGTCAAATGCCACGAAGCGGGGCAATACCTGCCGGGTAGTGAATGGCTGTCAATGGAAAGCATGCTGAGGACTGCATACTGGAGCCCAACACTCCTTGCAACAGGATGGAACTGCCCTCAAGCTGCAGCCAGAGCATGTTATGAAAGTTGTGTTCATTGACTTACTTGTCTTTGGACCCACTGGCGAGTTCCAAAAGCCGACCAATTTTGCTCCAATACTCATTTTGGCGGATGCAGAACTCTTCGTAAACCTAAGCAGATTTCTGACGGAGCCTTTTTACTAATTTCTGCCTATGCACAATCTGGATCAAAGCTGAAAGTGCCTGTCAACCCTCTGGCCAGCTATTGGGAATTGTGAGCTCAGAATTGATCGAGTCAGCACACTCTTACAAGTAATACCTATTTCTGCCACTAGAGCCTAGAGGATGAGGGGAGAAATGCTGAGAATTCAGACAGATCTATGCTTCACTGCCTACAGCCTCAGGGTCCCGAGTTCACCAGAGTCTCCGCCCTTCTTGGTGCAAGCGCCCTTCCTGTTCAAGGCTGTTGACCTTGACAGTGTTGTAAAGGCACGCAAACACACACCAGACCGTCATACAATTTTTCCCGACAATTCGACCGGGAAAGCAGATTATTTATGCTGATTCCAACATGACAATCCGACAGTCGACTGCTCGATGATCTCGAGGGGGAATTCGAGGCTGATTTTGGCCGTTTTGGCAACTTTTGGGGCTTCTAACTCCTGAGGACTGCTGAACCGTTTCAGTTTTTAACGTTTTCCCAATTTCCACTATCCGAACAGGAAATCCGAATTTTCGACTTTCCGAATGCAGATACCGGTACATGGACCGGTCTGAGCTTCTTTAGAATCAGGCTCTTTTTGCTGAATATCCGCCGTATAGGTAGGTATGCCGATCGGTTGCTGAACGGTCTACGATATACAAGGACTGGCCGGCCTCGGCAAATCGAGCTAGGGCGAGGAATCAGGATTCTCCTGAGATTTCCAATGGCCTTTCAATGACCCGGCCACTGCGGTCTGAGTCCTGAGTCCTGACTGGCCCTCCTGGAGGGTTCACGATACTCGGTTTTATTCCGCATAACCCGGGAATGAGTACGCGTGGCAACATTGCAGCCAAGATGCAACTAGACGAATGGCTGCGATGACATTTGTGTCCATCACATGAGGCAAACACACCGTACAGCGTGTCGCTATATCAACGATTGATGCAATCGTTGAACGGTGAGGATTTGCCATGCTTACGAATTTGAGCGGCAAGAGATGTTAATCCAAGAACCGCCAGTTGCTGTGCCCAGTAGATTTGAATCAAGCCCACTCTCCTAGCCCCTAGGTACGTAGCGGGGAACCATCCTCGTTCTTTCGAAAGGTTCAGAGGTCCGCAGATGCTCATCACGCCTTACACAATCGATCGGCGCTGCAACAAGGTCAAGGAGGCGACGGCTTGTAGACGTCACGAGAGATGTAAAGAAGGTGCCGTACATTCTTTTCATTGGGCTCGCTCCAAGGATAACTGAAGGGTAGTTTTGGGTGCAGCTCCGCAACCCGCATTACATCTGTTAGATACCATCTCTTCATCAAACGTTGGATCATAGCTGGGACGGCATGAGTGGCATTGGGTGCTTCCCTGGAAAGGCTCAGCAGGCCCTTTTCCAGAATGGGGGGTCAGTGCTACAGTGGAAACCTGTGCAGCCCGTGCGTTATGGGGACAGTCCAGGCAGCGACGATCTTCCATACTCCTCATCCTCAGAAGATGATCTTACCCCCCAAAAGCCGGCCCGATTCACACCAGCAGATGAAGGTGGTCCGAGGAAAAATGTGCCCGAGGACAATGCTAATGATAGCATAACAAGCAGTCAACAAACTACGGAGACGACTGGAACGTTTGAATCAAGTGATACAACAGGAACCAGTAGATTGCAGGGCTTACCAAGCATGGGGCCACAGAGAGGGCTGCAGGTCGAAGAAGAGAGGAGACAGTTGGCAGCTGTGAAAGAGGAGTCAGCAGAAGGGTTTGAGGGAAGTCCGTTGTTTGCTGGATTGCCTGTCGGATCCAGTCCGTCATCATCCGTCGTCTTGAAAAAGGCTGCACTTCCAGAGCCATCCCCTGTTGTCTGGGAATTGCAAGAATATGGTGACAAGAGGCGCCAGCAACTGAAGAAGGAGGCCTGGCAGCTGAAAAGATATGAGCACCTGCTCAATCTGCTCAAAGAAGGCCTCATTGACCAAGCGGACTTCCAGGTTGGTCATTTCAATCTCATACAATGCCTGCTTTCTTCAATGAGATTGAGCCTGCACTAGTTGCACATGCAAAATTCGGTTCCTGTGAGACTGTTTTGGTTCAGATTCCGACTTCCAAAGCCCGATTCAAAAGCTTCTTTGCACTCTTGTGTCTGCTGATGAATGCATCTTTCAAAGTGTGTAGCACTTAAACGAGAGAAGGGGTTGGTTTACCAGCATCTGGCAGTGGTAAACACTAGTAAATTGAGAGATTGCAGCATGGGACATAACATCAGAATCTTCTGAGAACGTGCCACAATGTAGAGTGCTTGAAGCACTCTGCTTCTCAAATCTGCTCTCACTTCTGCTTGTGAACGTAAGCAAGATAGTGATGTTAGACAGAGAAGGAACTAACGTGCAGGGCATTGTGGTGCTGATACTGCATATCAAGATTCTTTGGGTCCGCTCGCATGTTGCATGCCAAAGGTGCAGTACGTGAAAGATGCTGTTAGGTCTTCCTTGATGCCCCACCATCTACCTTCCAAGTTCTCTTCCCATCATAACCTGCAGGCTCACAAAAAGCCCATCATGAAGTACATGTCGGATACGTGTTCAGAACCTGGAAGAGAGAACAAAGAGCTCGAACATGATAAGCTGGTCTTCTTGAAGCAGCTAAAAGAGGTAAGTTATCAGTCCCTCTCTGCAAGGTGACCCCAAGGCAGTCGCATGAAGTTGTGGGGAACATGCCATCATATGAGTATGCCTTTGCTTAAGCACCTGGATAATTGTGTCGCACATAAGGATGAACAGCTTGTCCATGTGGTGGCAACACTTATCCATATCAATTTCTCCCGCGTCCTTCGTGCAGGCGGACTGCTTGACTGGCTCTGAGTACCGCTCAGCCAAAGCTCCCATCCTGAGGCGACTGGCGGGCTACCGCATAGTCTCCCCATCGCGAGACAAAGGGAAGGCAAAGGGAGGCTTCAGGGCCATACTCAACAAGCTGAAAGTGCACGGACTTCGCCACCACTCTCCCCCTCGCAGCGGAATGTGAGTTACCAGAATGCGCGGCTTGCAGCTTCAAGATGGACAACTTGTTTCCAAATTCACTCCCTGGTGTCGCTGCATGCTTCTAAATAATGCTGGAAGCCCCAGACTCACTGATGGCTTCTCTTTTGCAGGAGTACGCCAGCTGGGTCCCCTCCTCGGGGAGCCAAGTGGAAGTCTGCTTCTAACCCATACTTTACCCACTCAGACCCTATTCCGGGTGGGCCCTTTCCACCTCCCACCTTTGCGAGACGCATGTCCAGCACGGCCCCATACACACTGGGCACTAACCCGCTGGCGGAAGACAGCCAAGCAAAGAAGCAGGTGGGTGCCTGGTCGGGCATGATGCAACGATGCAAGCACAGGTTCTCAATCACCATGCTGCATCAAATGTTCCAGTGCGACCGAAGTAGGCTCCTTCTCATGTGGGCGCTTGAAAGCGTAGCATGCTGTGGTACCTCAGCATCTGACGATGTCTTGTTTGTGATGGATCCGCCAAATCTACAACATTCACTTGAGATGCTGCATCCAGGCTTACTCTCTGGTCCTGCAGGGTGGAAGCGGTGGCGGTGAAGGCAGTCAGACCCCCAGCCAGGACCTGAGTAGCAGCCCCCCCAGCAGCATCCGCTCGCCTCTAGACTGGCCTCGCACGGCAGGCGATCGCCGGGGTCCCGATTGGACCCCCAAGATGGGACCTGTGCAAGGCGAGAAGGTGGCACAGGCTCACAAACCCCTGAGTGCCGCAGGATTGGGCAGTGAGGCTGACAGCAAAGACCGGGGTGCTTTTGGCAGCGAGTTTCAGGTTCAGGGGGATGGATTCGGCAGCAGATTGGACGCCCCTGGCAGGATTCCGGGCTCGGTTTCTTTGGATGCAGGGAGCAGTAGCCGAGGGACGTCAAATAGAACCAGCAGTGGCTTTGCTTCGGAGTTCAGCGGTTCGCTGAGTGTGAACGGGCACCAGCTCAGCCATGCTGGTAAGGAGGCGGTTGGTAAGAAGAGAGGGGGCCATGGGGAATTGGGGGAGGGCAAGACAGGGCTGTCCGAAAGCAATGGTGGACGGCAAGGGGGCAAGGGCGCAAACTACCCGAGCAAGTTCCTCCTGGCGCTTCATTCCTCGGGCGAATTCGGGGGCTTCACGAACCCCTTTAGCCAGCCTCCTTTGTCCGAGGACTTCCTCGACTCCCCGCTGGGCACGGAGAAGGAGATTTGCAGTGATCTGGAGAGCAGCCCTGAGGAGTCCGCGGGGGTAGCATTGCCCTCTCATCAAGGTGCAAACCAGGGTCTGCCTGGCTGTGGCGCTCACATGCCCGCTGAGAGGTCTGGGACAACGGAGGCCAAACGGGATAGTAGGGGAAAGCCTGACAACCCGCTCAGAGAGGAAGTCTCGACGGAGTTTGTGGCAGAGGAGAGACCCCAGGGCAAGGACGACTCTGGCAGAGGCGTGCCGCGGGTCAACCTGTTTGGGGAGAGGGGAACGTCCACAGTTTCGGCAAGGCAGGAGCGCGAATCCCGTTCGTCTGCTGCTGCAGATGCCTTCGGGACAGACGTCTTCTGCGCCAAACCGTTGGTGAAGCCTGGGCCTCCTAAAAAGCTTCAGAGTGTGCTGTCTTTCCCCCCCTCCTCCGGTAAGCCTGCCGGCCGGCCACCCTCAGGCCCCAGATCCCGGCCCAACTCCCCTCCTGCTCGGGCGGCCCCTCCTGTCCCAAGGTCCCAAACCCTGCCCTCAAACGTGCAGTCTCAGGACTTCAAGGAGGGGGTGAAGGCTCCCGCCGGGCTGTTCATGGGGTCCGCTGCAGATCCACGGCAAGTGATCCCAGTTGCCCCGTCTCTGGCAGCGAAGAAGCCCATCCCCGAAGTGAAGGTCACGACCAGGATCAACGTGGCCAAGATTGCCATCACCAGGCAGGCGTCCAAGGGGCCAGCAGCCAAACAGGCCACCGTCTGGAACAGGTGAGCTCAACGTACAGTCGCTGCTGCTCTCAACTGCAGTCCTTAAGTCGAGAATGCCTAAAGGCTTGTACAGAAACATTCTGACCAGTCCCTTTGAAAGTTCGTCAGTCTTTGTGATGATTGTTCATGTCGACTTGCTGAGATCCCGGGAGCACGAGCACCTATATATATTGTGCTACTGCCGATTCTTGCCTCACGTCGTGGTCCTTGTGTACAGGCTGACCGGACAGAACCAAGGCAAGCCCAAGAAACGGGCAGTGGGTGGGCGGGGAGAAGCGGCCGCGCTGCTGGACAGTGAGTCGGAGGTGTCCTCCGAGGACGAGCTGGGCAACCCGAGCGGTGCTCAACCAAGCCGGGCGCCACAGTAAGTCAATCAACAAAGAACCGAGTCTACACCTAGGAAACTTACAGGAGACAGGAACAATACTCCTCTTCTGTGGTTCGAGGATCGTCTGACGATCAGTTAGACTATTGCCCATCAAGTCGACATTGTTGCTTGAGCTCGTAAAGGGAGCAGGAGGAAGACAGCGTCGCAAAGATGCGGTCTGCCTGCTTTTCAGAATTTTGATGCAGTTATTAGGGCTTGTCTTTTTCGTTCTTCTTTTGTGTCATCTGGCCCCAGCGTTGCCCTTGTGCTCGTTCGCAAGCATACCCTACATAGATGTATGCCTAGCCCATTCGAGTGGAAGAGACTCGGCCTCTGGTGACAAATCGCTCTTGCTATATGCGAGGTGGTCCTCGTCTAGCATGTGACTCTTGTTACGTTGTTGCTACAGGGTTGCCTCCGAGGCTCTGACAGGGAGAATCCCCTCTGCGCTGGCCCAAGTCAGGTCCCAAGGAGAGGCCACGCGCCACGCGGCTCCCCCTGGCAGGACCAAGCGTGGGTCCGACGATCGGAAGCAGCACAATGCGGCGCCGCCAGCCAGACAGTGGGGGGCCAAGCCCCAAAGGGCGGGCGCGCTCCATGCCGTGCCTGAGAGCCCTGACAGAGCTGCCAAAGACGACCTGGGAAGCGAAAAGGGCCAGGGCGGAGTGGAAGATTCGGAAAGGATGGAGGAGACGGCGTCTGAAGCCTCTGACGAAGTGCTGTTTGAGGACGTGGCCCGGGACGAGGAAGTCAGCAGCAGGAAGGGAGCGGAAAAGAGGACAGCAGAGCTGCAACGGGGTGCTCCCGAAGGGAAGAGCGAGACGGCTGAGCCGCGGGGACTTTCGGAGAAGGTCGGAAGGGATGGACACCAGCGGCGGCCCAGCCAAGACATGGACGTGCTGGCCAGCGTGTTCGACCCGGAGGAGCCCGCACCTGCTCACGCGAGGGGTGAAGCTGAACAGGAGCCGGGGCAGAGGCGGGCCGGTTCAGAAGCTCGAGCGGAAGTCAAGTCGGGATTTGCGGTCCGCGCTAGACGCAGCCGAGCCAACCGAGAAAGCTCCGCAGGAGCATGTGCCCCCAGCCGTCGCTCCCAAGGCCGCCACGGCCGCCGGGCAGCCGGAGGCGCTGCGCCACAGGAGGCAGCCCAGCCTGGAGACAGTGCCGGGGGACGAGAAAGCGGGCGGGACGGCTGGGGCAGGGGCGCAGGAGGCCAGCGCCGCAAAGGCAGCCCTGCTAAGGTACCCCGACGGCCGTGCAGGCCAGCATGAGAGGAAGAAGAGCCGCGACCTCGAGAAGGAGGAGGCCGCTGTGGAGTCGGCCGCCGTTCCATCCACGGGTGTGCGCTATCCAGAGGAGCATGCGGCGCGGCATGCAAGAAAGAAGAGCCGCGACATGGAGAAGCTGGCAGCGGAAGCGAGCCTGGGCAGCCAAGCGAAAGGCGAGGGGGCGGCTGCAGAGAAAGATAGGGTGAAACAAGACGGGCCCCAGGCGGAGACGGCCCAAGCTAAAGGGCTCAGAGCGGTAACCGCGAAGGCGGACGAAGTGAAGCCTGCCCGCAGTACCCGTCAGCCTGAGGAGAGAGCAGGGACGGAGGCCCCTCAGGTGCCCGCTGCCCCGGCTGTGTTGCCGGCTGCTCCGCCCGCACTGCCCGCGGCTGCCCCACAGGTGAGGCATCTCTTTTTACTTTCTCTTCTCATGTCAAGGATCGCAGAACTAGCTTCTATCATTTTGCGACCACCTTCAAACCTGCTCGAAGCCGCTCAGTCTGACCGCAAGTTGCCAGAGTGGAAAGGTTTCTAGCTGATTGGTTGAGTTTCGCCTTTACACGATTGTCCAGATGAATTTTACGGTGACTTCAAAGCCACTGCGGTGGTTTGGCAGCACGTCTGCTATTGCATAAACCAGGCAGCCTGATCGTAAGTTCCACATTAGTTTATTGCTCAGTTGTTGCCATATACGTTTGCAGGCTCCTGCTTCTGGCGCCGGCTCAAAATTGGCAGACCTCAAGGCTCGCATGGCCAGCATGAGGGGAGGCGGCCCTAAGCCTGCCGCCAAGCCCGTTCAGGCGGCCCCTTCCGCAACCGCTGCTGCTGTGAAGCCGAGCGAAGCTTCCGCTCCCCGACCGTCCGAGGTTGTCGTCACAAAGGCCCCCGCGCTCACTGCCACAACAACCTCGGAGACCCCATCCCCAGCCATTGAAGCGAAGGCCGTCGTGGTCGCTGTCGCTAGCCCGGTGGTCAAGGAGGAGGCGAAGCCCGGCCCCGCCCCGTCCGCCAAGATGGATGTCGCCGCCAGGGTGGCAGCCCGCATGGCGGCGCGCGCTCAGGTGACCAAAGCGGCCAGCGCCGCCCCGCCCAGCGTCACCCCCCCGGCTGCCAGCACCGACGCCACCAGCAGGGAAGCTCAGCTGGAGGCCACCCCCGAAAACACGAAGGCCGCTCCGGCAGGCACGGCCGAAGGGACGGTCAGCAAGCGCGACAACCGCTCTCTGTCTGTGCCCAAGCGGCCGACAGAACGGACAAACTCAGTTGCAGAAGGAGATGTGGACGCCGGAGAAGGATCCCGGCTGAACAGGGCCCGGAACTTCAGCGGGCCGATCAGCTTCAGTGGGCCGCTGCGGAGGGACGACGTGGAGGGCGGCCGCGAGGCGGGGAGGAGGACGGGCCACGCAACGGCGCCATCGTCACCACGAGAGGCGGGTGGGTACCGCATCACCACCCAGCAACATCTCGTCTTCTGTTCGTACAGTAATGAGAGGCGCAAATGATAGCCGTTGAACTTGAACGGAGAAAAATATAGTGACAAGTTCGCCGTTAGGAGCCGGCGAGTACATTCTCCTTTGAGCACAGCAAGTTCCCTTGTCTAGTGTGAGCTGTTTCTGGGCTTTCGCGTGAATCTCGAGAAGAGGCGGCCGTCTGAGACACCCTTGTCGCAAACACCGACTTTGCTGTGAATCGACCTCTCGGCTGGCGCTCTCGGCTTCCAAGCCTGTCTTCCAACGCGGGCACTAACTTTTTTGGCTGCGTGTGCAGACTCCGGAGGCCCCTTCCAGCAGTCGCGGAGCCAGCCGGGCAGCCCCACGCGCAGCGACAAGCTGCTGGCGCTGCGGCGCCAGGTGACCACCATGAGCTCCGCCGTCAAGCCGGCCGCAGCAGAGGCAAAGCCGGCCGCACTCACCACCACCACTAAAGCGTGGCCCGGGATCAAAAGGTACGGACACAAACTTCAGGAGTAGCGCTGTCCGGCAATGCCATCCTGAATGTCTCTCCTTTGAACGGCCGATCTGATGCCACAGCTGTCTGGCACGACGCCCTGCTGACTTTGTCTCGGCTGCGCTGTTGGCAGGGGCAAGGACGGCCCGGCCAAGAGCACGACCCCGGGCGCAGACAGCGCAGCGGGCAGTGACACGAGCAAGGACGACGCACTGGTGAGGATGCCCGCGAAACCTATGCCCGTCAGGGCCAACCGAAATTGCTTCAGGTCTCTGCCGTCTAGCTCGAGTGGTAGGAATGACAGGGTGGCTTGATAGAGTTCGATAGCAAATTGGTGCATTGAAGGAAGATCCGCCTTGTTGGTATCTACTGGCTGATTGCCGACGCTGCTTGCAGGCGTTCTCCGAGAACATCAAGAACACCCTGGGACGGCTCCGTATGGAGAAAAGCCAGCAGAAGACCCCTGGTGCACACGCGACCAGGTACGGGACGCGCCGCCACGGCCAGGAACGGCTTGCCTGCTAATAAGGCGCTCCTCCGTGATTCTTTCCTCGGGCTAGAGAACCAATCAAGTCGGATTAACAAGCAGCCCGGACCCTGGCCGCTTCTGCTGTCGGGAGCATGTCCTAACAAGTACCTATTTGAGAGGCGGAACCTTGGGGATACGAGCTACAACTGGGCCGGTGTTAGCTTCATATTGCGGTCTGACCCCACTTCATGCATTCGCAGGGCGCCACAGGCGGTGAAGGCTTCGGCCCCCGTGTCCCGGGGCATCGAGGGCGCTCTACACGAGACGAGCCGGAACACTCCGGCAAGCACCTGGTAAGCCAAGTGCTGCGACTGGCGTGGTACCCACTGGTGTTGGCAAGCTTGACAGCTTGACTGACGATCAATCTTGTGCGCTCCTGCCGTTGTGATGTGCTTCGTCTGGGAAGTCTGCAGAGGCGAACTTCGAAGTACGCTCCTGGGGCCCCACTTGCGATCTCGTGTTGCTTTGTACCCTCCGTTGTTCAACAGCCTTGTTCTGCTTGTCCAGGGCTCGTGTGTCCAAGCTGAAGGACCCCAAGGCTGCGGACGCTGCCCGCGCTCTGCGCGTGTCGGGCGCCAACTGGGAGGAGGAGATGCAGGCCGCGATGCAGGGCAAGTACGCCGAGAACATCAGCCCCGAGAAGAGCGCGTCAATGGACACGGCGGGGGGCGTCCGGGACAGCCTACGTAACTGGAGATAACATGGCCAGGGCAACAAAGCGTAGCGGTGGTGGTTAAGGCTATTTTTAGAAAGCCAGGAGCGGCGGGCAGATAGTTGGAACGATGCGTTGTGGTGGAGACTGCTTCAGGACGTGATGCCGAGCTCTTGTACTCGATTGATGGTTGAAGCTTTGAGCAGGCGTCGGAGCGCGGTAAAATTTAGCGGTGCCAGTCCGACGGGCTGGCTGTATCTAAGATTCGTGGTTTTCCTTCTAATCCTCACAGGACTGCCCTAGACGATAGGACACTTGATATCCACGACAGGCCCCGTGATCATCACGATCACGACTTCATCTTAGGACGAGGTAGAACCGTGCCCACGTCAAAATCCTTGTCTTTGACGGGTGCACTTTTTAGAACCCCTATTTCACGATCTAGTGCTTTCAGTCGTCCACTGGCGTTTGAACATTGTCATTCTCGAAGAACTTGACTCTTCAAGGACAAAACCGAGGGCAACAGAGTACTGGGCGTGACATGGTCAATCGCAGGTGTTTACGATCTTGGTTCAGTTAGAGACGTGGCAGCATTATGCAGGGTTGGCAACGTTGGTAAACAGTGCCCTGCAGTACGTGGCTTCTTGACTCTGCAAACAATGATTTTACTGCGACGGTTGTCCTGGGGTGTTTGTGTATCTGAGCAACATCAGTCATGCATCAAGCATTATCGATCATCCTCGTTGTTGTTCAGGCCTCGGTCCACTGCGCTTATATTCATGGACACTTCTCTTCAAGCCCGTGCGCATCAAAGGCATGGGGCGTGTGCAGGTACTTCGCAGTGTTCGGTCATGCATCATGGCATGGATGACAACTACAACCATGAATCCATAAACCCTAGGTCCGACATTGACGTGCATGCCATATACTCTCCGATCGAGTCAGTCTGAAGCCTATCTTAGCCTCCACGAACCGTGAGAGCTTCGGCATATACCGGTCACGTACTTATTGTCCGGTCGTCCGATCATTCGAACATGCCGCTACCGGTAATTAGCATGAGCTCCAAAGGCGCGTGCGGCCGCGGCGATTGATCGAGCTTGTGCCTTGAGCATATCTATATCAATTAGCACACTGACGTGCAAACAGGCCCCACGTTTGATGGACGAGCTTACTAAAATGGTGATATCATTAGCGCATATACATATGTCGGATTGCAACAGTACAAAAGACTGAGTCCTCGACCAGAAGATTATATTGCAGATCTATGGCAAGCACGGGCATTTCACACTGACAGGTAAAAGTGTTCACATGGTCTGCTTTACATGATGTCGAGTTCGACGACAGGCCGCGGCCCTGATATGGAGGTTACTATGACACGGTTGTCAACTGGCTGGTAACAAGTGCGTACGTCCCCTTCTAATCTGAAACCTGGTCAGCCACCTGGTCCCGCTTTTTGACCGGCTGACGGAACTAGTGATCAATAACACTTGCCAGAACCTCAGTGCATTCTTATCGAAAGTAAACGTACGCACGCCAAGCCGTTCTTCAGAGTTTGATATCGGTCGGTTGAGCAGGAGGCTGTCGTCCACCTTTTTTGTGACGTGTTCTTATACTAGACACTATCGTCACCAAGCCTATCTCCAACGCAAAGTGCTTGCCTATATGCACGGTTACTAACGCAGGTCAGAATTAAAGCCAGCTCCTGGTGCAGCGCCCGTCCTATTGAACTCCGCTTACCCTCATTTCATGCTAGTTTGTGCAAAACATATGAGGCAGCAAATTGTAAATGCACGTCTTACGAGTAAACGTCTTGAGGCCCACTGATCGTGCTTAAGATTGATTCGCTGGCCACACAACCCGTTGGCACCTGTCATTCGCCGGTGGACACCCGTGCACCAGTCTCCGTCGATGCTCTGCACTTCTCCTCTTGCGGATTGCCAAGCTCAGTGTGTTTTTTCCGCAGCGTCCCCGAGCCGCCCGCGCGGCCGCGTCGGCTCAAGGCGCGGTCCTGATGGTGGTGCGGCCCAGGTAGTCGGCGAAGTCCTGCAGGCCGCCGCCAGCTTTGAGGCACAGCCGCTCGTTGGCCACCGCCAGGTGCACCTTGCGCCCCGCCAGCCGGTACACGCCGCCCTCCACCTGGCAGCACGGACAGGCAACAACAGCGTCAGCAGGAAGGCGGGCCAAGCCACGAAGCAGCGCAAGTGAACTATACGAGCAGCTTCTTCTCCGCCGACTCAGCGGCGGCCCTTCGACGGATGTCCGTGTGCTCGACTGCCAGAAGTCGATCTGTCGATCTTTCGCCGCTCCCAAACACCTACTCCAGCATCTTCCTCAGCCGATCTTCCGCTGTGATTGCTCTACCGAGCTTCGGCAATCTGTTGCCTCTGCAATTACGTCATATTCGTCAAGACGAGATCTGCTTTCTTTCACGGTGTTTCGCTTCCACTCGTTTGATATCAGAATTGCAGCGGAAGCCGTTCTCGTGCAAACCATTATCCTGGTCGACACGTTCGATTTTATAATGGTGCCGCAACGTGTTCGCACCTTGACGAGCGGCAGCTTCCTCCCGGTCTGCGCCCGGTACGCGTCGTGCAGCGCGCGCACCAGGTGGTCCATCTTCTTGGCCTGCGCGCGCTGCCGCATCTCCGCCGACATGCTGCGCAGCAGGGGCCGCTCCGTATCCTCCTGCAATGGACCGGAGCGAATGATCGGATCAAGATAACACCGAGGCGCACTGGATCTGCTTGCCTACTGAGCGACATCCATTGTGGGCGACGCAAAAATAAGCGTCCCAGGGACAACCCAAGTATACTGCACGAAGCATTCGAAACGGCACGAATCCAATGAACCGACTCCATTTGTTCCAGCTGGCCTCACCCGGGGTGCCGTCCTGGGGCTTAGGCTCTTGTACGCCAGTAGGTCCGCCAGCTGGGCCGGGGACAGGGTGCGTTTCTCTGCCGGGGGGGCGCTCGGCGTGCCACTAGACGAAGGGGCGTCGATGCTGAGGGGGAAGGGCGGAGATCGTGTCAGAAAGCCCACGGCGGGCCCGTTACCGGTGCCGGCGAAAAGTCACACCCACGTCCACAAACGACGGCTGGAATGAAATGCTGGCAGAAAGGTTTGCGTTGAAGTGCACCCCAGCTTAACGAACACGAGGAAGAGGAGAAGTGTGGTGAGGCACGAAAACGATCCCGATAAGAGAACGACTGCCAGTGCTCCGAAAATGTTTGAACCACAGCATGGAAGTCCAGTCAGCTTTATTAATTCCGGGCATACTTAAAAGATGGTCCGCGGATACTTAAAAGACGGTGGTGCTGAGCCTCTGGAGAGCCGTACCTGTCCTCCCTCGTCGTGCCCACGTGAAGCAGCCCCTCCGCTTTGGCGATGGCGAGCCGGGGCTCGTGGCTGGATCTGCGGCGGCTCTGGCTGCCCAACCCGCTGTCAGCCTGCGGCGAAGCGGCGATGCCGCCGGCCACCTGGAAGAAGCAGCCAAATCGTCATGGGTGTGGCAAGGGTAGGAGGAACCCCTGATTCAAGCGAACTTCGTGAACGGCTTGACGATAACAGCTTTTCTTTGTTTGCACAAAAGGAGGTCAACGAGAGTATTTTCGAGGTGCGCCGTTCAGACAACGAATCGTCACTCGTGCACTTCTTTGACCGTCAGAGGCCCCAGGGTAATAGCACGGGGGCGCTGCGTGCTTGGGGGGTGGTCTCACCTTGGTCTGCTTTTGCTCCGCGGCCTGCAGCTCCTGCGCGGCCCCTTCCAGCAGCTCCGCCAATTGCGCCAGCCGCACCTCCAACTCGCGGACCTGCTCCCACGGGCGACACGTGTTAGCCTCACTCCCTCATTCAATGACTCCTTGCAGGACCTTTGTTCAGGATCTGAGGACTTGCTTCGTTCACGCAAACGGGAAAAAACTGTCTCGATGTGTTTCAGAACGTGGTCGTGTCGCGCAGCTTCGCAAGCAACCGTATGGGCTGCTGTAGAACGCGCCCCTGTCCCGCCTTCGTCCATCTGATTTGTCGTGAATGCACTCGGCATAAGTGGGGCACCGGTGCGGCCGCCATGAACCGTCTCACCTTGCTCATCTCCGCAGTTTTACTGCCCGGGCGGGGGCTGATGAGCTCTCTCGCCACAGAAAAGCGTTGGGCGAGGGACACCAGGGCCGCCACCCGGTCCAGCTCAGAAAGGGGGTCGGGCTCCACGCCCACACTCTGGCGGCGGCGCAGCAGCAGCAGCCCCGACAGCTCCTCCTTCTCCTGCCGCAGCGCACGCACCTGCGAGCAGCAAGCGCGCGGATCCGTTTGGTCCATTATCTGGGTTTTTGACGAAACGCCATGTGGTTCTGGACGGATCGTAACGGACTGGTCTTAGAACCCTGCAAACATCTTTACAGAGACGTTTAGCAGATTTGCCTCAAGTTGGACCAATACAATGGTCGGAGGTGTTAGGATGCCTTCGGCGCAGATAATCTTACTAGGTCCTAAAAAATCCCAGCATGTCTATGAATACTTTCAAATCAGCTGCAACCTGGGGCCAAAATCTGAGCAAGCCTCTCTTCAGAGAAGGAGAACGTGCACGACCACTTCGTGTTACAGACCAGCATATCGAGCTCCCCTCCTGTTGGTTACCTTTTTGGCGAGCCGCACGCACTTGGCCTCCAGCTCCGCCCTGGTCAGTCCCGCCAGGTACTCCTCTGCCAGCACTCCCTCGGCCACTGCGGAGCCAGCCTCGCTCGGCGTCTGCTCTCCCTGCTCGCACTCTTCTTCCTTGCCCCCCCGTAGCTCCGCGTTCTCCGCGACCACCTTGGAGAGCGCCTCCCGGAAGCTGTTCTCTGCGCTCAGCGCATTTGGCGAGTCCGGCAGCTGCCCGCTGTGCGCCCCCGCCAGTGACGAGTAGTGCGCGGCGGTGGGCGCCTCTGCGAGCCCGCTTCCCACGGTCTGCGAGGCCTTGGCGGCCTTGGTGGGCTTGGCAAACGGGCCCAAGCCCCGGAAGTACGTCCCCAGGAACGGCAGCGGAGCGGGCACACGCGCCGACGGGCTCTGCTCGGCGTCAGATTCCTCCTCGTCGCTGACGTCATCCTGTCCTGGCGCCTGTTTTTGCCCCGCTCTTTCCTCTTGCAACTGTTTGGCTGCCAACGCATTCGCCTCTGAATTGCGGCTCTGCTCCGAGGGGGTGGTGGTACCACTTTCACCGGCGTTCTTGTCGCCCTTGAGCCCCCCCATGCCATGCGGCGCCTCTTGGTTCACGCTCTCTGCATCGGACGAGTCCTCCGACGCCGAGTCCAGGATGTATTTCCGGCCTTTCCGTCTGCCCGCCAGCTCCGAGTACGTCGACCCTCGACGACTCGCCCGTCCGCTCCGCTCCTCGGCATCCATACTGCTCTGGCGGGCCCTTGTGAACACGCCTTGTGCCTTTTTCGTTCCACCAGCCACCACGCTTGCTCTGCCATCCCCAATCGACTCCCTGCTCGTCAAGGGGGCCCCCTGGCCCACGCTGCCGGTGCTGCTTTTCCTGCTGAGCGGCCCCCCCACTAGCTCCACCTCGTTGCTCACTGAACTGGATCTGCCGCCCGCACCGCTTCTCCCAGCAGCCTTCACCTCCAGGGTGCCATCTGGAGAGAAACTGCCTTCTACCACAGCCGGCTCTTCCTCTCCACCATCACTTGCCCGGCTCATTCTTCTGACTGCCCCTTCATTATCTCCCAACTCCAGGACCTCGTCCAAGTCAAGGCTCTTGTCCTCCTCTGCTCCGTTTTCTTCCGCCTTTGCGTCATCCTGTTCTCTAGGTGGGGCCCCGTCCTCAAGAGCGCCGTACTCAGGCGCGGTGACGCTGCTCTGGGACGATCGCTTTGACAGCTGCCCCTCCACAGAGCTTCGCCTGCTGCTCGTTCTCTTCGCCATTGGCACCTGTGTCTCCAAGGCAGGACCCTCCACGTCCACCATAGCAACGCCCTGTGCTTCCAGCGGATTCACCTCAAAACCTCCGTCCATTTTGGCAGTGCCCGCCCTCTTCTTCCTTTTCGGTTTCTCCCCTTTGGCCCGTTTTGACCTCTGGCTCCTAGCTGGCGGCACCATTTCCTCAGTAATGTCGGTAGGCTGGCTTTCCTCCCCCCCTGTGATTGGCTCCTCAACTGCGACGACTATGGCTCCTGTTTGGCCAGCGTCCGGAAGCTGGCCCCCCAGGCTGCCGGCATACAGTGCTCTAGTCTCAACCCCTTCCTCGCCCCCTACTGAGCCCGCGTGGACGACCCCCCTGCCCAGCTCGATCGACTTTTTGGCCCGCCGCTTGATCTTGTTGGACGGAGCAGGGGGTAGAGCTGCCGCTTCCAGTGCTCCCGTTGAGGCCCCCGTCTGCCCTTGCTCTTCTTGGCAGCCTTCCTGACCAGGCAGACTCTGCCTTCCGCTGCTAGGAGCTTTCTTTGCGCTGCCATTGCTCTCTACGCTACTCCTACGCAGCAGCCTCTTCATCTCAGCAACCTCGGTTTCAAGCGATTCCAGCCGCTCCGACCTGGACCCTGCACTGGCCCCCTCAGCAGCTGCCTGCTGGTTCTCCTCGAGTGCAGCCAGGTTGGTTGAGCTCCCGGTTGGCAGGGCGTGGCTCCGCCGCCCCTCGCGCAGCAGCCGGCTCTCGCTGCCCCCCAGGCTTCCAGCGTGGAGGATCTTGCCGGGAGGTGGTGCAGACATTTTGGGCGTGGCTGTCTGTCGTTCCTTTTCAAATTGCAGCTTTAACTGGCCGCCTGCTTCTGGTTGATTCTCTTGCGCTGCTTGGGCCACCTCGCCATCAGATTCTTGCCTGCTGTCATGCTTGTCCATGTGTGCAGGCTCCGACTCAGCGGCCGCCAGCAAGGCTGGCAGATCTTCCACAGCACTGATGGCTTCTTGCCGCTTCATCCCTGGAGATGGACCTGGGACTGTCAGTTACGGACTTGACTGCAAACTTCGAGGTCAAAAAGTTAACATCGAAATATGAAAAGCAGCTCGAAAGCGACAGCATCTGGTATCAACAGTGTTTTTCCTCTGGTCAAAGCGACGCAGCCATGTGACATTGCAGAGTAATTTTGAAGTACTGCCTAAAGACGCCCCACCTTTGCACCAGATGAGCGTCTCCAGCGAGATGTCCCCTTTGGCCCACAACCCACGCAGTACCTCCCACGAGCACGGCCCAACCGGGCGGCCCCCCGTCTCCTCGTTTCCATAGAAGAAGTGCAGCGTCTCAAAGTCCGCAGGGAGCGACACCAGGCTCGCTATGCCGACATCAGGGCCCAGTGGGCCCTCCATCCTTTTCTTTTTCAAAGTGAAGCATAGGAGGTCGGCTTCCTTTTGCAATGGGCGATACTCCTCCTCCACTACACACTCGTTGCGGAAAGCGGCAATGATATGTTGGCAGTAAGCTGACCTGGCATCTTACAGTGGATCAATCAGTGAGTTGTACCTGAGATACCTGCATTCAGGAGCATTTTGCACAAATTTGAAGACGTGAGCTTCCATCACTCGTTGAGTCTTTTTGTGTCAAACTTCAATGGTCCGTTTGATCAGCTGGCATGGTTGCAAGGAAATCATGCATTTCAAAAGTTCAGACTGTGACTCCAATCAGTGTGAGGGCACCTCAGAAGCGCATACGTATTCCCCTGCTGGTCTTAGAATCATGTGATCAAGCTGCCTCGAACGTACAACGTCCCTTCCGACGGACCTGGACCGCTATATGTAGAACTGAGTAAGTCGCTTGCGCGCCAGGGTGCTGCCACTTATCAATGGCGCATGCATTCTCAAGTCCCACGTGCTTTGTCCCAGAAAGGTCATCCATGATTCAAACCTTTCAAGTTCTGTGACTTCAGCCAAGTCAAATCCATGGCCATCTACAACTTCCAACCCACATGGACTGCGCGCGAGCAACCTCGCAGCATCGGAACACCGTCAAGTAAATTCAGAAGTCAAATTTTCCACCGTCGATAAACCTTGACATCAAGCACCGGCGCGGCCGGGCGCTATCAAGGGCGGCGGCCGCCCGCCGAACCGGTCCGGCGGCGCGGGCCGGACCGCGCTGTGAGCACCCTCAGTCTTTGAGGAAGACAGCTAGGGGCACGTATAGTCCGATGATGGTTACTCTCGGTAGTCATGTACATGGCCCAAAGGGCAGAGAAAAAGCGCACATACGGTATCTTAATGATCCAGTTACATGCAATTGGATCAGCTAGTATAAGTGTGGCAAAACTTGAAAGCGCGGGAGCTGGAGGATCTAGGCGGCACTTTAAGTGAACGGGCGATAGCAAGTGCGCCCTCGACCGAACCCGAGATGCAGTCGCCTGACGTGTGTGATGCAGGAATATATAAGCTTAACAACCTTTGTCGGGGAGGAACTGATCACATCATTGCGCCTACTGCTATACGCAGTTTGGGTATCACCAGATCTGAAACGTAGGTGCACACTTCAGCTCACTCACTACAGCATATATGCATGTGTCCATGAGAATGTGTCTGACGCTTCCCAGATTCATGAACTGATCGATGCAGCCATATCTGAAGCATGGATGGCAGCGAGGGGAGAAAGACCTCGTCGCGTTTTATCCTCAACGTAGCCGAACTAAACGTACGATATTGACAAAGTTTGCATGCCGTCTCGATGCAGTATTGTGACGCATGAATGGTAAAAGCTAGCTTCTAACCTTTCCGCTCGTAATCTGTTCTTCCGAGTTATGCTTCTCGAGTACTTTCTGCACACTTGCACGGACTGCACCCAGTTTCCAGAAATGTCGACCTGCAAGGAGAACTGGTAAGAAATCAGATAGACGCAACATGGCAAGGCATCCGCTGCGAAGAGTGCTTGCAACCACAAGTTGAGGTGGATGGCCGCCATCTGCTCCGAGCCGGTTGCTTCACAGGTGTCTGACAGAGGTCGTGACGCGGTCGTTAAGATTACATCCTCGACCAGCGATGACCCACCCACTGGATTGACTTACTTTTGACTTGCCCCGAAAACTTACTCCAAAGCTCCACCATGGGATCGATTCAAAGGCCCGCTTGATATTCTTTACGAGGATAGAATCAACGCTGTCCCAGTATGGATCGCACACGGCTGTTCAAAGGTTACAAATTACTCTACAGCAGACCAGTACTTTCGACCCATCTTCTGACTCTCCTGAGCCTACCATTTTCCAAAAAAGGTTCACAAGCGATCCGATCAACTACAGTAGGCTAGTGTAGGGGACACGACGAGCCGGGTTGAGCGGCCATCAAAGATAATCTCAACGAATGTACTCCTGGTGTCTGGGCTTAGAGCTTCTAGCTCCCTAGTCTGACCCATCTGGAAAAGGTCTACCTTTCTCTTCAAATTGAGCGTGTCTTGTTTGAGGAAATTCTCTCAGAACTGCCTTATCTCGGCCGGCCCTAGAAACATCCTCGTATCAAGGTGCGGACCAAGTATATAAGTAGCAGCCGTCAATTTCGTCAACAAGAAGCGGTGGCTTACCTGAAGTGCGACGAGCAAAGGGCTGTCATACAGCTCGTGGCAGGCGCACGTCAGCCTTGCTCCCACCTGTAAAGCAGAACGTGGGTTGAAAATGTCACATAGAAGGCCGAGCTCTACCGTCACGAAACAGCATGCACCAGACTTGGATCAAAGATGCCAAGAACCAGAAGTGGGTCCTTATGTCCAGCAGACAAACAGCCTGGGTCAAGCTTTGGCTCCGCATCTCTATTATCCATCCGCTTCTACGTTGTGCGAAATCCACCATAACTTCCGCAACATGTCGTCAGATAGACAGATTAGCCAATGACAGTGCTTACATGCCCTCGCCGCTTGTCCCTGCTTGCCCTCCTCCGGATATTGCGGCACGCCCCTGGCTAGTTTGCCTTAGGTATCTGGTATGCAGCTTGCCCAATGAGCCAGCGCTCTGGCACGTGGGACATGGCCAGCACGACCGCCACGAGGGACAGCACAGCCAGGGCCGCCACCCACCAGGAGCGGCGCGGGATGCCGAACTCAAGCTCCTCCAACTCTGCCGAAGAGACGAAGGGTCAGGGCATAATCGCTTGGGCTAGAGAAGCACCCTCCTTATGTTAAAACCTCGTTCTAACCGCATTCGATATAAGCAAGGCGTTCTGCACTGTTTCAACCAGAGCTGCAACTTGTAAATGATGTCCAACGGCAGATCCTCTGGCCGCATAACTGCAACTGAAGCACACAAGTCATTTGAAGAAACGTCTGAAGCATGAGAGTGTGAGGCACACGTTAACTCTCAGCAATCGAATTGATGCACAAAAGCAAAGCATGCGGTCCCACCTATGTTGAAGATTGCCGTTGTTGGGGGCTTGCGTCCGCCCACCACCAGCCCTAGAGGCTGTACTGTCACTAGGATCGCAGCCTGCACGGGTACGGCCCCGCGCTGCACCAGACACAGGGATCAAGGGTGATCGCAGCAGCAACCTGTACAGTAGCTTGCCGTTCTTTTTGGCTACCAAACAGACCAACTTACTGGTTCCAATTGTTTTCAGCAGGAGAGTCCGCAGCCTTCCTGAGCTGGCAGCCAGTCTTTCTTGGAGCCGTCCGGAGTTCACAGGACACTCACCAGCGGCCTGCCCGAGTCATCCGTTGTAAATACCAGCTTCTCTGTGTCCAGGAGCCGCCTCCTGCCAGCCCTGGTATCTTCACGCTCCTCACCTACCAGTTCAATGTGATATGTTGCAGGAACCTGCGCACTTGGCAGAAAAGCATCAGTATAGTCAAGAGCACTTTGCGTTTAATCCTAATCACCGGTTATCGGCGGTGGTGATACTCTGAGCTTCACAGCTGTCTGAACAATTCAATACTCAACCTGGCCATAAACATCCTAATGAGGAAAGTGCTTGCTAGTGCCCCCAGAACACCAACAATACCCGAAGATCAACAGGGGCATCACAAACCTGGCAATGCGTTGTGAGGGACAAAGATGTGTGCGGCGCCCACCGTGCCTGGGAACGAAATCTTGACTTCGTAGCCCTGTTGCTTCTTCAAGCCCTTCAGCTCATACAGCGCTTGGCCCCCAGACATTGGCAGCTCCACCTGCTGCAGAGGCACGCCAGCTTCAAGGCTGCTCCTCGTATCATACTGCCTGCACACAGAAGCAGAAACGGCTGACCCCAATGGCGGTACTTATGAAAGACAAGAATTGCATGTTCTCAGAGCTCTGCATTGCGCGCTGCTGACGAGTCGATGTCTTGAATCCCTCTCATCATAGAACTTCTTCTCACCTGTCTGGCTCAAGCACCTTTGCTAGAGCAAGGGAATTTGCAAGGAGGAGCAGGAGCCACGAAACTCTTTCGAGGGCGCCCATTAAAGCACAAGACTTCCAACTTGCGCAACCACAAGAACTTCCAACTTGGCGGGGAAAGGTCACATGCAGCATGCCTGCATAGGCCTGAGGTCGAAGAACCAGGAATGTTCAATCTTTCGAAAAATGCTTCAAATTGAAGGCAGGTTCGGCATATCCTGTGAATTAGCAGTGCAGACAACAACTGCCGTCTCCGGCCGTGGGAATACACGGCACTCTTGCTCCGTTCAAAGCAAGGGCGACGCTTTTATCGCCGTCAATAGTACCGGTTTCTTGGTGCTTGCAACCTACACAGCGGATATAAGAGACCGCAAATGCCCTCCATTTCCCTTTCTTAGGTTTAACAGCCAGGTGCGCTGCACCAGCAAACATGGCTGAGCTGGCCCCGGCCCTAGGCCTGGGCCTGGGCCCATGCATGATCGAGGGCCATGACACAGACAGACAACTTACCCTTGCGCAAAATTAGCAGCTGAAGTGGGCGTAAGAAAGAGACTTTCTACTCATTCTTGTCAGCTGGCGTCTGGTGCCAGCTCCTTCAATCGCTTAATTACGTGTTGCTCGCTACAAAATTTGCAATTGGAGGACTGAGCAGCGAAGGTGGTGCATCACTGAGCTTCCAGACCGTTGCTCACCCTGTGCCGGTATCGCATTGTCACAAAGATGACCTTGTCTCTTCAATTGCCAGATTGGAGCAGCACCACCTGGCTCACAGCCTTCATTGGTGTCATATCCGCCCTGCGGCTTACGTACTGGCAGTTTTTTGTGAAAGATAATGTGATAGCTGTGGAGAAGGCAAAGCAGGGCGTTCCCAGTGCGGCAGACAATGGCGGTGTCCCTGCTGGACCAAGGGGGTGGCCCTTGGTTGGGAATCTGCTGACTCTGGGCCATGAGCCGCACCGGGCGCTGGCGGACCTTGCGCAAATGTGAGTCTGCGGGCTTCTCCATGTTGCGGAGGGCAGTCTTGCTGCCGACCCACAACTGTTTGAGCTGGAGACAAATCATCTTGTCAGGGACATATAATGCTGCCTCGCTTCTAGAGGCAATTAGTTGGCAAGTGGTTAGCTTATCTGATTGCAATTCTACTGACATCTGCTGGACTGTCTATCCCTTTGATCCTGTTCCGGTTTCTGCAGCTATGGGGACGTCCTTCAAGTGCAACTGGGGGCCTTTCCAACGCTGGTGGTGTCAAGCATGAGCCTTGCTAAAGAAGTCCTTGTGAAGCAGGTGAAGAGCAGGCAACATCAGATAGAAGCTTCCAATAAAACCTCATCTATAGTGCCTTGTTGTGTAGTGTTTGATTACTTGACTGGTGCTTAGTGTAGAGTTTTTGACAAGGAACCTCCATGGTGGCACAACTATTGAAAGGATGTTGCAAACTCTGTGCACATGTGCTGATATGTTCCAAGGACAAAGGCAATCCAGCCTGACATTTTAAGAGAGTCTCGTATCTCCTGCCCAGTGTGCTGACACCTGTCACTACCACCGCCTGGTCCAGGCTGCTCACTTTGGAGCTGCGGGAGAGCCCATTCGCATCGTGGAGCTTGGCCTTGGTTGGAACAGGCCCCAGCTGGCTGCTAAGCGCGGGGCAGCCAGAGCTTTAGTGCTCAGCCAGGCTCTCAGCGGGGCTTTCAAGAGCGCACAAACAGCAGGACTTGTCAGTAAAGCAATCCACGAGGTCTCCGAAGAGCTTGTGACCACAGTCAAGGAAGAGCTGGGGGATGCGGCAACAAACAATAAGTCCGGAAATCCTCAGATTACAGGACTGAGGAGCCTGCTGAGGCGCGCAGCACTCAATGTTTTGTTGAAAGTGGCATTTGGGGTGCGAATAGCGGGAGACAGCTGGCAGCAGGAGAGCGGCGGCCAGCCTGGGCAGCCGAGTGGGAGCGTGGCGATGCTGGAGGTGATTCTGAGCGAGATGTGGCAGCTGGTGAACAACCCCGTGCTGGCGGACCATGTGCCCCTCCTGCGGCTGGCGACCGGCGCGCTGACCACGCGCTGCAGGTTCCTGGCCAGGCAGCGGGACTGCATACTACGCGACCTGGTGGGGGGGGCCAAGAAAGCACGAGAGCAGGCGAGTAGCGGGGATGGAAAGTTGGGGAAGAGTTTGAGGAGGGCAGAGTCTTTGCTGGACGCCCTTCTGGCGGGGCAGGAGACGAGCGGGCTGACGGATGGGGAGGTGGCGGATGTGCTGGCAGACTTCGTGCAAAGGGGCGTCCTGCCTGTGGCAGCGACGGTGGAGTGGGCCTTGGCCGAGCTGACGAGGAATCCGGAGGTGAGGGCCGCAGCGAGCAACGAACCTGCACTCCTTGACTCGATGCCAGCGCTGGTAGAAAAGCGACGGCGGCACTCTTGCTGTGGCTGCTGTAAGAAACCTGCTTTCTTGGAACACGTGTGCGTTCTTACTGCCTGGTCGCAGTACGTTCACCTTTCCATACCTTGCGAGGACATGCCATGTTACCCGTTCGAATTTGCGTCTTTCCCTCTTTTCCGCTAGCCAAGGTAGGTGTTTGATTCCGGACGAGCCTTCTCCTGGACAAGACAAGGGCACGGAGCGACACTCCCTGCATCCGTTGCTTTTTCGACTTTATTCAATGATGAGACTCGATGTACCTCTACTTATTCCAACATCGTTAAGAAATGTGTCAAAAGCGCTTTCCTTCCCTATACGCAGATACAGAAGAGGCTGAACCAAGAGCTGGAGGTTGAGGTCTTTGGCAAAGGAGGCGACGTGCCACGGCAAGCCTTGGCGCGAACGCCGCTGCTTAGTGCGATCATCCTGGTAAGCGTCTAAAGTTGACGCTCGAGGCTGGACCTCATCATTGACGCAGGTATAGACTGATCAAAGCTCGCAGGTTCCGCCTCTTGGAAGGACTGCGGAAGACAATCTACGTGCACAATTCGTGAGCGGCACGTCCACGACTGTCCACTGGACGTTGAAGCGTTCGTTCGACAGTTTGTAGGACTCCTTTTCTAGTGAAAGCAGATTATCAATCTTCAGTACCTCAGACTTCGAGGACTTCTGCAGGAGAACTTTCCGAAGCCGCTCAGATACCCCTGGACCCCTTGTTCGCAGGCCTTCCCCTCGCCAGCGCACATGCGTGATTTTACCCGCTTGTACCTTATGTGACGTCGTGTGGTGTGCTGTGCTGTCCAGGAGACTCTGCGCTTGCACCCCACCCAGCCTCTCTCCCGCCCGCGTCGAGCCGCGGAGGATGTGCACATTGACGGCTACCGGGTGACAAAAAGACAGAACGTCGTCATCAACACGTGGGCCCTCGGCCGAGATGCACGGTATGCTGCAACATCCCCGCAAATCTGCTCTTCTGCCTTGGTTTTGACAATGAAGTTGACAATAGCTGGGGGCGCCTGACTGCAAAGAACACGAGCGTTCTCAGATCCACGAAAGCAGGGGTTCACCTTGGACCTGGTGCACGTCATTTGATGTGTCCCGTCAGGTGCTTATAATCTGACAGAGCCGCGATGTCCATCAGAGTGCGCCAACAGCCCCTGGTGCACACTGGGAAGCCCTGGCTTGCCAAATTGAGAGTAGTCGCTGCCGGCGTTTTCTGCTGACATCACCAGCCATGTTGCTCTTGTTAGGTTGTTCCGGTCTGCCTCCGACTTCGTCCCGGAACGCTTTTCCCAAGGCGCCTTGTCGACTCTTTTAGACGCGAAAGACTTGTACTGGAGCTCCTTGCGGGTCGACGAAACGGACGTGTTGATAGACATAGCAGCCTACTTTCTTGGGGTCCTTGTCCGAGGTTTCGAATGGCTGCCTGGATTGATGCACGAATCGCGGCTGTCATTGCAAGAAAGTTCAGGGGTCGAGGTCTCCGAGTTGGTGTCAGCCGTTGCTCCCTGCGCAAAAATTCGGTAGCACTCATTATGCTTCCTACAGAAACTTGTACTACGGGTTGGGTTGCCTGTACAAGCGCAAAGGTCACATTCCTATTTGCGAATTGATTTACGCATTATGCTAAAATACATATGGTGCAACTAGTTGCCCCTGCCAACAACTGTCGAGTGATTCACTGTTCGAAAGAACTGTCACCTTCCCGTTCATTGATCAACGACTGTGCAGCAGCTGATCCGGTTCGGTTCGCATCACGATCGAGTCTGCATGCATCAAGGCTAGGCCGGTCAACAATCAATGGCGACAACCTTGGAAGTTTTTCTCAAAGCTTGCGCGCCATCATCGAAAACCAATCCAACGATCTATGAGCATTTAATCAATAAGCACGGACCCGGCAATTATACTTTTATAGCGTGCCATGCTGTTCATGAACAGATGATGCAGATGATATCCACATTGCCCCACCCGGGTATCTTTGCATGAACAATCCGCGAAATGAATGCCAGACGTGCATGCAGCCCGGTGACGATCTCGATCGAGCTACATGCAGCCTAGATCAAGGATCAGTAATGATTGAAATTAAGTGTCGAATCATCGAACAAGTTTCTACAGTGGAATTGGGATACTGTTAATTCGGCTTACTTAATCATGGCACGTGAATTTATGACAAAACCACGATTTGATCAAAGAGAACATCAAAACATGTCAACACGTGGTGCTTCAAATCATTTAACGCTGATCGTGTCAGTGTCTTCTTCAAGCTTTGAACCTGCTCATGCACCGGGCATGCACAAGTCATTCAAATTTTGATATGGACTAAACACTCCAGCATGCACTGATTTCCGGACCACCTGCTACAATAAAGTAAGAGTATAAACGCACTCCACTGCTATACATGCGCGGGCTTGACTCGAACCATTTTGCGTGCACGTTCGGAGTCTAACTATCGTACGCGGTACATCGATGTGAACGGGCTGAACATGTCGCTGGTGCAACGTTGCGCTTGATCTACCAACGTCAAAGACCTTGCACTTTGAATCACGCGGCGTAGGGACGCGTTGGTTCACCGTTTCTCGTTTGTGCAGCCAATTCTTGTGTTCGCATGACTTCACCCCCTTGAAGCCGAGTTCTTCTGCCCCTCGAACTGATTCCTCAGCCGTGTGTAGCGGTCCAGCTCCACTTGGGACAGCGACGGCGTCAACTGGCCCAGCGCCTGCACCGCCATCCGCCCCCGGCAATTAGAGCAGGTGTGCGTACCAGACAAAAAAGGACTGCACTCTTACATATGCTTTGCAATAACCTTCGAAACCTTGCTTCTCCTATGGTTGGAGCGACCTGACGCAACCGTGCTGCAGATCCGGGGCAAGTCGTGCAGTTCTCAGCTTGACAGAAGCCCTGCGCAGGCCCGTACCATGCAGTTGTGCGACTCACCTGCAGGAAATCCTCTGATGCCACCTCGATGACCGGAGGGGCCACGCCCTCTTTCCCCCCGTCGCTCGACCTGGTCGCCTTGCTCTCCGGCTGCACCTGCCCGGTAGCAACCTGCGGAAGCGCGGCCGTTCAGATTGGACACAGGTCACGAGTGCGGGGTGAGGAGAAGAGGCTAGCTTCGTGTCAATGCAAAGCATTGTGCATTATCTGAACACGCAAAAGCTGACTGGTTGAGGAGCAGCACATTACTTTTCGACACATGAAAGTCGAGGCTTTGTCATCCTAATGAAGCTAGCCCAACCTGCTCATCTAAAGACTGAATTGGCAGGACGGGGCCCACCTTTCGTTTCAGCGCGAAGAGCCAGGCATCCGCGCAGAGGGCGTAGAAGTCGGCGCCCGTGAAGGTGGGGGGGCAGCGCTGCGCGACGGCTGCCAACGAGACAGTGGCGGCCATCTGGAACTTGCGGGTCAGCGCCTCCAGCACCCTGCAGCGGGACAGACGGCCGGCGGTGAGCGGCAAGCGGTAACATACACTATGAGCAGGATTAGCTGACGCTCAGACGACTTCGCAGCAATGCGCGTTTCGAGCCTCAAGGAGCGTACGGAGCTGCTCATGAAGAGCCAGCTGGGAAGCGAGCGCAGTTGGCGGTGTCCCTGTGCGTCTTTGCAGAGTGAGGAGTCCGCTTCGGGCGGGTGGGCCCGCACCTGACGCGGTACTCGACGTCTGCGGAGATGCCGACGTAGAGCAGCTTGTCGAAGCGGCCGGGCCGCAGCAGCGCGGGGTCGATCAGGTCCGGCCGGTTGCTCGCACCGATGATGAACAGGTCCTGCACCGGGCAACGCAGAAAGCGACTGCTCAAACAATCTTCCGAAACGCTTTCGACCGTCAAAATCGCAGGCTTGTCAAGAATGTTTTGGCCGCAATCAGACAGCCTGGTAGCAACTGGACCGGGCGGACCAGGCAGATGTCGATCAGCTTTCCCTTGTATTTCGACACTCAGAACCATCGCCGCCCCTTGGCCAACCGCAACTTCAATACACGAACTTTTGCCAATTTCGGATGTAAGCTGTTACTAATACCGGTTCCGAGATGCGGTTTGGAGCACCACCCCTACCTTTGGATGCATTGTGTCCTATCTAGGCGCTCTGGCAATGGCGAGTCAATGCTGACTACCGCAGAACCCTCGAACTTAAGCTTGGGCGCCTGGCGCAATGACGCCATATCAAGCCGTGCTGTCGCAGATGGGAGCCTCACCTGGCCGCCCTGCGCTCCATCGATTTCGGCCAGCATCTGGCTGACCACCCGATCCATGACGCCCCCCGAGTCGCCCGCGGCCCCACGCGCGGGCGCCAGTGCGTCCAATTCGTCGAAGAACACCACGCACGGCCGCGCGGCGCGGGCCTGCAAGCGGGGCAGGCTGGGAATTGTTGGCATGGGCAGCGAGTACAGACCTTATACAAACCTTGGGAAGAATGCAGAATGTCTCGCAGGACCCTCAGATTTTAAAGTGGAGATGCTGCCAGCCCATGTGTTTTGACACGAACCTGCTCTCGCGCTCTTCTTATTCGCGTCAGTTTGTTTCGAAGCACAGAAGAGCCGTCAGCACGAAATGCAGCCGGACTAGACATCATACCGAAGCACTCTCAAGCTGGAGTGCAGAGCGCCTTGTTGCTGTACGCGTAACGCCAGATTCCGCCGCTCTCCATGCTTCGAAAGCAGCCCACCTTGGCAAAGACGTCGCGCACGTTCTTCTCGCTCTCGCCGATGTACATGTTGATCAGCTCGGGCCCCTTGACGCTGAGGAAGTTGAGGCTGCACTCGGTGGCGACGGCCTTGGCCAGCAGCGTCTTGCCCGTCCCCGGGGGCCCGTACAGCAGCACGCCCGACCGCTGCCGCAGCCCCGACGCGAACAGTTCGCGGTGCCGCAGCGGCAGCTGCACCGTGTCCAGGATCGCCGCCTTCACGTCCTCCAGCCCGCCCACGTCCGACCACGACACGTTCGGCACCTGCGCATGGGCGGCCGTGGGGCTGGACGGCGGCGAGCGGCATGAGAATCTCGAGGAGTGCTGTTTCATAAAGGAAAGGATGCACAAGCGAACGACGGCGGGAGGAGCCCTCAAGGCCCCGCGATTTTCGAGACCACTATCAAGTCTCAATTTGAAGGCCGGTGCAACGAGTGTCAACGCTGCACAGACCACGCCTTGACGACCTGCTGGCAGTGGCCCTCTTCTAAGGAAAGCAGGACGCGCTATTGCAGTCGGCAAAGCAAGAGTGGCGCCTGCGTGGCCTGACGAGCGCTACTGTTGCGCTTTTCGTCCCTGGCTACCAGCGCAGGGCCGGCCTCACCTTGGGAGTGCCGATCGCCGACGCTGTCCGTGACTTGGTCCGCCCAAACGCGCCCTCCAAATCCTCCGCTGTCACTGCCACGTCAGCATCCCCGCCCTCGGCCGTCCTTTCTTTCCGTGTGAGATCCGCGGCCGCAGTCTCCCCTATTGGCGTCAGCTCGGACCTGCGTGATCCCCCTGGAAGTCTTCCGTTTTGCCGCATGACAGCCCCCACCCCTGCATCTGCGGCAATCGCTCTGAGGTCTCGGGGCACGGCCCCCACCGTCTGCAGCGCGATCGACTGTACACTAGCCAGCAGCTTGCCTCGCGGGTCCCCGGCAGCATCGCCTCCACCGCTCTCCGCGTCTGCCGCTGGCAGGCCCAGCGCATGGCGCAGGATGCGGCCCCGTGTGCCCTCGTCCGGGGGCTCCAGCACGATCTCGTGAGTGAAGCACCGCCGCAGAGACGTGCTGACGTCATCGGCCGACTCGGCGGCTGCAACAACGATCACCAGCCGTGTCGCGCTTCCCCCGGCTCCCCGGTTCCTTCGAGCGCTCGGCAAAGGCCCCGGGGCCCTGCTTCCTCTCCCCGAGAAGCCAGCCCGCCCGTTTCCAGCCCGCCGGTCCGCTTCAGACCGAGTTTCTTCGTCGCTCCCGTCGTCTGACAGGTCGTCGGAACCAGCATCGCCAAGTGAGGAGTCGGAGTCGGACAAAGTATCGGTGCCACTCGACTCGTCTTCCGAGTCGTCGTCCTCTTGGTGGGCCGCAGCTGCCGCGTACCTTTTGACGCAAAAGCGCAGAGCCTCCGCCAGCAGGGACGGGCCGGAGTCGCCCCTGCCCGTAGGCTGACCTGCGCGAACGGCGGTCACAAATTGGAAACCTGGCAGGGACGCTGCTGTGGTGGTCGAGGGCCAGGCGTCATCTAACGGATTGTACTGCCCCCAGTTTCTCCATGCTCGAAATTGTACTGGCCGAATGATTCACCGTGCTGAAGGTCGGGCTTCGGGTTTTCCGCAGAAGTGGTCAATGCAGTTTTTGCCGTACTTACATATCGAGGGCGCCCCAAGTAGCAGCAGACCTTGGGACGAAGCTTCTGAAATGGGCAGCAATCGTTGCGACGTACTAAAGGAGCTCAAATAGAATTTAAATGAAGCATTGCAGGGCCACTAGCTTACTCATAAGCTAGTAGCCCTGCAAAACGGAACTGCATGGGATGGCTGCTTGGCAACGCTTGCCCTACATAAAAAGTTGTCAACAAAGACCGACTCTTTCAAGCACGCATCAAACAGCATTTAAGATTCGACGTGGGTCAGGACCCACCTGTTTCCATGCTGGTGCCAACCGCTCCCCCAAAGCGGCTGAACGCTCCGAATCGTCTCAGCAACAAAATCGCTGGAGAGTAGTTGCTGGCCGTCTCGAAAGCTGCTGCGAGCGTGGAGGCGGCCTTGCCTTCCGACTGGTTGACCAGGTCGTAGCAGTTGTACTCCACCACGTGAATGCCCAGGCTCTGCGCCAGGAAGCAGAACGCGCGTTAGGCAACAGCAGGCCCGAGCAGTACATGAGACCCATGCATGTGTACTGGTTGAATATTGTTGGATGAAGTTGGGTTTCTCAGACGAAAGGTAATGCATGTGTCCACTCAAGAACTATAACTTGCTTCACTGTGTGGGTTCGATCGAGAAGAACGAATCCACTCAACAGACTCACCGTGCTCTAATAGTGCTTTGAAGCAACCGGCACAGAAGTCAACCCTGAGTCAAGTGGAGAGAGCCTGTTCAACAGGAACACTCTAAGCACTACTTAAAAGAACGACAGTGCTTCTCTTGGGCTGTCCTGAAGGAGAGCATTCCGAGCAGGCAGCCCCTTTTCCCCACCCTCCGCCTGTGTTGCCGGCTGGCTCACCTCCGCCGCCGCTCTGGCTGCGCTCCTCTTCCCCACCCCGGGTGGGCCCAGCAGCAGCACCGCCGTCCTGAGCTGCAGCCCGCGCGCCGCAGGGTGCAGGCTGGGGGCCAAGAGGCGAGCCACATCCTGGACCACAGCAGGGGACACCGCAAGGGGAGGCGCAGCCCTGCGGGCGGAACCAAGGCTAGGTGGCAGCGCATGATTCGTGCTGCCGACCAGGACCAGTGCAGTTTGGTCCCTCTGGATGGCCAGGAAACGCTCGGACTCAGGTTCCAGCGACTCGACCTTGAAATAGACTGGTCGGGAAAGAGATGCTCCTAGGGACGCTGCTTCGGGAGAAGACACCCCAGGACCAGTCGAACTTACAACTGTCCCGTTGGAATAGGTGCGCGAGGGATTGAGCTCTTCGGCAGTTGCCTCTTCGGCCGTTGGACTCGACTCTCGCACTTGGACCACAAAGACATCGCCTGGGCAAAGAAGCTGGGGCTCAGAGAAGTACTCCGCCAGTGCGGAGTCCACTGCAGCTTCAGAGTCTGTGCTCCCCGGTTCTGAAGTTGGGCGCAGAAACGTGGAGGTGGGGACACGAATCTGAGAGATGCGAGCGTGCGAAGCCACAAGCGGCGCAAACACCCCACGGTGCGCGGTAGCAGTAGCATGTGATGGGGGTCCCAGAGGTCTTTGGTTGTACGGCCGAAGAAGGAGATCTGCATCGGTTCCAACAGAACCAGTCTGGCGTGCGTGCGATGGGGCAGTTGAATCTGAGTGGCCCAAGCTGGTGGTGGGACTGCCCTCGCTTGCCCCTTGCTTTCCTAGATAGGGCCGCAGGTGCAAGAGGAGGCCAAGATTGTATGCTAGCAGGGGGGACAAGTAAGCAGAGCGGTGAGATTGAGTGCCATTTGCTGTCTGCGGGCGTTCTCTACTCACGCCAAGGTCGTCCCCGGCAGCAGGGCAGGCTTCAGGGCTAACTCCTGCTGGGTGAAAGGCCCCTTGAGGGTCTACACTGAGGGCACAGACTCTGGCAAGACGGGTCTGCTGGCTGCCCAGTGCAGTAACTTGCACAAGTTGGCCCCCACACAGCCCCGCTTCCCTCAACACCTCCAGAGTGAGCCCAATCACGGCATTATGGTCAGGGACAAGGCTAGCAGAAGCCCCAGCTGCAGCCTCAAGCTCCAACGCAGCACTGGTGTCCTGCGCACGCCAACATAGAATTTTCTTCTTCCGCGCTCAGATTCTCAAACGGCATGCGTGGCTGCAAGCATTGAAGAACAAGCTTCCAGGCAATCCACACTTTCTGGACAGCACCACCTAGCAGGCACCAACACCTAATTCTTAGCATGAGTGTTCTTCTTCAATCAAAATGCCAGGCAAGAAGCGCAGACTGTGAGCTGGGCAGCTGTACGACCGTGCTCTCACCTGCATGATTGCAGCTGTGAGTTGCGCAGCTGGCAGCTGCCTGCGGTGAGCCTCGTCCCCAGCTGGTGGAAGGGCGTCCCGGTCTGCAGCATCCTGAACGTACCGCTCAACTTGAGACAGGACCTCGGAGGTGGTCCTTAGTAGAAGCGGTCTTCTAGCCCCCGGCATTGCTCTTCAAAGTCGCAATCAATGTTGCTCATCAACATAAAGCACAACAAATCCCCTGCTAGCATTGGAACGTTCAATTGAGGGGATCCTCCACAAGGGCAGACGCAGCAGCACGAACATGGAGGGATTGGTAGCTTTGCCGAACAGCTTCCCTCCTCACTAGCTCATGTATATGCTCTAGATAGTCTGTCGAACGCCCATCACAAGCATCGGGGAGTCCTGTCCTCCAGAGCTTCCAAAATCCTGTGGCTGCGTCTAGTGCAAAACTCGTATAGAGCCTGTGCCAGCATGGCGTCCAGGGGCTTGTATACAGAGGCTATCCAGGCTGGTCTGCCGGTAACGTTGGGCCTTGTCTACCGTTACCGGCGTGCAGTCTCACACTCGGAGTCCTGGAAACCGTCCGATGGCCGGCAGAATCTAAACGGCCGCGTCAGCACGCACGGCCGGGCATCCTTCGGACGGCAAAGGACAACTCTCGAGAGATTCACGGCTTGCAACATAATGGCGACCCGCAAGTCTGCAGATGGTCTGGCAGAACGCTGCGAATGCTGCACTTTGAGAAGAAGTTGACGAAAGAGGAGCCTGGGCGGCAGGTTTTCCGAGTCCAGCACGAGGTAGAGAGACGTTCTTCAAAGCACGGCAAGAAAAGCGCCCAAGCCTGTGGAGGCTGCACCGGTTCTTCTCGCGAAAGGGGAGCTGTTACCTGGCCGTCACGAGCCTCTAGCTGGCACCATGAGCTTGACCGCCCAGCTTGCCAACATAGGGGTCGTGGCTGCTGGCAGTGAGGATGACAAGCCTGTGAGGGGAGAATGGAGCAAGCGAGCCACGGACGCTCTTGTAGAGAGCTGGGGCAACAAGTTCCTGCAGCAAAACAGGGGCAACCTCACAGATTTGCACTGGAAAGGTGAGTCCAAGTTCTGGGCAAGCATTCTTTCAAGCAGATCAGGTCTTTAAAGACGACATTGCCTTAGCTGAAAATAGTTGTCGGCTGTCCTTCCTGCAACTGCTGCAGGTCATCAGGGATTGTTCTTGGAAAGCTGCCGATGTGTCCTTGGGATTTGGCATGGGCACTTCTCATGCAGGCTTGCCATGTTGTCTTTCCTTTGCCTGGGGGTCTGTGACGGACTTAGTTGCATCATTCAGCTGCTATTGTGAGATGCTTCACCTACCCCTTTTGTATGCTTTGATTTTTTCTAAAAGGTTTACCCTTCTTGTTTGTTCAGAGATTGAAGAGGAGGTCAATGCTCAGTTAAACGAGGCGGAAAAGAAAACCGTCATCCAGTGTCAGAACAAGGTCGATGGGCTGAAGAAGAGGTGAGCAGATGCAGTGGGGGACAGCTCTCAGGTCTCTTTACGTGAGGGGTGTAAGGCCAGCCCTTAAGTTCACTGGAGCAGCCTGAGTGGCATGGGCAAACAGCGGCATCACAGGTTGTATGGCTGCCCAGAGCCTGTTAAGCTTCTGTTTTGAAGAACTTACCTCATTGAATGCTTGCTGTCAAATGTGGCTGTGCCTGAATTCGCTGCTCCTTGATAGATGTGACAGGGCTCTCAGTCCTCAAATGAATGCAGCCTAAAACATGGCTGCTCAAGGCACAAATATGGGGCAAGCTGCACTTAATATATTTTGTCATTCATTCAAGTCTTTGAATGCCACCATGCGCAGGTACAAGAAGGAGAAGGTCAAGCCGGGGGGCACGTACTGGAGCTACTATGACCGGCTGGGGGAGCTGATTGGGTCACAGCCGAAGCAGAGAGCCCCGGCGCCTCAGCATCCCCAGGGAGGGGCGGGGGGCAAGGTGGTAAACATGCACCACGCCCCCCACCAAAGGTCGTTCAGGGAGGAAACCGCAGCGCGTAAGTGCCATAGTAAATGGGACGTCATCTTCAAAGACGGGGGAGACTTCTTTCCATACAGCTCTCCAGGGCCGCAGCAAAGTTTGAAATGTTGAGTTTCACTTTGCCAGATTTGGACCGAGAGGGTCGGGGCACTCATGATTTGAGGGTCTAACAGTGTCATCTGTGTAGTGACGCATGCTAGCTAGCTTGATTGATTCTATTTGGTTTGACCATGACAGTACAGGAACTCAAGTGGTGGTTTCAGTCTATGATCCAAACTAACGCTTTCTCTCCATACAGTGCGGCATGGCCTGGACAACGTGGCGCAGGCTGTCAGGGAGTTTGCTGTTCTGTATGAGAGAGTAGAAGCTCAGAAAGCACAGGCCTTGGTCGAGCATGAAGAGAAGAGGCAGAACTTTGAGAGGGAGCTGGAGGCAATGAGGATGCAGGTGCGGCTGCACGCGCAGGCGCAGGGCTACCAGGACTGAGAGTAAGGTTCCTTGAAGCCTCTTCTACTTTACAAACTGGCTGAGTGCCAACAGCCTCTCTCTGCACATTGTCTGTAATATTCATTCTCTGGGCTCTTTTAATCTCTTGACGCACTTTATTTGATGCTGTCTCACAGGGTCGTTTGTGGTGTTGGAATCTATCTGCGGTGTTTCTACATTGGAATAAAGATAAAGGAAGCGGTGAGAACTCGAGATGAAAGAAGCCGTCACCTGGGATAGTGCTTGACCCTTTCTAGGAAGCTAAATTCTGCACCCTTTTGTTTCGAACCCCAGGTGATATTTGATGTTGTTGGAGCCCAAGCTAGAGCGCTTCATGTGACCTTTTTCTGCAAAAAACTTGTCGTTCATCATGATGGGTACTATAACAAAACAACTACCTAGATAAGGGTCACTATTTGAGTATTCAAAATTAGCAAGTTAGTGGCCTTTGTCCGTGTACAAATATGTATTGAATTGGGCATCTTACGGAGACGTTGATCTCAATAAAGTCCCACGAGCCTTCGGGCGAAAGCAGGCAAGAAGGGTCATTCGTTCCTGTTGACATTTGATGGCAAGTATTGGTGATAACAGTGGTCCCTCAGCTTAACTGGCTTGTTGCTTATTGTCACATTGTCACAACTAGAGTTCAAAATCTTTACAAGATCGAGCAATAGAACTAGATCTAATAATTGTATGTTTTCTCTTGATTGCCTCAACAAGGTCGCAGTTGTTTCTCCGCACATATGCAAGCGATATCACATATGCATTCGGTATATCCATACCGTGTAATCTGCTATCAAACATGAAGCAGACCTGTTGGAGCCAGTGGCCCCGGTCATAGTCCCATGAAAAAGTCCCGAAAGCTCATGCATGCAAGATCCCGAATGCTTCCATCTCACATGCTGTAATCTCCAACGTACAGACGAATCATTGTAACGGCCCCGCAATGGACGACATTGTATGGCCCATGTCCAACCCGCGAGCCGGTCCTCAACGGGCCGCAACATGTACACTTTGTACGAGGCTTCGAAACCAAGGATTGGTTTTGAATGCCGATCGCGCGCGTATCAGTGGCCGGATGTCTTAGATCCTCAGCCTGACATGTGTATAGTATATTGAGAATCTTGCCATTGAATCTCGCGGAGCAGCGACCTCCGTTGGATCGCGGAAGCTCCGCCTCATCCGATCGTCGAGCAGGCCAGCTGGATATTTCTTGGTCAGTGGGCTGCACAGAGGCTTAACAGCCTTAGCAGCTAGGAGGCCGTAAGAAGCTCGCAAATGGAGGATTAAGCTGTGCGCATAGTGTTGTGAGGCGCTGTTCCATTTTGAGTGAAGCTGTGTGGCTTTTGCGGAACGCCTGAAGGTCTACCTTCTTAGCCGCAACGATGTTCAAAATGTATTCATGTAGCTGGAGGTGCGGTAAAGGCAGCAATTGTGCAGCAATCTTGTCTGAAGTGCGGGAGTGCGGCAGCTGGCAGGACCGACACCGACATGTATAGGGTCATAGGGTTTGATAGCACGGTGTCCTGACGTTGTGCCTTCAAGACATCGTGGCCGTCGTGCCATATTCGCATCCAGCGCACCATGCTACCATAAGATGCAGACGACGGAGAACTTTGAATGATTGAATAGATATTGAAGTCACTTGCTTGAGAATCATCGTCTTCAGAAAGTTGCATGGGATTGCAGTAGAGATGTACCAGAAATGACAATTGCCCGGGAATGGTGTAATGGTGGCAAGTCCTTGAGGCGTCCTTTCAATTAATCTTCTTCCTTCCTAGCTGTTTATACCACACGGCCATGATGCCCATAACGCGCCCATGACGCGCTTTGCCACGGCATGATCGTTAGCTGCTCAGTGGGGGATCGGAGCGTTGCCTTCAAAGGAGAAAACGGTGGAGTTCGCTGATGTTTAACATGCAACACACTGCTAGCTATGATACTATGAGATGGGTTTAAGTAAGTTGAGCCATTGTGAGCCTTTGGCATCATCTTGACATCGAGCGACTAAGCGAGCATCGAGCGATCGAGCTTCCGTCACAATAAAAGCATCAGCACACTGCCATGATGCGGCTACATGGCTTGAACACTGATGCAATTGAATGATAGTCTGATAGGTAAGTCGACTAGCCTTGAGGACAATGCTACAAATTACAATGGTTGTTGGAAATCTAATGTAAACCCATGCACATTTAAACATTTCGTCAATGATGCATGCAGCCTGGCAGACTTGGCTTTTTTTTTTTTTTTTTTGGGGGTTGACCGTCTGGCACATGCAGCTCGTCAGGTGGAAACTGCAGACTAGTATACGCCTCAAGGGCAACCTGGCAGACTTGGCAGGTCCAAGGATACAGGCAGTTACATTCTTACAGGCTACTTACAGCAGGCGGCTAAAGAGGGGCTAAAGGGGCTAAGTTCTAACGTTGGCAGCTACCGGTACGCCGATCTCGAGGTACGGTATGGGCCGGGTGTCACATGCGTGCGCCCCGTCCGGTCGTGCGGCCGGGCATTAAAATCTATCTGATCGAGATCGGAGTTTTGACGTCATCGGGGTTTCCAGGTATCACGGAAATTTGATCAAGTCAATGCTGCGATAAACACGCACATCGTACGACGTTATGGAAATATGGATACGTTATGGGATACGGTTATAACTTATTCCTACGACACCATCATGGATCGATGGTCGACGGCTTCCAAGAAGTCGAACGGTGAAGCTATTGGTACAAAAGACACTACCGTACACGTAGGTACCTGGTACAGTGGTACCTACGGTACTACCTACCTACTTACCGTACCTGTCCAGTGCTTTAATTGTATCGCTGCTCGCAGGTGCTAGGTGCCTACCGGTACTTGGATGTACGTAGGTACAACGGGCAATGCCTACCGTACTGTTTCTGACGAATAAAAGCACCTACCGGTACCGTTGCTGCGGGTCGAGTCAACTCTCGACCCATGCTTCGCGACGCGGTACCTACCGTTATTAAGTACTGGGTCCTGGGTACCTTGCTCAATTGGATACCGTACGAAAGAGTGCCCGAGTCTGGTACCAGGTAGCTACGCATCGGCCAAGATCGATTGTACAAGCCGGGGATCCCCCTCAAACATCTCCCGGTACGGTACGGGTACCTACCTAGGTATATGCAATCTTAATTGATGTACCGCACGGTCCGCACCTAGCTGTAGGACTTAGGCTGCTGTCATGCTGGTGGTTCTTTTGCCCCTTTGCTAACCGATACCGGTACCGGTATTGTTATTAGGGTCGTACGCCCGGGAGGTTCAAAGTTGCCCGGCCATCTAATCGGCCCGCCAGATCTAGCCTGAGTTTCGCTGGAGTTTGATTTGAGTTCCGAAATCCGACGTGGCACCGGCCAAACTCAGGCGAAACTCAGGCAGGAAACGACCCAAAATGCACTTTTGGGCAAACTCCGGTTAAACTCAACTCTGTTAGAAAAAGACCGGCAATTTAGGAACCTACCAAAGGGGCTGGGTGTATCGTGTCAGCCCTTGGGCCGGGATTCGGAAGGTAATGGGTACGTACCTTTGTCAGGCGGTCGTTTGCATACTAGGTACAAGTTGTGGTTGGTAGTACGGTACCTAGGTACCAAGAAATTGATTATCAAAATCCGGGCAATTCCAAGTTCCTGGGTCCTACAGCTGCGGCACTGTGTGCTCTCGGCCCTCGGGTCGTCGTCGGTAGTTTGAACAGTACGTACCTGGCTCCGTACGGTCCGTACTACCAAACCGTATCACCGGAATCTCGTTCTCAATTTCACTTGTACCGCCAACCCGGTCAATAATGACTCCGAAAACCTCTTGGGTTCAGTTGGCAGAGCAACCGGCAGCTACAGCAGACCGCTCACGACCCTGAATCGCCCCACGTGGAGGTCTGGGCAAGTGGTTGGGAGGGCGCAGGGAAGTTTTAGAAGTTTGCGGGCGAAGCTGCTTTTGACCGCTGGGGACGAATACTGATTCTCGATTGCATGATTTTAAGAAACGCTCCCGAGGTTTTCTGCCCCACTGGGTTGAAAAGGAACGAGAAATATGTGCAAAATCCAAATATGAGCGTTGTGAGCCTCTCCTGCGACTCATGAACAGAAGGCGGTGTAATCGTGTAACGGTTGTCGGCTTCGAGAAACCCGGAGAGTATAAGCGAAACATCGAAACGCATCTTTGTCAACTCGCGACCGTCGGATGCTGCTTCGGAAGACGGAAAGAGATTCAATTGGACGGCTGCATTTCGTTCGGAAGTTAGTGATGGGATCTTCGAGGCTACCGCGCGCGCTGCTTCTGCAGTCCGAAGTTCTCGCTGCAGTTTTAAAGGTGTATCGTATGCGCAAAGTGGACTCCGGATTGTAACAGGCGCAGTCTAGTACAGGCCGAAATCCGCATCATTCATCTGTGGCGCCGCTTTGACGTCTGGTCTGACAGACTGACAACCTTTCACGGCTTGTAAAGCATGGCGGGTCAACGTCGTCTTCAGAGAAGTCGAGTTTGCTGCAATTCCTGCTTTGCGTGGATTCGTGCTTGGCGCCTGACAATCCGCCTCCGTAGCCTGTGGGGTCGCAACACATGGGGGGCAGCCATCATAGCAGCACTTTGCTATCATCCTTTGCCGCACGGAATGCTCTTTCACAAAAGGAAGGTGTTGGGGTCAGGCGTCCTTCAGGGCCCAGGGCGAGGTGGTAGAAGAAGTGATTGCTGCAAAAAGCACATCTTTGCAACACTTGTTGCAAATCACCGAGGTCGCATCAAAGTTGTGTTGAAAAATTTGCTGTCCTTATTCCGCTGGGGTTCAAGGAAGCAGGCATCTCGTGTCAGAGCCGGTTGCTTCAAGGAATAGTTGTTGTGTCCCAGTTTCGTTGGTAATCCTGTGAAGGTGGGCCATCGCAGTGTGGAGGGGTGGCAGCAGAGAGGAATCTGTGAGGCCGAGTGTAAGGCCAGGGAATGAGGATGGCCGGGAATAGCGCTGGATCAGCATGTGCTGCATGCAAATTTCTTCGCAGGAAATGCACTGCACAGGTATGCATTCCTCCTAAAACTGGGAGCATAATCCTTTTATGCTGGGGCTCCCAATTGCCCTTGAATGGGGGCAACTTTCGTCAGGAAATGTTGTCATTGTAACCTCCTTTGATTGGTGGTAGCACTGGCATCAGAAGTTGGCCTTCCCCGTACCTTGCATGACGATTGCCCTGTGTTTGTCTACCCTGCAAAAGTCTCCAAACATCTTCTCGTTTTCCTGCAGTGCTTGTTTGCTCCATATTTTCCCCCCGATCAACCACAGAAGTTCGCAAATGTCCACAAGGTAGGGTACAGACCTGGGACTCCTGATTGTTAGCGCCTTCTAGTGATCTTCTTCTGAGGAAGTGGTTGCTCAAAATAAAGCCCATTTTGATTGTGTGCATTGCAGAGAGGGCTCAATCTTTGGAAGACAGCATTAGCAACAATTCCATTGCACAAGAGGAGGTTGTATGCTATTACAACGATTACAGGTAGTTCCATAGGAAGGCGGTCCTGAAAAGCGACGCTTCAGTAGTCTCTGCCTTGCTGGGGTGCTGAAGAATTCCACTTGGAAACATGTGTTAAGGTCACCCGGACTGGGATCTACAATGCCATGATTTTGCTCCTCCCAAGACTTTTTGGTTCTCTGAACCATTCTGGCTCTGCATGGCTGTGTTTTGGCGGGGTGATTGCACTGTCCTCGAGTAGTTTACCACGTACCTCCATATAGTTTACTGCGTCAGCAGCTTTGACTAGGCACTGAGCACAAGTTACCTCAAAATTTTGCAATGAAAACGTGCACTGCTCAACAGCACTCTGACGAAGCTGAACCAACGCCAAGATTGTAGCGGTGTCGATTCCGAGTCTTGCCGCTTCAGCGATCTTCTGTACGCGGGGTGTCTGTGGCGAAAGCACTTGCCTGGACCTATTGCGTAGGGTGCGCTGGCAGGGAGCTTGCTTGTCAAATCAGGTCCCTTGATCAAAGTTTCCTTTTTTATAGGCAGTTACGGTTGTAGAAACAAATCTTCTGTGTAGGTTAATCTGAAACCTCAATGCAAAAGATATTGTCCGTATATTCTAGGGAAGTACCAAAACTTTTTACACCACCCTGCAATCTTTCACTGTGGTTTCACCTTGACCTGAAGCACTGATTCATCGTGCTGGTCTGTTACTGGAAGAAGTCAATCATTTGGCTTTAGGAAGTGCTTTTGACCAAAATTTGGAGTCATTTCAATCTTTATTCAAGTAGAGAGACACGCTTATCTCTGTTGTGTTTTGTGTTGGGCGACCCTCCGGCCCCATCAGACAACCCGATAGTGAGCCTTTCAGAAGGACGTTGGCTTCTATGCAGCTTTATCGACCTGTTTCGTGGCTCTGCTGCACAAATCTTGCTTCTGACATCTTTGAAACTCCGCTGTTCAATTCCGATGGGTCAGGCCCATACCTCGCTTGTTTTTTTTGCTGCAGATCTTTGGTGTGGCCAACATCACGAAGCTGCTGTCCGAACTGCCCCTCCATCAACGAGAAGACGCTGTCAACAGCCTGGCATACGAGGCTGACGCGCGTGTCAAAGATCCCGTGTATGGCTGCGTTGGGGCCATATCAGTCCTTCAGCAGCAGGTTGCCCAGCTCTCTGCTGACCTCGCTATCGCCAACGCAGAGCTGGCCAGATACCAACAACGCGGCCCTGCGCAGGGGGGGCTACAACAACAAGCGGGGCCTTCGGATCCGCTTGCGTTTGCCACGCTGGCGGGAACCATGGCTGCGCTTGGGGGCATGCAGGGGCAAGGGGGTTCAGTAGGACCACTCCAACGACCTCCACACGGACGGCAGAGCTGATAGCAGGAGCAACCCTGAGGGATACGGTGTTGATGAGCCACAGCAGCCCGCCATCCAAAGGGTTTCATCACTGTAGACTAGGCAGGAAGGGTAGCATAGGTGCTAATCTTTAGGTGGAGTCAGCAGCAGCCTAAAAGAACTTGCCAAGGCGGGGTTGTTTTCTGCTCCAGTCATGCATATATGTGGATATTATTCCACTCTTTGTATAAGAGGACGGCAAGCAGATGATCCGGTAGACATCCTATAAGCTTGATGGATCGAGCTGGGGCTGCAAGGGAGCGGGAATTGTTGGATCTCTGTACCCTGCGGTGAGTGTGCATAAGGACGACAATAGCTGCGACAGAGAGATAGAAGCAATGCTGGCTTTTCATGGCTTAGACGGACGTTCGTAACAGCTTTCATTAGCTTTGTCTGGTCCGGCCAAGTTATTTCTAGACTGAGATGAAGACGGGTACGAGCTTCAAGGCACAACAAACATCAGCTCGGTTCATAAATGGGGCCAGTTTGTTGGCGCAGATGGCAACGCAGAGAAGCTAAGTTCTCCATCAGAAGCATTGCAAGATTGGACTATGCTCGCTGGGTCTCTCTTTATTTGGATCTTTTGTGAGCGGGCAAACTGTAGTTTCAAGAGTAGCTATATCAATATTAAAGCAGGTAAAAATGATCTCGTTTTTGAGCACGTGATTCAGGCTCGACATTTCAGTTATTCCGTGCATCAGATTGCATTTGATCATGCAAGCCATGCTGTACATCTGAAAGCGTTAGACCGGGGCTGCATCCCAGCGGAGATGATCAGCGAGCTCCCGCGTGCACTTACATATCGACGGTTAATGCAACTGAATTTATTCTTTATGCAGCATCTATATTGGCCATGGTTGCAATCTCTGTGCTACACTCTAGTTGTCACTGGTCCATTGCTAACTAGACTCCTTTGAAATCGACAGCATCTGGGTCAAGTAATCTGGCTAGCTGTGAGATACGTTTAACTTCGTACTCTGTAGATCTTTAATTTCACTGGGTATACACGAACGAACAATTTTGATTGCTTCTAGGAAGGATTGACTAGCACATGGCGGCCGCCATGCAGGCTGCAATCTGGCCTACAGCTAAGTAGTCGACCGTCCACTCGAGTATAATAATGATGATATAGCTAGCCAAGTAGTCGACCGTCCACGAGTACTAACACAGATTAGGCTATAGATGTTATTGAGCAAGGTTAACACGTACGACCCGTCTGCATTTGTTTTACCAAAGCCACCTATTTGGTGCGCATGGTCCATGCCATGAGCTGGCCATGGAGCTGCTGCATTGAAGTAAATTCTATATATTTGTGATGTGTCGAGCCATGTGAAGGCGCAACCGTGTCGAATACTGGTATAGCCGGGCCCGCCTATTCAGTGCTTCGGTCGTTCAGAATCATTATAAGCCGCTCCGCTCAAGCTATAGCTAGCTTACTAAGATGCATCAAACCTGCGCAGCATGCACCGACGGCGCCGCGCCGCGAGACAAAAACTGATATTCTACATGCAATCAAGCTGCATGATTGTGCTGTCACCACACGATGGAGATTGATTGCCACATACGACACATCATGCATGCTGAGTTCGTACTGCACTGGACGCAGCTTGCAATCAACTCATTATCGTAATTTAAAACAGGCAGCATGATCATTGACGTTTGCAGTGGGACTCAGTCTGATTAAGTATATAAACATACCAGTCATCGCGCGGAGACAGATTTCATGGATTCCGCAGTCCGAGTCGAAGCATATGAGAAACGTACATGCGCATGCGCCGTCAGAATGGGCCGGAGCGATGCCTTCGCCTTCAATGACGCTTTCCACACCGCGCTCCAGGGTTGCATCGTTGGTCAACACCTCGGACGATTATTGGACCCTCGTTCTTATCTTTCGGAGCCTCTTTCTATGTAATTCTCGAATCCCGACTTGGAAGAGAAAGCCATGCACTGATGCATCTACCTATTCCAACGTCTTGGTATCGGATGGTCGGAGTGCAAGATTTGCCCGAATGCTTCCAGCTAGCTACACTAAAATTTTTAATAAGCATGATTGGAATGTGACAAACGAAAGTACAGCCAGAAGTCTGGCAGGCGTCCTTTTTAAAATGACAAAGTAGCTCACTTTTTAATCCACACAAAACGAGCGACCTTGACTACTGGACCTTCTCATGTGGACTTGACAGAGGACCAGGCTTGGTACAGACTTCCAGTTCAGCATTATTCCCTGGTTGCTAGAAACATTCAATGCCTAAGAGCTGTTGCGCTACCGGGCCTCAAACTGGACGACTGCGCGACCAAGAGGAATAGATCAGGCTTAGACAGAAGCCTGAATAACAGGTCAAACAATTGCCGCCAAGACCATGCTTGCGTTCAAAAAGACATGCTGGAAGACAAGCAGACGTGTGACAGGTAGTTCGTAAAGCCGCCACATCAGATAGCTTTTGTGAATCACAACAAGCATCCAGACATGGAGCAAACAAGGATTTGACTTACTTCTCTTGGTTCGCTTTTTGTACAGAATCCTGTAACCACATTCTCGGCACTGAATCACATCGCCAGGTTTTAGGGTGCTGTCTGCTCCACAATCTGTGCAGGAGACCAGAGCATAATGGGTGTGAGGACCCAAAAGAGGCTTCACAATTCTCTGGACTCACAAGCTCATTGGCATGCTGCCCCCTTTCGATGCAAGAACTAAGGAGAATGCGAAGTACCGGAGCTTTACCCCGAAAACTAATTGTCCAGGACTGGATCAGAGGCAGCAACTCGGCATGTGCAAAATGACAGCTTCTAAAGCACCCCAGCAACAAATAGTTTGAAGCACTGGCATCCTCAAGTTTGCGTTTGCGTCTAACAAATCAAACTGCTGTACAGGACTGCAAAGATAAGACATGGTGGACCCAACAGCCCCAAAACCCGGAGTGTAAGCAAGGCTCAATGCCCCACCCCCCCTGAACTAACCGCCCGCTCCTCCAACTCCCACCAGCAACAATTGCAGAATTTTGAATACAAGCACAAACGATAGTGGGGCACAGTGCTTAAATTCATAATCATACAACTCTCAGAACATTTCGAGAAGTAGCTGGAGTTCAAGCGAGTCCCTCCTGTCCAGCTGCAACCGGCCTGCCATGACAGCCTCTCTGCTGTAAACAAGGTGCCCTTAAGTCATCCAAGTGCAGAGCTGGGGACCCAGCTTTGCAGTCACAGCATACGACTCCAGTGTCAGACCCGGACCGTGCTAAGAGAGTTGCGTAGTTTGTGACAACTTTTGAAACGCATCTCATCAAAACAGTACTCCCTTGAAACATTTCCCAACGTACAACACCTTTGAGGCATGCTCAATCTAGATAGCAGGGCACAGCAGAAGGTCAACAAATCTTTTTTCAAGTATCATGAAAAGTCATTCAAGTGGAACTAGCGCGTCAGCATGTTCCAGCAATCGCAAGCAGCTTTTTCCAAAACACTGAAGATAAGTCATCCAGGAAGAATCACTGTAAGAGACAATCAGCAGCGTTTAAATTGTCCTACCTCCACACAAGTAGGTCACTGGCTCAGGTGCTGTTGGCTCCTGTGGGCGTCCAGGATCCATTCCCGCTCCCTGGGAAAAAGTGCGGCCGCAAATTGTCTGGTATGTCCAAGATGATGTTGCCGCGCAGCAACAAGATCGTGGTTGCTTCTGTCTCCTACAGGATTGTGGAAGCAAGGGATCAAATTTACTGTTGCTGGGTTGAGAATTTAAAGTGTTGTCGCACGCCCTATTTGTTTCCTCGCCCTCTTCTAAACAGAAGAGACTCGTATACCACCTTGCCTTCTGGCCGCACACCACTTCGACTTTGCAGGTTGCCTTGTTTAATGACAGTCTGCCTGAGGCTACAGGTTACAGCAGCCTCGTGACCCGTCACTTGTGAAGGACGAGAAGCTGGGCACAGGCCGAGCATGGGAAAGGTATGCGGACACAACTCTGTTTGAGCAATGCGAGCATACCAACGTTTTCTTTACCGGCGCCGAGAACGGCGTTACCATTGGTGCTTTTGGCGGCCGTCCGGGGCTGCAGACACTATACTACGTATGTCGCCGCGTAGGACACGTTCCTCAACTGCATTTCAACCGCTTGCGGTAACGGGGCCGGCAGCCAAACGGCGTAGGGCTGAGGGACTGGGTCCTCATGAATACTGCTGCATGCAGCCTGCAGGCTCCATCATTCACATCATGCACCCAGCCTCCTCGTTCTCACACCAGGCCGGTCGAGGGATGAAGAGGAGAGGAGCCCTGTCCAAGAGAGGCGTACTTACGAGCCGCAAGAGCAAGACGGCTTTTCCTCCAACAAGGGGAGGAAACAAGTTTGGACAACTAGATGTATTCCTCCAGCGGCAGAAGTAAAGAAAAGGAAACCTGTGTTGCACTAACAATGTGAGAAGGACCGTTTACAGTCATTGTGCATTCAGTCTCATCAACCATGGAAGTAACAGCAGGCAATTTTGAGTTGGTTATTCCGAGCATTGAAAGGGCAATCAGCAGATGCGATTTTGTAGCAATAGACTGCGAGTTTACGGGCCTGGACGTCAATGGGAGAAGGTGAGAAGTCATCTTGTAGCCCCAAGTCGGAAGCTAGTCGGCAGCTCAGGCGTCACTTATGTCCATGTATGTGTGTTGTCTTTCTGACCGTATCCTAGCGAGATGCCCAGCTTGGAATGCAGTCAATGAAGGATGCTGCGTAAGGAGAATCAATCGAGCTGGTCTTTTTGTGTTCAATCCCCTGCATCAATGCTTTTGAGTTCCTTCAGAACAAAGACGTTGCTAGGCGTGTTAGCTGGGCACTAGCTACAGCCTCATGTGCCATGGCAGATGCAGCTGACAACAAACTTTTATGTATGTGTCTTCTCCTTCCAGGAGAGAGGAATACTTCGATGATTTGGAACAAAGATATGCTCGTGTGCGTATGTCAGCGCAACACTTCCTTGTCATCCAGGTGATAAGTTCTGGCACTTCTTATAGTGAATTCTTGGAATCGTCACTGAGTGTTCACTGAGTGACTGGGCAGGAGCATAAGCAGCTCGCAATTGAACACTTGTGGTGCCAGCTTAAGTGTTGTGATTTACTCGATGTATGGATCTCGTATTTGGCCAGTGATGCATCCCCTGATGCCTCTTTCTGAGTCTTGAGGGATTGTCAAAATCCGTGCTTACAAATCTATCCTGACTAGTTGCTCTGGTCTCATAGGTGGGGTTGTCGCTTTTTGAATGGTGTCCTTGTGAACAAACCTACCGGGCCAGCACATACAACTGCTACGTCTACCCCCGGCCCCATGGGTCTTTTGACCTCCGGTTCACGTGCCAGGTGGGTGGGACTCTGGTGGTGGTTGACAGCTGGAGTCCGAATGCCATGCCTTTTGTAACCAAGTCCTACCGATTCAGGGCAGTTTGTGCTTGCTGGAGTAGCCCTTTGTCCTCACAATACGTGTGCTCTGCAGGCCAGCTCTTTGGAGTTTCTCAGCAAGCACAACTTTGACTTCAACAAGTTCATCTACGAAGGTGAATATTCAATACCTGTGGCAGCTACGCGGTGTCTGAGTTGCTGTCTGTTAAGTTTGCGTTGGCTGACGATCTTTGCTGCAGTACACATGAAGCTCTGCCACATTAGGTCTGAATTCGAGCTTGGGTGGAGATAATGGTTCATGGCTTTCCTGGACGCAAGACGCTTGCTTGCCTGCAGGAAGCAGTTTTCTGTCTCGAGATTCCTTCCTGGAAGTGTATCGTCGAGCACCTTTTCCCACACAAGGCCCCTGTTCTGATGGGAGTGTCTAAGTATTTCCATGCTGCAGGTGTCCCCTTCATTAACCTGTCAACTGCGGAGGAGATGTACGCCAAGCTCGAGCAGCAGGCGTCCGCGGCTGCCCAGGCCGCGAACATTCCCAGCACGGGCGCAAGCGCGCCGGTCAACCGCGACATCCGGCAGGCACTCAGGTCCGAGGAGGACAAGCAGCGGCACCGCGACATCATCGACCGCGTCAGAGAATGGTTAGAGGGGGACAGCCCAGCAAAGGCCCGAGTAGATGAACGGGAAGACTCCCCCGAGGATGGAGTGGAGTCTGGTTCAAAGGGCCTGGCAAGTGACCAGGGGGAGGCGCCCAGTGGTGTAGCGCCTGGGGAGAGACAAGAGAGGGAAGAAGCGGGGGGGCAGGAGGAGGTGCCGGGGGGCAACGTGGACGTCTTCGTGTTTGAGCCAATGAATTCATTCTGGCGCGCAGTGGTGTACCAGACGATGGAGAGGGAGTTCGGCAAAGGCCGCTTTCTGATCGAGAAGGTTCCGGTGAGCTACTGACTCCGCCTCAGACTTCGTCATATCCAGGGCTAAGGCCGGCAGTGCTTGCCCCATCCGTTGGATCTCTCTATGCACCGCATACGCCACATCTCTCAGTCAATGCGCCACTGAGCGGTTCAACCAACGATGCCTTTAGCTCTGATGCTTGGATTGTTTGCTGTGCTAGAAGTCGACCAGCTTCGAACAGCTTCCCTGCATCAAGTGTACAAGTTTCCGAACCTGCCCCGCACGCCCTTGGTGACCTTCTGTCTCCTGCCCTTCGCAGCAATCCTTCTCGAGCAACCTGGAGTCCCTGCGCCTGGTGCGCTCCAATCCCGAGGCCGTACTGGAGGCAGAGCGTGTGCGTGCGGCCGAGAAGCGCGCCCGCCTGGACCAGACGGTGGGGTTCAGCCGCGTGCTGCGGGCGCTGTCGGCGGCGCGCAAGCCGCTGGTGGGGCACAACATGCTGCTCGACCTCGCATACATCGTGCACCTCTTCGTGCAGCCGCTGCCGCCCGCCTTCGCCGACTTCCGCGACCTTGTGAGTTGCGAAGTCGACTGGAACAAACCGAGGATGCAGGCTTTGGTCCTGCTATGGACTCCTTTATGTACGCACAGCCACTGTCCGCTTTTGCCGGAAGCTTTTTCTATCAGATTCTCTGCAAGTCTTCAGTTGAAGTTTATCTAGGACAAATCAATCTGTGTCCTGGTTTTTAAGGGCAGAGTCATCATAAAGTAGCTCGTAACTTTAGGGCCCTCCCTCCTTTAAGGGCAAAATGAGTCAGTAGCTCTTAAGATATTGAATTCTTTTAGAAAGCACCCCCGCTGGCTAACATTAACTCGAGTACCGACGGTTAGCAATCATGTTGGATCAAGGAGCAAACTCATCCCTCAACATGAATAAGCCACTGTCAGCACTCCCTCTTCAGTGTCCGCTGTCGAACTGCTTCCAGACTTCTGCTGACATCGTTTGTCCTGGATTTAGAAGGCGCGTGGCAGTGTATGAGAAGAACGCACGCATCTTGAACTTCAGCCTGCAGTCATGCAGGTGCCCTTTTCGAGATGGCTCGTTTTTTACATTTTGTCTCAATCGTATATCCCCGTCGGCCGAAAGCATCAAGACATCGTTTAACGGCCTCAAAAGCTAGTGGCAAACATCTGACACTTGGAGCACGATCCTCTGACCAACCAATTGCTGGCGATGCGCTTGTCCAGGTCGCCTCCTTCTTTTCCGGCGGCATCTTCGATACCAAGCACCTCGCCCTGCAAGTGCCCGACGCCTTTCCCCCATTCGCCGGCACCGCGCTGGAGGCAGTGTTCGCGGCCTTCAGGTCCAAGGTACAGCGTGGCCCGCGACCGGGCAGTGACGGGGATGAGACGTCAGAAGAAATGCCGGCAGCAGAAGAAATTGTGGATCAAGCGGCGCAACAGGTTTCGAAAGCGAGCCCGGGGGATGCGAGTGCGGAAGGCACCGTTGCTGTCCCCGGGGTAACGGTGCCGTGTGACGGGTCAGCGTCGGCAGCCAGTGCGGGAGACGGGTTGGTGCAGCCCGAGGATGGTGGCCCCTACAGCCTGGCAGAGTCGCTCATTGAAGCCGTGGCGCCGCCACTCCTGTCTCAGAATCCGAGTAGCGCTGTGCATTTGATTGCCGATATCAACGACGTTGCCCTCAGAAGCGCCGTCCCTGCAACTTCGGAAGAAATGCAACCGGCCGTGCCTTTGAGGCCGGTAGACGCGATGCCGTCGATCGAGCACGAGGCCGGCTTCACCCGGTACTTGGAGTCCGAGGACGGCCCCCCCGAGTATGCGCACGAGGCTGGCTTCGACGCGTTCATGACCGGGGTGGCATTTGTGGGGCTGGCCAAAGTGCTCGAGGCGCGGCGGGAGAAGCCGGACCTCGTGGCGCAGCGCCTCTTCCGGCGTACCTCGGAGGGTCGGGGGCTGTTTGGGGGCAGGCCGCGGCACCGACAGGGGGGACCCCAGCGCCAGGGTGACACAGCAGGGCCTAGTCAGCCAGTCCTGACGAGCGTCAAGATCGGAAGCTCGGTGTCGACTCAAGCGGCGGTGTTGGCAGACGGAGCGGGGACGGCTGCTGGTCTCGCGGATAGTGCGCCCACGGAAACGGGCTCGTCACTCAAGATGGCGGTCTCGACGACCGGTGCTTCCTTAAACGTCACCGCGCAAGCGCTCGTTCCCCCTGCCGAGCCCGCATCTGCTCCTGCTCCCTTGGACTCTGGACTCGGCTGTCTGACGGTTGACAGCGGACTTGTGCCGACGGTGCGCGGTCCAGCGGCAGAGGCGCAGACCCGTGCTTCAGACCCTGAGGAGTCTCTGGTGGATGCGGGGGAGGCGGAGGCGGCAGGAGCGCGCGAGCTGCAAGAGCTGGTGGAGCGGACCAGCAGCAGCCCGGTCAGTTTGGAGGCCCTGCGGCAGTACTCGTACCGCATCAATCTGATGGGCAGCGACATGCCGCACCTGCCACTGCAGGGGCCGCTCATCATCCCCGAGCGCGGCCACCTGTTTCACATCAGCGGGTTTTCAGAGGAGACGCGCAGCCCCGAGATTGCAGGTACGCTAAGGTGGCAAGCGCTGGAAGTTGATAGAGCCGAGCGCGCAACAAACGCCCACTTTTGGCCGTTTCGCTGTTTGTTCCCAGCACGAGTTTGCCCCGGTTGATCGTGTATGTCGATCCGTCTACAGTAGTATGCCTTCAGGTCTCAGGATTGTTGAGGTTGCGGCAAGAGGAACGTGATTCGACAGAGGGCACATCTTACCAGGTTTTTGTCAGAACATGAGAATCTTGCATTTGTTGCGCACTCCGTCGCGTTTGTGACCTTGAGAACGGGGGCTGGGTACAAAGGCTCCGGTTCTTTGCTTGCCCTGTGCAGGTCGCTTTGCGGACTTGGGCCTCGGCGCCGTGGACATCACCTGGATCGACCGCAGCAGCGCGATTGTGGCACTGCGCAACCGGGCCCTGGCCGACACCGTCATTGACAGCATGCTCGGGTCGGGATGGGATGTGGACATCGCACGGTGGGCAGACTTCCGGTTGCAAGCACAGTGCGCCCTTCCAGAGCCACGTGGCAGGCGGAAAGATGATGGTGCACATGCCCCTGGAGACGGCACAGCGCAAACTATCGAAGCTAGCCAGCCCAGAAAGGGGCGTAGATTGAATGGCGGTGAAAGGCAGGTTGAAGTGGTCGACGACGAGGATGCGGAGCGCGATGGAAGGAGGGCCCAGAAAGCGCTTGCACGCAGGACATGCAGCATCTTATAGTTAATATATTGTACTGACCGTTGATCACGTTATTTTCGTGGAAGACAAGGTCGGGCTGCAAATGCTTGCCAGTGCATGTGATGTATCAGGGGGCTGCATGGGTTGCGAAGACACACCTGACATATGCGTAAGCGTGCTGGCAGCATCTAGTATTACGTCACGGATGCAAGTCTATAAATGTCTGAACTGTCAGCTAGAAAGGAGCTCACTCAAGTCATGGCCTGGGCCAGGGAAGTGAACTTACCTAGGTCACATAAGGTTTACCGTAGGACCTACCTTAGTACCTATTGCTCTATGCTTTCCGTAGGCCCCCAGGCTTCATGGTTCGCTGATACAGTGCCACATGTTTTCGTACCGACTGCACCAAAGTCGCATACCCGGTTCTTGAACTCCGGTTTTGACTGCCGTTTTGTCAAGTCGCTTCCGACTAGGTTAACTGTACAGGCATAGGTACCGGTATCAGAATTCTAGATGTGTACAAGGTTGTAGGTATGTATTAAGCACCGGCATTTGTGTCGTGCCGGCAATCGCGGCCGCCGGGCCAGGTGGGGACCGGTGTGTGCTGTGCAAGTCTACCGGTACCTAGCTAGCTGGAGGAACTTGCCTCCCTACGGTTAAACTCCCATCCAGGTCCTCGCCCTGCATTCATGAGTACTTCCGAGCTCCCAATGGTTTCTTTCGAGTAGGTACACGTGTGGCGTCTTCTTTGCTGCATTCCAATGGCGTCCGTTGATGGAAGCACTTTGAAATCTTGTCTCCGGGCGGCACGTGAAGCAATCAGCAAGCGAGAGTTCAAAGATGCGATCAGAGAGGCACGTGCAGCTTTAAAGCATGACAAGCGCAGCTATGATGCACTTCTTTACATTGGAAAGGCCGCTTTCTCCTTGGAGGAGTATGCACAGGCTGACGTTGCGTACCGGAAAGCGATTGAAGTCAATGCCGCTGGTTTGCCAGCATGGCAGGTATGGTGTCGATGCATGTGCATCTACTTCTCGTGGGTCATCCTTCTATCTTGTCAACTCAGCTTCTTTGAAAGCCTTCCCCTCGCGTCAAGGTTCCGCAATGTCTACCAGCTTTGCAGCCCAATCTTCTACAGCATCACATGTCTCACGCCCGAGTTGCACTGCAATATGCATTTGTTTCCTGTCAGCTTGCGTGCTTCATGCGCTCTGCTCCTTCAAATGTAGGCAATCTGTCTTACCACCTCTATGCTTTCTAAGTCTCTGCACCACCAGCATCAGATCAGCTGCTTATTTCATCAGCCTTACAGACCCTCCTTTCCCCCCCCTTCTCCTCTGGGTCAGCCTGTGTCTTCCCTTGCTGATGTGCCAGGGCCTGGCCGAGCTGCACGGAAGCACCGGGGACCATGAGAAGCTGGCGGAGGCGTGCGCCCACCTGGTGGAAGGCTGGGCCGCAGCGGGGCAGGCAGACAAGGTCAGCCATTTCCGCAGGAAGCTGGCGCAAGCACTGCTGGACCAGGGGAAGAGGGACGAGGCGCGCAGGCTGTGGAGGGAGGTCCTGACAGCTGCTAAGCAGGTATGGCATTGCACGCAGCCGCTCTCTAATTACTTCTATCGGAAGCATCTCTCCCAAGAGAGCCTACTGGACCTTCTCCCCAATTCTGATCTCCCTCATCCCGTTCATGTGCCACGGTAAAAGTCTCTACCAGTTGTTCTGAAAAGTGCACGAGTCCAAGAGGCGAGAAGGTTGGAGCCGCAGAGGGCCTTTGTAATACTGTCAAAGAGGGAAGCCATCATATTTGTCCCCGATACTGTTCAGTCTTGCAGTGGTGGCAACAATTCTGATAAGAGGAGGTGACAACTTCCTTGCAGGGCACTGAGGAGCGCACTGAGGCGCTCTGCGCCTTAGCTGAGCTTGAGATAGTGGAGCATGCAGAGTGGGTGGAGCGCGAGGTCCAGCAGCGGAGCAGCCGCCAGAAGAAGCTTGCCAAGCTGGCCGCCAAGTCAGGGCTTGCGGCGGAGGTAGGACCAGTGGACCTGGAAGCGATCAAGAGACAAGTTGAGGCTGACAGCGCTCCAGGTCTGGACAAGATCCTGGAAGTCATTGTAGGGGAGACAGCCTCGACAGCGCAGTATGCCAAGTACCATGTGTTGAACCTGCAGAGGGCACTGGCAAGGCTGCTGCAGGCACCGCCAGGTGGGCTGCTACATGACCCAGAGGTCGTCACTTGCTGTTTGCGAAATCCTCTGAGCTCACTGGCCTACTCCAATCGTAGGCAGGGAGAATTATGTGGAAAAGGTAGTCGGAAGGGCAAACTTATGAGGATGACATGGTCTTCTGATGTGGACCATGTTTGAGTCGCAACAAGGCGGAAGATGATGACGAAAGCATCTTGCAGATCCACCGGACTGTGAAATATTCGGTTCCTGCTGTTGTTTTCTTTGGTTGTATCGAGTAGACTTGGCCAATCTTCATTTCTCCACAGCCTACATCGTCTCTGTTTGCTCTGCAGGTAGCTTTGCAGAGCTCGAGAACCTTGTCCTGGCCCGCAGCCTACGCATGATTGCTGCCGGCACTTCGCTGGCGGAACCATTCCTGGTAGCGCTGGCCCTCTGCCAAGAAGATGCTGTTATGGACCTGCCCGCCTGGAAAGAGTTTGACCCTAACCAGACTCGCGAACAGCTAGCCAGGCGCCTGGGGCTCATGTTCGTGCATGCTTTTCCGAACCACGGCCTGGGCTGGATTGCAACGTCGGCAAACCTTTATGCCATCCAGCAAAGCAGGTACACATCTGTTCTTCTCAACTCTCCTTCGGTGTCCCAACGGCTCTGGTCTGATATTAGCCTGAGCGAGGTGGACCACTGGGCTGACTTTTTGACCCGATACGAAGGGGGTCAACAATGGAACAGCTCGCTGTTGCCTGTTGTCAACTTTCCTGATTTGTCTTGCTGATTTCAAGGAAAGTATCAGGTCTGCTGGACTTGTATGCTTGAGGTTTTCCCTCAAAATGTTGACTCTCGTTGACGTGTCGTCGACCGCAGCGCTTGGATAAATCGAAGCGAGTTGCTGTGTGGTTGCAGCCCGTCTCCAGACCTGGATGCCGTCAAAGCGCACTGCCAGCTCGGCCTCAGGCTGGACCCCGACTCGCCCCACGGGTGAGAACCTCTGTTAACCTCTCTCCCCACGGAGAGAGCGTTCTTGGATGAAACCTTTGCACTTGAAGGAGTAGCCTCTCGAACCCGAATCGTTCAAAGGGCATGAGGTGCCATCTTAACTGCTTCTTTCCCTCAGTCGTTCTTTTGAACAATGGCCAACAGCGATCGGATCTTCGTTTCCCTTTACGCGACCCTGTCGTCAATGCCCATCTGTCGTCAATGACTTTCTGCAGGTGGCACGTTCTGGGGACGGTGCAGCTTGTCGAGGCGTCCGCCTCCGGGGCCCTCCAGTGCGTCCAGCGGGGCTTGGAAGCCGTGGCGAACCTGCGCGAGCGCTACGGGCTGCGCCTACGTCGTGCGGAGCTGCAGCTCCGGCTGCTGGAGAGCGCCGCGCTCGTCTCTGCCGGAAGGGCGGGCGACGCAGCGGAGCAGCTACAACTTGTAGAGGACGAGTGTGAGGTACAGCTGGAGGGGGCAGACCGGGACGAGGTGCGTCTGGCTGCCATTGAGGGGCAGGCACGGGCAGCGATGAGAGCAGCGGCAGAGGGGGCGCAGTTCGATCTGGCCCGGCTGGCGCTAGAGAGATTGCTGGCCGTGCAGCCGGATAACGCGTGGGCGTATGCACAGCTGGGGGATATCGCGCTGCGGGGCGATGACGCGGGGCCCGGCCTGGAGGAAGCACGCAGGAACTTCGAGAGAGCGGTCGAGCTGAAGCCCGAGGATGCCTCCTTCCACTTCAGCTTGGGGCAGGTGAGGCAGCTTTTTGGGACGTCTTCTGCTGTCAATTCTTGCCACAGCCAAACGTACTTTGGAAGGCTTCGAAGCATGAAAGCCGGGCTTACTTGTGAAACAGCAGTACCTCGTGTTTGAGGAAAATCTGTCGCATTGCTTCTGCTTCGAAACTTGTCGGACAGCCGGGCCCATTGCGTGAGTGCGCATGGTTCTCATGCTGCGCCTGGAAGCCCGTGTGATCCTCCTCTCCTCCAAGCCTCCCCGTTTGTCCGTGTCAGATCTACTGGCGGCTGGGCGGGCCGCTGAAGGAGGACCGCCAGTACGCGCATGCGCATTTCCTGGAGGCTGCGCGCCTCCAACCGGGCCTCGCTGGCGCGTTCACGTTCCTGGGTCGCTACTACCGCGAGGTACAAGCCGACGATCTGCGTGCGCGCCGCTGCTTCCAGAAGGCCGTGCAGCTGGACCCGGACGACCAGCACGCGGGTAGGCCCCCAGCCGGCTGCCCATAGCCTTCCCTTTGAAAACGAAAGTTCTTCAAATAGGTTGTGCCTTCTTCCGCAGGGAGAGCTCTCAAGTACTTGGATAGGTATCTCGATGCCAAACACTTCTGGTCCTTGCTTGATTGTATCAAACAACATTTTCTCTCTGCCGCCAACGCTTCCGCCGCATGCGTGCCCGCCTCCGTGCAGGCACTGCTCTGGCCGACATGATGGCCGCCTCGGGCCAGCGCCGTGCGGAGGTGGCCATGTGCCGCGAGGCGTGCCAGCGCAGCCCGCGCGCGTACTGGGCGTGGCGGCGCGTGGGGTTCCTGGAGGCGCGGACTGGGCGGTGGCAGGAGGCGCTGGTCAATTTGCAGCACGCGCTGCGCGGGGACGCCAAGGACGGGCCGGCCTGGGAGGCGCTCGCGCTGGCGTACCAGAGGCTGGGCAAGTTCACCGCGGCGCTCAAGGCGTACGGCCAGGCCGAGAAGCTGGCAACAGCGGAGGGCAGGGTGCCCGTCTTCACGCTGCTGCAGGTGAGGAGGCAGAGAACAAACGGGGCAGAACGGCGCAGGAATCCGAGGCTGCCGAGCTCGTTGAGGATGCGGATTTTGCTTCCTCCCCTCGTGCAGGTCAACTTCTGTGGTCTCTCCTCTTCTAGATCAGCTTACAAGCTGTTTGAAACTCACAGGGTGCTGTCTGTTGCTTGCTTCCTGGGGGTGCAAGACGCCAGCCCAGTCTGAAAGTTGACTTCCATTCCATCCCCATCGACTCGCTGACCCGCGGTCCGCCATTTTGGCTCTGCCTGTGCAGGCTGCCAGCATCCAGCTGAGCCTCGCCAACTTCCGCAAGGCCAGCGACAAGTACGTGGCCGTGCTGCGGCGCGCGCCCACCCACGCGGCCGCGCTTGCTGGCCTGGCGTCCGCCTTGCTGGGCCAGGCGCGCCACTTCCAGCAGCAGGGCGCCGCGCAAGCTGCAGCGGACCTGCTGGTGGACGCGAGCAGGGCCGCGCAGCGGGGGGTCACCCTGCACGGGAACAGCCGCCCCCTCTGGAAGCTGCTGGGTGACATCGGCCTGGAGCTGGGCCTCGTGGCGCCCCCACAAGAAGGCCACGTGTCCGAGGACGGCACGCCCTCAGCAGGCATGGCTCACGAGTTCCTGGGACGGCTGGAGGCTGCTCGCCGGGTGCGGCTCAGTGCTTTGCAGAAGAGCGCGCGTGCGTACCGGCACACCATCCACCTGAACCCGGGGGATGCCAGCGGCTGGGCGGACCTGGGCACGTGCCTCAATCACCGGGCGGACTTTGCGCACCCAGCCAGCGAGGGAAAGCTGCGGCCGTTGCACTGGGGCTGGGGGACGGCGAAACTAGGAGCGGCGAGTGCTGTTGGAGCGCCGCTGGCGGACCAGGGGCTGCTGCTCAGGTGAGAAGGCGATGGGCCGCAAGAGGGCAAGTGCTGGAAGAGCACGAGGCGAGGGGAAACTTCTTGGCCTTGTTCAACAACTTGCTTCAAAGCTGGTTCGCTGAAGCTATTGAGTCGCAGAGACCAGTACTGTAATGTCGGCGAGGGATGTTTTCCGTTTTGCTACCCGCTTTCCTGTCTTCGATGCCCGCTGTTTTCGTTTGTGCCACGGCTTTCTGTTTCTCGTCATGCACTCGGCTTCGTCTGCGGCAGCAGCAGCTGGTTGTGCGCCAGCGCATTAAGGCCCGTTCGCCGTGTCCGTGCAGGACGCTGGCTGAGCGGCTGGTGCTTGGCGGGCTGGCCCTGGACCCGACAGCCGGGGGTGTGTGGGCGACGCTGGGCGCAGTGGCGCAGGAGCGGGCCCTCCAGCAGCACGCGCTCATCCGGGCACTGCACATCAACCCCAAACTCAGTGCGGCCTGGATCAACCTCGGGCAGGTTAGTGCGCAATTTTGAGCAGTCGTGCTGCTTCTGGGGGGGCGAGAGTTCTGGCGGCAAGAGGCTAAAAGGCAGACGTTCGTCGATTGAGTACGAGCGTGCATTCTGAGAGCGCCAAAACGTGGTCGTCTCTGGATGCAGGAGAGCCTTGGCAACACTTTTGGCCCCTGCATTGCTTCTGGATGTTCGTCAGTTTTGAAAGCTGTGTCTGGCGAGGAAGTATCTTCTTTCCATCCTCGCTGAGGTCGTCGGCTTTCTCTTTGAAAATTCGACATGCCGCAAGGCAAGGCTGGTCATTGATCTTCGAGCACAGCACGATATGCATTCTAACGGGGACCACTTACGGCTGGCTATATCTCACTCGACCCGCAGCTGTACCTGGCAGAAGGCGACTTTGCGCTGGCCCGCGCCACGTTCGACCAGGCGCGCAGCTGCGACCCCGTGCTGGCGGTCCCCTGGGCCTCCATGGCGTGCATGGAAGCAGCGGAGGCGCGCGACGCCAAGCAGCGGGAGGAGGCGCGGTCCACCGCGCGCCACGCTGTGCAAATGGGTCCCACCGCCACGGGGCAGCTCGGGTACGCGACGCTCGCGGCGGGGCTGGGCCAGCTGGGCAGCCCCGAGGTGTACATCGCGCTGAGGCAGGCCACGCTGCAGCTGCCGGCGGTGGCGGCGGTGCACAACCTGCTGGGGCTCGCGTGCGAGGCGCGGGGGCTGCTGCCGCAGGCGGTGGCCAGCCTGGAGAACGCGCGCGCAGTGGGGGCAGCGCAAGGGGCGGGGAAAGAGGAGGAAGAGGGCGTGGCGTTCAACCTGGCGCGGGTCCTGGCCAGGGCGGGGCGGCATGCGGAGGCGGTGCAAGAGTACGAGAAGTTGCAGAATGCGGGTGAGGGACGGACAGCTTCGGCTGCAGCAATACTGCGCTTCATCTTGTGAGCATCCAGACAAAGTGAGAGCCGTTTGGTTTCTCAGAATGAGGCTCAGCATCTCGTCACTTTCTGATGATCGCTTGCGCACCTGGAAAGGCGCCTCTGCTCCAGCAACGTCGTCAACGTCCGCGAGAAGTATGGTTCGAAGCTTGTGGGCCCGTTGCTGAGAGGTGCGTTGCTTGGCTTTGCCGCAGGAGCGATGCTCCAGGAGTCGTCTGCGCCTGCATGGCGGCAGTACGGCGTGTCCCTCTGGCGCACCGGCCGTACCGACGCTGCGACCGCGGCGGTGCTGCAGGCCCTCCAGCTGGCACCGCCGCCGCTGCCTGACGAATCGCCTCCCAAGGCGCACACCGCAGCGCTATGCGCACTGGCGTGGATCCAGTACCAGGCAGCAGGGCCGGCCCAGGCGCTGCAGACGCTGCGGGAGAGCGTGCCCGAGTGCTGGCAGGACACGCAGGTGGGCACGCGGCAGGGGACGATGCAAGGCGCCTCAAAATGGACGCGACAATGACCTACTGCTGGTACAGTGCAAAAGCCTCCGCAACGAAGAGCGTTTCTGGCTGTCCAACTGGCCTTCATCTTGACTGTGCAGCTTGCCTTGCTAAAGGTTACGGTCGACGTCCACGAGCATCGGAGCATGTTTCTACTTTCCCCGCAGGTGGGCATGACGGCCCTGGCCCTGGCCACGCTGGCCCGCGACAACACGATGATCGCGTTCGCCATCAGCAAGTGCCCCGCCCTCTTTGAACACGGCTCCGCCCCCCGCAGCAACCAACTTCTCAGCTTAGCGCACAGGTGAGAGACGGCGAGATGTCCCAGGAAGACCCGACTATAGTGGTGGCTCTTGACGAAGAAACGAAGGGACGGTGCCAACTTGCAAGGACAATTATTAAGGAACTTTAGCCAAGGTCGCAGAATGTCTCTGGTGCATGCTGGGTTGACCGATGCTCTTACGTGAAGTGGTATCGAAGATGTTTGCAGATGTCTCTGCCGTGCAGAAGTGTGGGATGACAGTAGAGCGAATTAGAAAATATCAACGGCGGCCAAAGTCCTACCCGATCGATGCGTCCCTCGAAGACACGTCCTCTGATCGCTGCGCTTTTCGGAACAGAGTGGGATTCGAAGCTGTGCTGGATTCTTCTATGCAGGTTGCAGAAGAACCCTTCGCGCGCCCTCCTCCACCTGCGCACGGCTCTCCACTCTTCCCCCGACAGTCTCCGCCTCCGTGCCGCTCTCTCCGAGGCTCTGCGCCTGGACCGTCGCCCCGAGCAGGCCCGCCAGGTGGTGCAGGGAGCGACGCGCCCAGCGGCGGGCGGGTGGGGAAACTCCGACTCGGTGGAGGAACTAGGGGCGTGTGTGCAGGAGGCTGCCGAGGGCCTCTTCGCCCTGGGCTGGGCAGCAGAGCGGAGCGAGCAGAACGAACAGTTGTTTCGCGACCTGCAGCGGTGGGTCAAGCTCGATCCGGCGGCCCCCGGTGGCCGGGCGGTGCTGGCGCTTGCGGCTGCGCTGCGGGCGCAGGGCGGGGAGGGGCCCCAGAGCGGGCGGTGGGAGGCGGTGCACAGGCTCTGCGGGACGGCGCTGGAGGCGGAGAGGAGAACGACGGAGAGCAACCGTGAGGGAGCCGATGGGGAAACCCGTGTGGCGCTCTTGAGGACGCTGGACGCGGAGGCGTTGTGGCGTTCGCGGGTGAGAGCGGAGCGCGAGAAGGGCCGGCAGCAAGCACGGCTCCTGCTGGAGGGGGCGCGCGGACAGGAGGAGGAAGGACGCGCGCGCTTGCACTTGGCGAGGAACCGGCGGACGGCGGGAGTGGAACTGGCGGGCGCGGTAGAGAGCGGGGGCAGCGTGCAAGAGCACCTCGCGCATGCAGCATCCCAGGTGGGGGCACACAGGCCGTGCCGCCGATCAGGAAGGTGGTTTGCGTCCGACGTCAGCCCTGCATTTGATACAGTTCATTGCTGCTGGTACAATGAGTCTTTCAGGGTGGCAGCGTATAATCCTCTCCTCGATTTGAGTGTTCAGTGTTAATTCATGCCTGTCTGAGCGGCATCAGCCTATTCGCAGGGGGCGAGCGGCCGCTACGGAGACGCGCTTCAAACGCTCGAAGCTGCAGAACACGTGGCCGTTCTGTCGGGGCCCGAGCAGCGCTGCTGGGCGACGGCCGTGCGCGTGGCGCGCGCTGATGTGCTGCTCAAGAGCGGCGACGCCGAGTCTGCGGCAGCCGTAGCGACGGACGCCGTCGAAGAGGAGCCGGACAACCCGCTCCTGCTGCTGCTGCAGGGTGAGGCATTGCGTACGAGGCGGGGTCGACTGGTGCCCGCGAACCTGGAGCAATCCTGGTATTGCCATGTCGTCGGTGAAATCTAGGTGTCAAACCCCGAGTAATTTATGCGGAAGTGCCCCGCCAATCGCTGAAGGAAGCTGTCTTTATTCTCTTATCAGGCGCGCTGCTGTCACTGGCGGCGGAGGGTGGTTCCGGCGCCGAGGCTGCAGCCGCTGCGCGACGCGCACTGTCGCGGGCGGTGCACCTGTTCAAGGGCGGCGGGCGGGGCAGCCCCTGGGCGCACTACCTGCTGGGCCAGGCGGAGCTGGCGGCCGGCGGCGGCAAAAAGGGCCGCGACAAGTGGGAGGCCGCCACGCTCACCGCCTGCCGCCAATGGCCTCACGGTAAGCTGCGAGCTTGAGTTAGAAAGTTGTGCAAGTCGTTCAGAGCATTTTGCGGTCTCAAGGAGGGTATCTTCTCCATGCTACAATGCCATTACGTCAAGTCCGACTGGATGTCAGTTCGTTCCAAGTGAAACGGCGCCAAACAAACGGCTCTGCTTCGACTGCTTGGATGCTCCTCACGTGAATGGCCTAACTGTGTGCAGAGGCCCCGCCGGCGGAGCTGCTGTTCCAGCTGGCGGAGCTGGCGGCCGCGTCGGAGCGCGTGGGCGGGGCCGGAGTGTGCCAGTACGCGGGCGCGGGGCCCCTGCTGGCCGCGGAGCAGTGGCGGCGCCGAGCGGTGCACGCGCACCCGGGCTTCAGCGCGTACTGGGCCAGCCTGCGGCACTGACGCGGGAGCCGCTATGGTGGACCAACTGGGGGCTGCGGTGGGCGCCAAAGTAAGGCAAACCTCTGACCTCTTGTAAACCCTGGTCAAGCGAAATGTAAATCGACTAGCCTCAATTCGATGTGCCAGTGTTCTTCCGGTGGTAGGCCTCGGCAGGTCCTTATCGTCCAAGTCCTTAATGCGTAGTCCATGATCCGCTTAAAGACGCAGTCCGGCTAGCTTAAGTTGTGTTGTGGAACCTTTGCGATCGAAAGGGTCCATTCCATAGGTTTATCACGCCTGCTCTTAGGGGCACTTCAGTAGGTTCCGCTGTTCGCCGGCTGGTCCTGACTAAGGCCAATCTGCTGCTGCTTCAACTCCTGCTCGTCAGCAATGACCTGCTTTTGGGTCCACAGGCTTTTTTCCGTCTCTCGCCTTTCACAGATTTTGACTTCCGTTTGATGACCCGTTTTCGTCGACCTTTCTGCAGTTTCTGATGGCCGAGCTCTTTGGAGCACGGACAGAGCAGCTTTGTGTTGGAAGGGAGGGTGGGAACTTACGAGATGAGGGGGGGAAGTCTGCACCTTTGGGGCGGGGAGAACGCAGGCCGTCGATTTTGGATACTTGTTCGAGCGAGATGCTCGAGGAGGTACAACGCGCGAAGCGGAAACCCTTAGAGGCGCACAAGATTTCTTAGTTGACCACGGAAACGAGGGCGTCAACATTCAAAGCGATGGCGGCCTTATAATCGCGTTTGCGGGGTTTGAAAATGTGTCCGAAACGGACACGGCTGATGCGTAAGGGAGAGTCTGCATTTAGTGCGCGAAGGCGTGCCACATGGCAGCTTTGGAGCCGCCTTGAACCTCAAATGCTTCCTCGTGCCCATAAACGAGGACCGCTCTCTCGAAAATTTGCCAAATGCAACGCACGCGTGCCGACGATAGAGCCGATAAGTCCGCCTTTGTGATCTTGTTGTGGGATTGCGAGCATAGCTTAGCACGATGGCCGAGCAGGGACTCATTAACCGAGGGTTCGACGGTCCGGTCAGATAGAACGCAGGTGGATGCTCAGACATGGACACAACAGTTCCAGACGGTCCCGTCGAAGAAGCATCAGAGAGGAGAAAAAAGGTCTAGTAAGTCAAAACAGAGCCGCAAGTTAAGATAGCGGAGACAGCAGAGACAGCCACGCACAAGAAAGCGACGGAAGGAAGAAAGTCGAATAGTGCTTGTTTGAAAGACTTCAGTTTGATGAATCAACGGGGTGCTTTTGCTGAGTCAGCTCTTCTTGATCAAGGTTTGTCTGTCGAGCAGGCAGCAGATTGTTAATTTCTTCCAACGAGGTTTGTGCATTTCGAACCAATGTGACGGTTCGATCAGATGCGTCACTCAAGCTGTCGAAGGATACAAATATACACCCTTAATTCCTTATCATGCTATGCATCCGTATCAATGCATGTAGAAATGAACTTGAAAGTGTGAGTATGAGTCGAGTTCGCCATTGAAGGCTTGTCGATCGCTATTTCGATCCGGACGATTGAAAGTTGCATAAGCTGATGATGCATGCCGATGTCTGTCACTCAGACTGCAGACGCGATAAGTATGCATGCCGTACGTGAAAGGTCAAGTCCGGTCTGTCGCCTATTTCGCTATATAAGGCAATCGAAACATCGGAAAATGATGCAAATGTGAACGGGATGAACTTGTAGCCAGTGTTCCTTGTCACGGAAGGTTACTCGGGTCAACTGGCAAGGTACCAAACTGTTTGAAAACAATTAGCTTCCGCATTGAAATTTCCTCACCATGCTTTCAGACGCTAACTACATTTAAAGCAACGCGACTGCTAACCCTCTCCATGCTCGTCGACCTTACCGTAGACTGTACCTAGCTCAAAAAGCTCTTGATAGTTGATTGCGTCCCGAGGAACGCGACTAATGATCGAGCCCCTTCCTGCAACCCACCGGTAAATGGTGGTCGCCAAACCCTCTTGAATAGAGGGATACTATTCTAACATATGCTCGTATACTGGCTTTTAAAGTCTGCGTGAAGCATTTCCTCTCGGTACGCTCTGGCCCCACAGCTATTACCAAGAAAATATACCTCTTACCTCTGAGGTTCCAAATTTCTTAATGTCGTCGACTCCTCAGTCACGCCTCTGAAAGCGACACAGCAAAAGCTCTCGTTGAGAACGAGCAGTCTTCTGTAAGGTACTACGTACTTCGTTCAATTTACCGACGGGTTGATAACTTCTCTAGACGCTATACTCCGGTATTGTCTTATGTTTTATCAAAGTTTCCTCTACGAGTGATATGAAGGCAAATGAAATCACAGTACCAGTCAATCACCACTGGGCGTGCCTTGGGGAACGGCTCGCTTGGAGGATTGAACTACCCCATGAAATCTGCAAGCACGTCGATGCGTCCGGCGTCAAGGCTATTCGTGTCAACGAGCAGAATGAACGAATCGACCTTTCTCTCATCCGACAGTGTTTTGAGAAAGCTATGCCGAATTCAAGACAAAGGCTTGGAAGACATTGTCCCGAGATGCATTTGGAAACGTTGCTCAATATCAGCATATGCGCAAGCACAGAGAGGGACATAGAAAACCTGTTGGACTCAAAGCTGCACCGAAGGCAGAAGGCAGAGTGGTTGCGAGAGCTTACGGCATGCGTTGTTGAACCATGCGCACGGCTTATTGCCATTCGTGCAGGCATTCTCATTGGGACAGTTGCAAGCGTTGCCACACCCCCCCTTGGGGTTGGTCGGCACGGGAGTGGGCGTGGCAACTGCGGGGGGAGACGACTTCGCAAGAGGAGGCGGGCTGGCAATCTGAACAGGGGGCGGGCTGGCAATCTGAACCGGGGGCGGGCTCGCAATCTGAACCGGGGGCGGGCTAGAAATCTGAACCGGGGGCGGGCTAGCATTTTGAACAGGGGGCGGGCTAGCAACCTCAACAGGGGGCGGGCTAGCGATCTCGGCAGTCGGCGGGCTAGGGATGGCCACAGGCGGCGGGTTGGCGTTCTCCACAGGTGGCGGGTTAGCGTTAACCACCGGCGGAGGTTGGCTGTCCGCAGCAGCGGGAGGGGGGTTCACTGAAGCAGGTGGCGGGTTCGCTGCGATGGGGGGGGGGTTAGCGGCAGGGGGAGGGAGGGCAGAGGACGAGGGCGTGAGAGTCATGCCCAGGATGACCGGGTCGTGGTCGGAGCAGCGGTACATCGAGGTGGGGCTGGCCAGGCCGGTGGGGCTCTGCAGGAAAAGAGGGTTCGAATTGGAGCCCGAAATATAGATATGAGGAGAACCGAGTTCGTACCACCAGGCACAAGCAGAAGCAATTTCGTCGTTCAGTAATCCTATCTGATAGTCTGCTAGCGGACTAACATTCAAATTCAACGCCTGCTCAAGGATCTACAGCATCAAAGAGAATTGCATGCGTCTTCAAAGTCGGCGTCTTCAAAACCGGCATTGATTGCACAGATTGAAGCACGCAATTTCTCATGGTCATGTCCCTTGTCGGCCATTCCCGCTGGCAGAAAAAAAGTTGCCAAGTACGAAGGCTGCGAAAAAAACACTTCAAGCGAGACGTTCAAAATCTCACGGCCTCCTTTGCTACTCAGGGAAGGGTAAAGAAAGCTCTAATCGCTAACGCCTTTATCGCTCACGTCGTAGTGCAGCACGATCGGCTCATCCGCGTTGATGTGGAACTCGGCGACGTCCTGGACCTGCGGCGCGAGAGCGGACGACGCGAGCGCGTGGTCGAGGTAGCCGCTCTCGCCACCGAAGACGTACGAGTAGGCCAATGGGCCGATCTTGGCGGCGATCATGTTCACGAAACCGCCCGCCTCGAAGGTCTTGATGGGGTCCTCCTTGGCGTACGCGTTCATGTCTCCCAGCAGCAGGAAGTCTGGGTCGTTACTGCCCGTGGGATCGCTGGCGAGCCACCTCACGATGGCGGCGGCGGCTCTCTGGCGCGTCAGGTTGCAGTTGCCCTGCACATGCAAAACCGTTGCAAAAGTGAGAGACATATACCCGTAGTCTGAGTACGAATATACCTTTCCCATCCACATATTTGACTTTGTAACCTGTTGGCCAGAGCGACCCTACGCGAGAAGCTCGTCAGCCTTTTGATGCTGAGTAGCGAGCTCCTATCAACCCCACCGTAACTCCACGGAAAGACAAAGGGAACCATCAGATTCACCGGCTCTACAGCTCTTGAAAGAGCACAGGAGCTGCCTCTCGACTTCCAGGTATTTTGCGACAACACTGAATTAGAATCCTTATTGATGCCGAAAGATCGGACGCCTTCATTTCGGACACCTCGACTGTTTTACCCGGAGCACGCGTCAGGCAGTGCGTTACCTGTCCGTCCTTTTGGTCCGCGTCGCCGGAGCACGCGCTGCCCTTAGATTTGAGATGATTCGCAACCACGGTGATCTTGCCCCCCTGGTTGTCCGCAAACGTCTGGGCCACGGACGGCCGCGTGTTGTCGGACGGGAAGGTCGGGTCCACGTTCTTGGTGATGGCACGTGCCGCTCCCACGGGAGTCACGGCGGAAACGCGGTACATCATACCCACCGTGATCGCATCGCCGCCGACGCACTGCCTGGCGCACTGCAGACGTAGAAAAGAGGTTATATTCAAGGGAGGGCTGTCTCTGCAAAATGATTGGCATCTGACCAAAGGTGAAAGACACCTGCCGGTGTCAGTAGTACGCAGTCAACGTCTGCCAAGTCGTGTCACTTGGCGGGCAATTTGACCGCAATAGTTTGAAAGAATCTATTTATTAGGCGTCGAATCCCGTATGTGATGAGTTGATGGTTTGCTGCTGCTTGAAGGAAGCGCCGAAGTGATTTTAAACGGCAAGGTTTGAACATAAAACTACAATTCCCACGGTGGCATTTCTTAGAGGCGTGTAATCAGTCCAAAACCTTTCGCAGCATGTAAATAAAATGGCAGAGCTCACGTTGGGATCCGTGCTGATGATCGAGGGGCTGCCCCCGTCCGGCTGGTTAACCCTGATGAAGGCATACGTTCCAGCCCCCACCGCGTTGTTGACCGCATTGGTCAGAGTGGCGATAGCACTGCTCGGGCCGAAGCCGTTGTTCTGGAGCTCTTGGAACGCGTAGATGTCCCCGTTCAATGCGGTGATGGCCAACACTTCTTTGGCGAGTTGCGTGTCGAATTGCTGTAAAGAGGACAACAGCAACTCGTTTCAGCTGCAGTTTGTGTGCTTCCTTCAGGGAGCTGAGATGGCGAGTGATGGTGGACATCAAAGTCAGTCGACGGAAAGCACAGGTACGGAGTCGACATTCGATTTTGGTAACAAATGAATTCTGGCACAAATGAGATCTGCTGACTTTGTGAGACGTCGATTCAGCTTTTCAGATTGTTCACAAACAAACTTTTGCTTTTGAGTATTGAGAAGCTCTGCTCGATCATGAAAACTCAGCTGGTATCTGAGAGGACTCAAGCTCTTCAATCTGCGAACGGATGAGTTAGCGAGGTTGCAGAAGGAACGGCTTCAAAAAGGATGCCAGACGTTGAGCATATGATGTAAGCCACATTACCTGCTGCGTCTTGGCACCGCGGCAGTCGGAGGAGCTGCACCCGTTGGCCTGCAGCTGCGTGAAGAAGTTCTCCAGGTTCATGCCCACCACTTTGAGGCTGCCCGCGACGGCAGGCCCGGCGGTCGGGCGCGGGTTGGTGCTGGGATCAAAGGTGAGCGCCGCAGAGGACGGGTTGCCAATCGGCTCCACCAAGTACCCGAAAGAGCTGCCGTAGGACAGGTCGCCATTCAGGGGGCCGGCCAGGGTGTAGCCAACACGGATAGTGTTGCTGTCCGACAGGCCGGGGTACGGGTACGGGGGCTTCAGCGGCGGGCTGGACCGCGAAGTCAAGCTCGACCCGTCGTCCACGAGAATGGCCTGCGCGTCGTTTGAGGCCGCAACGGCGTTGGCGGGAGCACCTGCAGGGAATGCCCAAGCACAGTTTATATTCGTTCTGGTCGCCCCCGTGACAGAAGAAATTGGATGCTTTTCGGGAGGTCGTCAACAGCAGCAACTCCAACCGAAAGAAAAAAAGAGATGCATCCGTGATGCATTCGTTCATTCTGTAACCCCACAATCAAGCCTATGAAAGAATCTCAAGTTCCTCGAAACACTGATGCGAGATGCGGCTCACAAAGAGGTCTGGTTGAACGAGCTGACCCGACCAGAGTGCATGGTAAGGAACGGCGTGACCAATCGACAACTTCGCAGGTCCAAGTACAAGACTGCAACTCGGAAAATCTGTTCAAAGAGTCACTCACCGGGATCGGCCACCTGCGTGGGCACATAGCGCCTGCCATTCACGGACAGTTCGATCTCCCCGTAGAAGTCGTCGTTGTAGTTATCCGTCACAGTGAGCGTCTGCAAAGCACGAGATCCTGTCAGGGCCGTTTATGAACGGATACTGTCTTCCTTTCCAGCACCTTGACAAGAGCAGTGCACGGGCACCGGACTCTTGCCTTGCCCAAAATCTGGTCAGAAATTGATACGGGATGCTGCCAACGAAGACCCTTCTCATTCGTTGCTCTGTCTAAGCGTCCGTCAGCTGCTGACGAGCTTAAGCGCTGTATCTCCAAATTAGATCCCTTGGTTCAGAATCATTCAGAATCATTCCCGATCTTAGGTTGTTGTTCGAGTTCTCGGCTGTTACTTTCACAGACAGAGACGTACTTAGAGGAAGTCCAAGAGATGAAAGGATTGATGCTTATGTCCAACTGCATCCAAACTCCCAACCTTTCCTCAACCGCTCACTCTTACTTAGTACCCCTAGCAAACAAAGATAAAAGACGAGACTCAGAAGATGCAACCTGCGAGAAAGAGCGGCAGCGCGACACGGGCGGCACATACCTGGGGGAAGTTGACCTGCATGCTCAGGTACTGGCGGAGGTCTGTCGGCAGCGTGACTGGCGAGATGGTCGGGGGAGGATTCCCCGAGCTGCAGATGGTGAGTGCGGTCACGGCGTTCATCTCGGGCAGGCCGTTGTAGTTCACGATCGTGCCGGACACCTGGATGTAGTCCCCGGGGGCAGTGGCCGGGAAGGTGGCACGGCTCGTGCCGACGAAGTAGACGAAGAGGCCGTTGGACGTGCCCGCGGTGATAGGGTCGGCTTGGGCCTGCAAGCACAAGAAACAGACACATTAAGTCAGGCATGCGGATTCGTTTTCCTTGCGGACAAAAGCGCCGACAAATACGAGCAGCCGGTTCTTGTTAAAGGTGAGTTCAAAGGACTGCTCTGAGCCTGCCAGAACCGCTTCAGAACGAAGCGGCAGCCGAAGGACGACCATATGACTGCCGGTGCAGCTCCAAAAACGGTCTTCAAAAGACCATTCAAACCAAGGGACGGCGAAAGAGTATCCAGCAGATTTGACAACTGAATACTTGTCTCGTAGCGGTCCATCTGAATTTAACGCCCTCTTTATTGAGAGGGATCTTTCAATATGCGTAACCAATCCCTACCAGACCCCATCCAAAGCGGCGAGTAATGTCCAACTACCCAAACACAAGAGTATTTCTTTGAACGGCACTCACGTCGGGCGTCTGAATGAAGATCCCGTTGAGGCGGTTAGCTTCGTCGAACTCCCCGGTGACAATCCCCGAGGTAACCACCTGCTTGTCAGCGATGGCCTGGGCCTGACCGTTCCCGTTGATGGCATAGATGGGCGTCTCTCCGGCAGAGCCGCAAGTGCCCGTGGCTCCTCCAGCCGGGGGAGGGCTGGAGACGGTCGTGTCAACAGGGGGAGGGTTGCTCGTGCTAAGGGCCGGGGGGGGGCTGGACACCGTGGAACCAACAGGAGTGGGGGGGGACGTGTTACCTCCTGTTGGGGCAGTTCCGCGATAGCCTGCAAACAAGAGAGTAACTGATGAGTATTTTTTCTCTTGACTACTCACTTAGCCACTCAATGAAGGCCCCACCACCACGTTATCAATCATGAACAGAAACTGTGCTTGAGGCAATTAAAGTGAGGGGTCGAAACGAGAATGACGAGAATCAGTGCACCCAATAGGATTCTTCTCGCACATGCTTTTGTGACCAACATGTAACCCGCAGATTGCTCCTGTTAAATGGGCATTGCATGGAACACCAAAACTCAGACTACACACATCAAGAAGATGAACGGTGGTATCACCTGTTGATGTAAGGAGGCCATCCACCACAAGCTGGCTCGGGAGGTTCCCTGCGCCAATGATCCGCGGGCCTTCAGAGGAGGGGACGGCCTGGCCTGCGTACGCTGGGCCAAACGAGTTGGCGGCAGGGCTGGACCACGTGGTGGAGCCCGTGCGCTGGACGGAATATCCCACGGGGGTGCTGCTCGTCTCGCGTGGGCTCACGGGCGTGCTGCCATGGACAAACGCAGAGAAACATTGCTAGGTGCAAAGTAGACATCATCCCTCAGAAATGAGTTCAGCGAACCTTGTTACGAAACTACAGAAACCAGGAAAAACCCATACGAATGTGAAAACGACGAGCAAGTGTAGGATCACCAAGTCCTGGATCAAATTGTGGGGCCGTCTGTTGGAGCGACGGGGGAACAAAAACGAGCTGCAATGTCGCTTCTAATTGAAAAGATACGCGGTGTTGCCGACCAAAAGGATACCGAATGCGAAGCAGAAGTTGATCGAAGAGCCACTCACGATGTTTCGCCAGAGGCAGGGCCGGTGTTGGCGGATGCGGTCACGGTGAAGGTGTTTGACGTGCTCGACCACGAGATGAAGTCCAGCAGCTGACTCGCGGGGTCGGAGAGGGCCATCCCCGCCCCGCTGTTGGTCAGCCCGTCCACGGGGAAGACGACGACGATGGTGCCGGACTGCAAGATCGAGTCGAAAACAGATGTCAATTTGCTGAGACCAGATGTCGAGGAGGATACAAAAAATTGTCTCGAAGGTCTGGCACTCGGCTCTAAGAACAAAGACCAGAATCTCGAAAGTACTTGAGTACAAGAAAGGCATTCACAACAGCTGACCCAGCCCGGGCATCTCACCGTGGTTGAGCCGGACGACCCATCTCCTCGCAGGATGGAGCCAGCCGGGAAAGTGAGGGTCGGCCCGCTGGGGAGGGGGCACACACTGGTGCTGCACAGCCCTCCCGCCCCCGCGTAGCGCGTCAGCTTGTAGCCAGTCACGTCAGTGCCTACAGGTCCGAAGATCTCAACCGCCTCGGCTGCAACAAAGAAACAAGCACGGTGAGTGCATGCACGATAAACTATGCTGACTGCCAACCAAGCCAAGCTGCTGGCTTCTACGCAAGAAAAAGCCCATGCAACGCTCCCGAGTCTCAGGCGTGCATCATTCCAGCGACTTTGATTTGGCAACGAGGGTTTCATTTGTCAAATCGTGGCCTCAAAACAGTGCCTTCCACAATCTCTCAACCCTCTTACACAGGTAACGGTACTCAGGACAATAGTTACAAGTGGGACACACAAGCAAGTTCCTGCCCTCCTCAACTCCATGCTGATGGCCCTAAGTCAAGCGGTGGGGCTGCAAAAATGGTCCTACACAGGCACTTCTCAGCCCTCCCAGAAAAGCAACGGACATCCATCGACTCTAGCTGTCAAGTGGATACCTCACCAACATCCGTGCCGTTATTATCCCAGTGAATCTCATCGAAAAAGACAGCTGTCACTCCAGTCTGCGCAAGTGATCGGCGCTCTGGGAAAATTCTGTCGAGACAAGGACAGCAGGTGAGTTAGGCGGCCTTTTAGAGTGCAAGTCAGGCCTTGGATATCGCTGTCCTGAAGACATGTATGATTGACATTCCTGATTACTTGCTCAGGCATGAGTTGATGATCACCAAGGTTTTTCCCGGATCCCTTACTAGTTGAGCGCTTTTGGGGAGCTGCATGGGAAAGCTGGTGCATGAAAGTCCTGACCCCGTTCTCATTGCAGTGCTTGGAGCTCAGAAGGAAGAGCCTTCCTTGGGAGCAGCCTGAGGAATACTCCCATCAACAAAGTAACAACTCCTCTATCATAGTTCCTTACAGGAAAGGAACTACAAGCAAAAATAGATGAACTCTTTGGACTGATATACTGAAAGGCTGATAATCGCTGATAAGTTGCAGAAGTGTGATAAACCACTCGTCTCTCAGAATGGTGATGAGCTCACAGCCTGCAACAGCAGCGACTTGCTACAAGCGAAGAATCCTATGTCTCTTAGAGGCATAGCGGGCAGCACACCAAATTGCTTGACAAGAGCCTGTTGTAGAGAATCTCAGCTTTTGAGCCTTTTACAAAGTTTCATAAAATTCTAGTATGATATAAGTTTTTGGCAACCAGGTAGTTTTGTTGCAAGTGTGAGATAGTGCACCCAGATTACCACGAGTTGACTCTTTTGGCCAAACAGTACATGGAAGCACAAGTTGACTTTTATGGCCAAAAAGTAGCCAACTTACTCTTTGGTCAAACGATTCGTAAGCACAGCAACGATCACCCTGACAGCCAATTTGATCTCCCTGACTCTAAACATTCTTCGAGTGCCTTTGTTCAGCTTTTAGCTGCTGTGATAGTGTCAACTCGTTTAGGCCAGCACTCTATCCTTGAACATGGCTACACTAATCAAAGCACAGCTTGTTCTACGGTGAAGTCACTGGAGTCGTAAGACCACAACACTTACAAGTGACAACAATCTGACCCCAATGTGGGGCATCTGTCCTTTTGCAGCCAATCTAGAGTAAACAAAGGGGTCAATTGAAGGAACCAGTCTGCGTCCAACGTTGAAGAAATCAAGTTGAGGCGTCTTACCTTGCATCAGCGCCGGGAAAAAGCGCAACAGCCAACAGCGCCATCAGCATGACGAGGGCAGGGAGCCGCCCAGGCGCCGCCATCTTTGTGGTGATCGAATTCGAGCTTTGAGCTGAACCGAAATGTCTGCAGACAATGGCCCAGACGCAGCTAAACAGATGCAGCCCTCCTTGTGTGGATGTTGCTGAAGTATGAGCTTGCTCAAGAGACTGCCTCCTGAAAGCAGCCGACACCCCTGATCGGGCCCTGATCAACCTTGCATAAGATTGTTGTACGAAATTGGAACAGATCTCAATGCAAAGTACCTACCACCGGTGGTCAATTGGAGCAAGGCTCGTTAGGGAGTAAAAAAGTGGGAACAGAGAGCGACAGACTGGCAGTGCTCTGCGGACTGGCTGAAGTGGATCACATCGACACGAAGTTCTGAATAAGCTGGAAATCAAAGCTGCCACATCGGCAGCAGTGCTTCAAGCTCGATCAGATACACTGGAATCCTTTTATTTGTGCTGGCATATACCCGCTACAACAAGCTGTGCACACTGCAGACTCCAACTGGCAACAACTTGCTAAGATTCGATGCCAGCCGGGCTGAGACAAAAGCGCACTGGAGCCAGTAGGCTAGCCGCTAGGCATGGGTACCGTATACTGCAACAGAGTGTACCTATGTTGAACAGACTGTGCAGTCACCAGTGTGCCCCGGGGGCAGTCCGCAATCATTGATTTGCATGAGGGCAGTTAAAGATGCTTCGGTAAGCGGCAGGAGGTCCGAGGAATTATTGACGCTCTTGCCACAATTTTCGGAAATAGCTAGGTGTTATTATTAATTAAAGTTCAAACTCGAACAACAAAATAAAATAGGAGCTCACGTGAACCTGCTTAACCCAACTCTTATTTGCCGGTCGCACCAAAATACCTACTGACCCTATTAACTCCTTTGTACTAACCCCACCCGTCCTAAAGCTATAACCTGAGCTTATTTAAGTACCTACCTCGGAAAATCAGTACCAAAATCTGTCAATCTGAAGATCAATCTGCAACTGTTCAATAAAGAGCATCTTTGCGGCACCGGATCGGATGCAATGATTACCGTGCCCGAAGGGCCATCATGCTGTCATGATGCGACCACGTGGCTCCGCCCGAGAACAGACACGTGTGAAAAACGATTCCCGAATCCTTCCCGAGCGAAGATTCGATCGGCGACTTCCTCATGAGTCATGACACGGTATACCAGTCCGGTCTCCCAGTCCGAAGCACCTCAGAGACGGGATACCGTACCTAGCTACCTAAGGTACTACTAGGGCCCTGGTCCTAGGCCCGTCTTGAAGCTTTAAAGGTGGTACAGGGGTGGTACGGTCTTACCTAGTTACCTTATGGTCTTAGTTACCTTATGGTCTTAGTTACCTTATGGCCTTACCCGTGGTAGGCCTGTAGTGCCCCCTATACCCCTATGTTGACTTCTCTACAAGCCCGTGAACTATCGAAGGCATGGGGCTATGGCGGGGCCGTAATTAACATGCATCGATTGAGAGGCATCACATTCTCCTGCACATGTGCCAATGTCAGACGGTGATCCTCTCAGGCACTGTCAGCGCAACCTTGGTGGCAGAGACGGCGGCTGGCCTCTTGCTCCAAGATAGTCGATCACCAACATGATGCAAAAGGACCTAGAAGAACAGCTCCTGATGATACATGGGCATCGTGTCCTAACATGTGTGCAGGGGCGTCCGGAACTCCGAAAATAAAACCGGCCACCAGCCCCCCCCTACCCTCTCGATGCACAATTTTACCTAGGGGTAAAATTGCCCCTAGATGTTGCCCCCACCGGCCACCAGCCCCCCCCCAACGAGGGCCGATTTTCGGAGTTCCGGACGCCCTTGCACATATGTTCTGACACGATGCCATGGGCGATTGTATAAAACACCGGAATCCTATACTCACCACCTATTTTTCGGGGCTAAGGTCATGGGAAGGTCATAAGGTCACCTACAGAGAAACCTACGTACGGTCATCGTGTGCTGTTTGATTTGCGCTTGAAGCGATCGAAAGTACCGTAGGCCGGGACGGTGTACCCGGCCTCACCGGCCCTACGATTGTATAGCTGCTTCCGAGCAATGTAGCATCCGACCGGACGATCCGAGTCTTCTGTAGTCTGCAGTGGAATTGCGCGGGCGGATTGATTGTAGCATTGTCGGACATTACCGTCGGGGTCCGCCATTGCAAAGTACGATATATACCTGGAGATACAGCATAAATACAATATATAAGCTCATGGGTGGCTATAAGCTTAAATAATTAACTAGGGCCGCGAATTCTTATCGATCGTGGTCGAGGTTGACTGCACATGGTACTGAAGGGATCGGAGGTTTTACAATGATAGAAACTCTCTATACATGGAAGAATTGTTTAGAGGGCCCCCCGCGGCGCGCCGCGTTATTTATAAGCTTTGCCATGAACACGGCTTGTGGTGTGGCCGGTCTTATAAGATTGTATTTGCTAGCGCATGTAAACATGGTACACCGTCGTGAATTATATACATATATGTTCCAGGATCGACGCTAGCATGAGCGGCTGTGGTTTTGATAATGGTGCGTATGCATTCGTCACAAGCGATGATCGAAAACAGAATAAACCCGGACCATATGTGGCTCTGACAGCTATACGAGGTTCACTTTTAATGATCGAAATGACAAGCTGATAGTACTAACACCGTTGAACGGGTGTGATTGAGGACGGCATGATTCAATCACTTCGTGCCCCATTTTGACGGGGCCAGCCTCCCATTCCCGCCACTCAGAACTCACGAGCACTTGTCCGCAATTAGCAGTATGCAACGACCACTTTATGTCGATTGCGATACCCAAACTAATGAGCCTTTGTGAGGCAATTGGTTGCTTCGAAGCTCAACATGCCTGGCTGTGATGGGAGTGTCACGTTGTGAGAGTTGATATGGAGCGTCAATGTGAACCAGAGCGCGATCCGGTGCTCATTGTCCCTGCACTGCTAGTACCCCCGGGTATACTGCTGGCTGCTTTTGCACGTTGCAATTGGCGGAGCCGGAACACGTCTCTTGGTGGAGGGCGGCTTTGATTGTTGGTGGAGTCTTCAAGGGCGGAGCCTGGGCATGCCAAGGACATAGCGGTTCCGAGCAACTCGATCTAAGAGCAGTCGGTGACACTGGGGCGAGGCATCCGATAAAGACTTTAAGCAACTGCCTGACACTTAGGCTTTGGCAGCATCATTGAGATCGAGACGTCGAACCTTATTTTGGGATCCCCGCGATCCTAAGCAGAAGCTCTGTTGGGTGCTGTGCAAACCGAAGCGCCAGCGACTTACCATGCGACTGGTTTGCTGTCGTCGTTCACATCAGAACGAGGAAATTGTCACAGAAGCAGGCCAAAAGACAAGTCTAGCCCTGTTTTTGCCCTCACCTAGATCCGGCTGTTTCCGTTTCTGCCCTGGCGACGACACCCCGGCCGGCTGCGGCGGGGCCTCTGCCTCTCCGGGCTGGCGAGGCGGGCCCTCGGGGGGCGAGGAGAAGTCGGTGCTGAGAAGCGCGGCAATCACCATGTCCACGTCAGGGGCCGGCCCTGCAGCGACGCATACACGGCCTCAGGCCAGCCGCCTAGAAGAGCGCTGAGGACCAGAAAGAGTGTGCACCAGCAGAGGAGCGCACAGCTTGTTGTGCCCCCAGCAATTGAGCACCCCGCCTTGTGCTTGCAGGCAGCCCTGGATGCTGTCGGAGCGGCTACTCAAGCAAATCGAGGGTTGGAAAATCCATGCGTTTTACGATCTGTCATGCGACTGCATCACTAACCAACACATAACACCCATGGCCACCCGCAACGGCGCAACTTTCGACAAACACAAAGAGCGTTTCGCTTCTGGCCGCAGATAATACGAGGTCACGTCAGGCGGGCGTGCGCTGACCGTGCAGTGGCGGGATTTGATGCAGGAAGTGGAGCACGAGGGGCGGCAGCTGCTGCACGAGCGCGTCGACCAGGAACTGCGGCACCGGGGCGGCCGGGGTCGACGACGGCCGGCTCACGAAGGAGGCGGTGGGGGGGAGGCCGGCCGGCAGCGGGGGAGGGGTGGAGCGGGCTGCGCGGAAAATGCCGGGTATCGAGCAACTGAAGGGTTTACGGTCGCCAACACCGCTTCCTAGGGCGTCCCCTAGGAAGTCAGAACACTTCATCTCGTGGTCAAATCATTCAGGAGCCGGGCAAGACAGACTCAAGCTGAACCACGAACAGCAAAACGTGATCCAAAACAGGGCCTGCACCATAGGGCCTGCACCATATTGGCTGTAGAACTTGATCAAGTTGTTGCGTTGTACAACCACTAGTCCTCCAGTCTGAGCCTCTCTTGAAACTAGATGCGAGAACACAGTCCTTTCCCCGCGCTGCGCAAGGATGCCCGGCCCCCAGCAGCATGTCCGGGAGACGTCGCGCAGTGGCTCACCTTCCGGCGGGGGCCCAGGTGGGGGCCGCGGGGGGGTCTTGCGGCGCCGGTGAGCGGCCAGCCCGTCGCCAGGCTGCTGGCGAGACGGCTGCGGCTGCCCGGTGGGCGTTTCCCGGGGGTTTAAGGGCGGGGACGGGCCCTCCCCTGCAAACCGCAGAAGAAGCAACGGCGGGCTCAAAGGTGGACATCAACGAGCTGACTCGAAGGAGCCCCACGAAAGCAGATGCCGGAGTTAGTGCTACAAGGCAGGCAGCGAGCGGGGAGGTTGCACGAGTGCCCGGCGTCGACTGCAAGCTCGGCGTGGCCCTGGAGAGCCAGTCTCGGGATGGGGCGAGAGAGCCACATACCCAGTCCTCCGTCCTGGTAGTCGGAGGCGGACGCGTGCGCTGCTGCCGAGTGTGGCAGTGGAGGCCCAACGCTCCCTGCACCGCCCAGGACACGACGTCAGGGGCTGACGCAAAACCATGTCCGTTCGACCGAGGGGTCTCCTAGCAAAGTGGAGGAGCTTAGGCAGGCTGAAGAGGAGGAAGAGGCATACGAATAGGAGGTGTAAGAGGATTGCCAGCTACTGACAAACGTGCAGAGCAAAGCTGCCTCTGCCTACACTGGGATTCCGCAAAAGAACACCAGGCAGCTAAGATGCTCACCAGGAAAGTTTAAAATCCAAACGCGACTTACCTCCGTTTTCGAACCGGCCACTACTGCTGGCCGGGAGAGGAGAATCTGATTTTGCTGCCTGCAAAAGCGAAGCCCCGCTGTTAGATGCATGGGTTGGTTCTACGGACGTTGCATCCTAGCAGCCGCACTAGTGACGAGGATACTGCAAAAAATGCACATGGTCGTTCAGGATCAACTCTTGATCTTGTGGCACTGCTCCAGAACACAGACGATCCCGACAGCTCGCCGCAGCCGCCGGCTGCTCGTCTATGCGGTGGCCCTGTGCGGGGGCGGTGCTCGCCTGGTGCGGGTGCATGAGCGCGAGCTCGTGCGGCGCGGCGGGCCAGAGGTCCATGAAGCGGTACCGGCGGACCAGCGCCTCCAGGCCGTCCTCCGCGCGCTCACCCGCGGCCACAGCGGCCTCGCGGCGCCGCTTTTCTACCTTGAGCAGGCTGCTCAAGTCGCCGTACGTGGCCTCGAACTGCACGAAGCGGGCCCACACCTGCAAACGGATAAAGCCGGCTTTTGCTTTGAAGGGCGGCAATAATGAGGGAACCAAGCTCAGTAACAGACGACCACGTGAGCACAGCAGATGCTACAACGATGCAACGGCAGATTTGAAAGTCTGCTCTTCGACCCAGGCTTTGCAGGGGACTTACAACCGTGCTCTCCCCCCAATTCCAAGCGTGCTCGCTGGTTCTCCTGTCCAGGCTGACAGCTATCTGAGATACTAGATTGGCTTTGCCTAAAGCGACAAGAGGGCACGCTCACCTTGGCGGATGCTGCAGGTGCTATGGCATTAAGTGCCCTTTCAAAGAGCACCCGGACGTTGGTATCGTCGTTCTGATGCTGCAGGAAGTCGATGTACCTGCCAATACACATACACTCGTCAACTGGTCACACGGACGAAGTTCGCCCACGATGAAGTCCATGCACGGGGAAAGGATTAGCACGTGACCAGATTACAGGACTAGCAACAGCAGTCTGACAATTGAGCAAATGGAGCACGTGGAGGGCTGCCCGTAGCGGCCTAAAGAGCACTTTGCAACGAAACTGCTGGGATTCGTGTTTATGAAATAAAAGGCTATGCAAAATGGGGTGTCTGTCTATGTAAAATGGGGTGTCTTTCTGTTTTCCGTAGCAATTTGAGTGGTGGAAAGTTCAGATTTGCGATTTTTTCGAGTAAAAGGCTATGCAAAACGTGGTGTCTATCTATGCAAAACGGGGGAACGGGAGGCCGCCCGGTAGTGGCGTGCAGGTGCTCACTGCAGGACGTATTCCGGTTCGTGGAGGTACTTCTTGAGGCCGTACTCGAAGATGTTCCTGGCGGTCTGCATGGCAAGCGCGCGCACAGGTCAGCCGCCAAGCGGGGGCGCAACCATGAGCAGGCAAGCCCAGGATTGCGCCAGTGGATTGCCCCAAGAACGGCAACTCCTTGCAAAACAGCGTGCGCTGGACGGATGGCGCTGACTGGCCGGGTGGGGCGTGAAATGGCAAGCGGCACACGAGTAGCGGGCATGCGGTGCGTACTTTGGGGTCCTTGTTGGCGGCCAGCTCCAGCTTGGCGGAGGCGACGAAGACGTGGTGGGTGCACGCTGGCGACTTGGTGGCCGTCAGAAACACCTTGCGCGCGGCGGCCATGCCCTCCGTCCGCTGCACGAACCGCATCAGCTGCACAGGAATGAAAGGCCCCGTAGGGCAAGCGCCTTTAGCCTCTTCCGTCGAATAGAGAGGGAGAACAGAAGTCGTCACACCGGGATGCGCTCCGGGAGGATCCTGCACATCACTCTTCTGGAACTTTTCTCCTACGGAAATAATTGCAATCTCCTCCCGTTGAGACTTGAAGCGACTGCAATAACAGAAGTCATAAGTTGGAGCAAAAGAGCTGCCTTTCTTTGCCACACCTGGATGTGCCCGAGCGCAGAGGCGGTCTCCTCCTTGTCTAGGAGGGAGCGGTAGAGTGCCTTGGCGGCGGGGCCGTTGCCGCGCAGCTCCTCCAGCTCAGCAAATGCGTAGTGCAGGGGCACGCTGGCAGGCAGGGCCCGCAGCGCGCGCTCGTACACGCGAGCGGCCGCCTCGGGGGAGTCGTGCTCCGCGGTCCACGCTGCGTACTCGAACCAGGGGTCCGCGTAGTGGTACAAGTAGAGCAGGCACTGCAGGGCGGCGGAAAAGGAGGGGGTGGGGCAGCAGCAGCGAGAATGAGAACAAGAGTGGCATAACAAATGAGGCGCCGCTTCCGGATATTGTTTGGCAAGTATAGCGTGAAGGAGGGCGGCTCAGTCGCCTGAAGGACAAGATAAGCCCGCGTGGGCAGAAAAGATTGAGGTCTTTGTAGTGAGAGCGGTAAGCGAAGAGGGTACCAGCAGCATACCTGTTCGTGGGCAAAAGTCACCCGCTTTGCCAAGGTCGTTGGGTTCAGCCGTTGCGGATTGGCCCTGTAATGGGATGGCAGGGACAAGGTGAGAGATCGTCTCCGATAATCCTTGTTTTCCTTTCGCACAACATGAATGGCAAGTCTGGAGCCCGCAAAGTCTCACGAGATCATCAAACAAAGCGCTGGGGATCGGCTCCCGCACGCTGTCCTCGGCATCCCTCCGCACCTTTCAAACGCGAGCAGCTGCTTCCAGGCCGCCAGCTGCTGGGCTTCCCGAGGCATGCCTCGCGGGGGCACGGCCAGGGCGGGGCGGGCTAGGCCGTCCGTCAGCGGCTTTCGCTCGCGCAGGGCGGCCTTGGCAGCGGCGTGCCGTGGCTGGAACTCGGCCAGCGTGACCTTGGCCTGTGCAAACAGCGGGGCGGTCAGGGCGGGGCTCTGCTATGAGCAACATGCTGCCACACGGACGGGCTGTGGGCTGCAAGACCAGGAGATGCGATGCAAAGGGTAGACGGGCACAAGTATCACTTGTAGGTGCACCTTTGTCAAAACCGACATAGGTAGATTCAACACGAATGGAGGTCGAGTCTAAGCAAGAGAGTCGGTGGTTATTTTGAAAAAAAAGGCACGCCTCAACACAGGTTCTAGAAGCGAGCTGCCACTACAAAAAGCTTGATTGTCTCACGCTTTGTTTGTTGGTCTCGTTCTCAAACGCCTCGTAATCACGCCAGAGCCCCTCCACCCCGTGCATGGGAATGACAACCGCTGCCTGGTAGACCGGACGCAGCAGCCCCGCAGTACGTGTCTCGTCCGAAGGCAGCGCCCCCGCCGTCTTCTTCACAAACGCGATGTACTGCTGCCACAAGGGTGCAGCTGACACGTCCTGCCCTGTACACGAGGAACAGGTGCAGGTAAAGCGGGGAGTGTCACATGTTCAACGCTCAGCTGCTTGTAGATGTCATCACATACAACAGCGCAGTTGTGCTGCTGGCCACTTGGCCGAGATTAACTTGCCGCGCGTTGAGACAAGCGGTGCAGGCCACGGCTTCATTGAAAGTCTCTGAACACTGTTAGGGCTGGTATTTGAAAGACTTGTTGTCATGGCTGCGTCGCCTGGCCCGGTACAAGAAGCTCCCCTCGCAATCAGACCTACGCCTGCTTCTCACCCGATGTCCGGCCGCTTCGGCTCACCGCCTTGCAGGGCCGCGAACCTCAACGGGTGGACCTTCGGCTGTGGCTTGCTCACCGATATGCTGGAGGGAGAAGTCATAGGCCTTGCGGATGTCCTCAATGCCGGGCCCCCCCCGGTCCTCGTTGGTGAGCGTGATGTAGCGCAGGTAAGAGCGCCAGAGGTCCAGGTCGCGCAGCAGCGGCAGGCAGCGGCTGAACACCGCCTTCACCGCCTCGTCGTCGCCCACGTCCATGTGCGCCTCCGCATACAGCCGCCAGTACGGGGCCTGAAGGAATGCGAGGGAGGAAACTGGGCTTCAAAAGATCAGAGGAGCCCAAGAAAGCACGGAGTTGAGCAGAGCGCGAGAGTGTTCGCAAGGTGCGAGAAAGCTGCCAGATTGATCACATGAGGACATCACATGCTTGGACGGGAACTTACTGAAGTTGGGAAGACCGAGAGGAGTTGTTCGTAGATTGCAGAAGCTTCGGAAATAGGGCGCCCCTGCAAAGTGGTTGGATGATGATCAGCTTTTGGATCTGGGTCAAAAGAAGGCCCGCACGTCTTCATCAAAGAGTCTGCAGGAAGGTTGGGGACAAGGGCCAGTGGTCACCTCCGAAGCAAGCACTTTCAAAAGCAACAAACACAGCAGAACGGACAGGATGAGGATGGGCGACTTATCTCTAAGAGATAGAGCCAAGACAGTTGTGTACCTGCGCTTCCTGGGCCAGCTCTGCCCAGGCATCCGTGTCATACTGGCTGGCTGCCACCCTCTCGCGCAGCTCCGACCCCTGGTAGAAGGCAGACAAGAGCAACACGAAACAGCGATCTAAGTAGGAACCAGCCTCCGCAGACAATCAATGAACGCATCTGAACATCGGAAGGGCGCACCTCACATAGGAGAGATTGCTGCACGCGCCCTCTACATGGAAATAGTGAGTGCAAGTCTCTGAGACCCATTCCCACCACCACGTATTGCCAGTTGCACATGAGTACACCATATTGCATCTCTTGATGACCGCCCGCAACTGTGATCATGCCATCATTCATGGATGCCCTGACTCCAGCCCGTGCATTAAGGAATGCACATTATGTCTAGTGCACCCGCGCGCCGCATACAGCTTGTGGCTAGGAGTACGAGAGATTTTGGCGTAGTTTAAAATGAAACCCCGGGACGAAACCTTCTGCCCACTATTTTGTAAAGTTCGTTCATGGACACTCCCAACCAGTGTGGAGCACGCCCATTTTAATAAGAGACAACAACAAGCTGAGAATGTGGCTCGGAGCAAGATCAGTGCTGGTGACCACAATATAACATGCAGCATTGCTTCCAGAAGGAGCGCCTCCCATCCAAAGACATGTGTCATTTGGTGACATTGAAGAGAAGACGCAGGTTTGCTCCAGGATCGCCAACCTTTTCATTTCTTGCAGGGGGAAGCACCGAAACATGGATTTGGGGCTGCCGGCTATCGCTGGCAACGACTTTAGACCCTGCCACCGTTGGTTCTTCCCCAGCCTCAGCCCCTTCCGTCTGCATGTCCGCGAGTGTCATTCCTAATTGGCTCTGTGGATTCAGCAAGAGTACACCGCCCCTTTCTCCACGAACCCAGGATATTCAATGCTGTTTCAGCATTAGATTAGTTCGACAATTTGAAACAACGGATAAAGAATAAGCTGTCAATCGACCAAACCTCCTTGTGAAGGAAAACATGCACTTCTTCGGCGACGCACCCATGCCCTCCTATCTTCCTCCAAGTCCCCCGTTGTCCTTGAGGCTACTTAGCTCTATCGACTTCATGTGGACTTGAGCTCATTCTTCCGGAACCTACAAGTGCTCAATTGCCTTGACAATGAATCTGGCAGTGGTATACAACTGAGCAAATCCCAAATGCTGCAGTCTCTGTCGCGTCGGCGTCTCTGCCATTGCGCCACTGGATTGAGCGACGAGCAGACGGCATTCTCGCGAGGTTTGTATTAGCCCAACCCAGAATCTAAGAAGTCTTAGTGGCCGGTACAAACTTCATCCGCAGCCCGTCAAGAAGTACAACGTGTACACCATTACCAGGCTCCAACCGGGCTGCCACACAACCGTTACCGATAACTCGCGGGTGCTCGTGCATTGCTTCATGTCGCCCTACATTTGAGCAGGCCCAGCCGGAGCTTGAGCCTTGACTACCTGAGCCTCTCCTGCTACAGCCAGTGCAAGTTGCTGAGCTCTTTGAAGTTGTCTGGCCGGCTTCAGAGTCAGAGGTTGGAACTTGGAAGGAGGAGGCGCACATTTTTGAAGGCAGTCTCAGGAGCAGACCTGTGCCAAAAGCTCTGGTTTGATTGTTCACAAATCCATTCTTGTATCAACATTACGTCTACACAAGGTTGTGTACGAGTGAGTAGAATTTTGCAGGAGGCCCTAGAGTACCCTGCTCTCTGTTGGTGGTTGTCATAATGAAGCTCTTCATCGAGGTGGAGATAAGCCCGGAGGAGCTGCCGGCGGCTGCTGAACTTTTCAAAACCCTCCGGTAAGGGGAACTGGGAGATTGCTTAGGATGCAGGCTGCGCAAAGAACAACCCCTCTGTGGGGTACTCATCAATTAGTCTGCTCATTGCGTAGAGGTTGAGCTCTTGTCTGAAGACTGGTCTAACAAGAAAGGAGTTTTACGTACCACTGCGGTCCGTCACGTAGTTTTAAAGGAGAATCAACGCTCTTAATCTAGGACTTCCGCTTATCTTTCTCTTGTCTTGCGCTCACAAACATTACGTGTCCTACATTGAAAATTGCATCATTGAGATGCAGCAAGTCCTTGTATTTGGCTCGTTGGAGAATTGCTTCCTGACCATACCTGACAGAATGAGCAGTTAGCTCGTTCCGTTGTTTTGGACAAATTGTTGATTGCATAAACTTGAGATGTCCAAACGGGCTTGATAATGGTGGTGATTTATGTGATCGTGATTGAAAATATCTTTCTCTGTTTCTGTGGTTCAACGTGGGGTTTCCCTTCCTGTGCAAGGATGTCTTTGTCCATGACTGACAGCGTTCTTACAGAATTGACTCCGAAAATTGCCTGTACAAGGCCGTTGCAGCAGCAGTCCAGCTTTTGGTCGAAGTTGGAAGGGCTAGAAGCGTCAATCAAAGAAAGGAATTGAGGGAAAAGCATGCTTCTCTCCCGGTCGCTGTCAGCGATCTGCGGAGTATTCACCAGGTTTGAATTCGTCTCTTTCAGGACCCTGACCGAGCATGTAAAGATTCGCACCCCTGGCGCTGCCCCCAGCCACGCTGTTGCTGCGCAGCCGCCGCCTGTCCCGCCGCCTCTCCAGGTCCCCCCACAGCAGACTGCGCCCCAGGCGCCGCCGCTGCAGGCCCCCCCTCCTCAAAACAACCTGGCCCAGGTGTGGCCGCTGCTGATCAAGAAGCTGTCCGACGCCAACCAGCTGAACCAGGTCGCTTCCGACATCACCAGGCTCCTACAGGCGGGAACAGACACCGACAAGGTGGGGCCGCTAGCCTGCCGCACAAGGCCCAAAGTCTGGTGGTGCCCAGAGGGCTTCGAAGTTGACATCCAAAACATTGGAGGACTGGAGGACGTGAAGAACAGAACGGTGTACTCCCAAGACGTTTCACTACGATAGACAGTGGGGAAAGTCGTTTGAGTGATACAGAGCCTTAATGAGCATGCCCCATAAGTTTTTCTGCGGTTTATTCTGTCAACAATTTGTTTTCCGCTGTGCAGAGTTTCAAGGATTTCCAGCAAGCATTTGTGAATGTCGTCTTCGACAAGGAGCTCGTCATGCGCCAGCAGAGTGTGGTTCCCTACATGTACCTAGTGCCCAGGTGAGCGCGCCATCGACAGCGGTCTGAGGGCCTCCACCGTCAATCTGTACCAGCATGCTTTTGATCCATACTGCAAAGCGAGCACAACCAGAGTCTGCGCTTCTTTCCGTTCTCTACAATCTACAAGGATGCACTTGCCACTGGTGGGTTCCGTTGTTTGTCCACGTGATGGTATTTAGTACCGCTTGTCAGTGCGAGTTGTGAACTTGACAATTGGGTCCCCTTGCAGACTTCCTGAGCCCTTCAAAGGCAAGTTGAGAGATGATCTGATTCCTCGAGTAAGTGCCTTTCATCCAAAATCTTTCCATTTTTTGCAACCCATCTCCAAAATCGGATGATAGAAGGTTTTGTAACTTGCCAGACTTCTTCATTTGCTGTGATCCGGGATTGTTGCGGTTGCAAACAGGCAGTTGTTGGTCGTCACAAAGTTTGACATCGCCGTTTCGGCCTCAGTTGCATCGAAGTTCGAAGAATGATGAATGGCCCGGTGCCTTTCCCTGCTCTTTCTGCCGCTTACCTGTACTCGCCCGCTTTGCTGATTCGCAATCGCTGTCGTTCGCCTCAGGTTTTGAAGCACTTGACGGTCAAGCGGCCAGTCGATGCCAGCCGGGCGGACTTCTTTGCTCAGGCGGAAGCGTTCGCTGCCCTGGTCAACATGGAGTTTGTCTCGATCACGGGTGAGACAACCCCGCCCAGCACTGCACCGCCGTGCCAGGCCGTTTCAATCGTATGTCTCCTCGATCTTCCCCCACCCCGTTCTGCAGCGTACAGGGTCGGAGTTCGCACGGAGTTGTTGCTTCGGGCGGCATTGACTTGCAGTCGATTCCCTGTTGTCAACGATCTGTGTTCCTGTCCCGTGCTGTGTTGCCCTTGTGGCAGGTCTTCTCAGTTGCGTTACTTCCTGTTGCTGCAGGTGCGGTGACCACGATCATCACTCTGTTGAAGAAGCCGGAGAACCGGTGTGCGGCCATCACCATGCTCGGGAAGACGGTCGAACTCTGCCTGCAACAGGTACGCTGCTCAGAAACGACTGCGGGGAACCCGCCCCGTCAGAGTGGGATACTGTAATGAATTCCTTTGTCTGAAGCATCTTCGTTTACTTTGGAACCAGGTGAAGCAAGCGTTTTGCTCGATAAGAACTGATGGAAGGCCGGCCACTTGACGAGTCCTGAAGTTGTCGTCTACAGGAGTCCTTCCTCCGTACTATATCAGCATTGTGCTCTGACGAGATTGCGGTTTGCCCGATTCTGACTGTTGGCGCTCGCCGGCCTGGTGCAGTTGACGGAGAAGTGCGAGCCGGAGAGCCTGAACAAGTTGCGGGCAGCCCTGCTGGAGGTCACGGAAGATGCGTTCCAGTGAGCGCCGCGCTGCTCACTCTGGAGTTTACCGCAAAAGCTTGACTGAAGGACAGCTCGTGACTTGACCTCCTAAGAGTGGCATCACGCAATGCTTGTCGAGGCATCGTGACGGGGCAGTAGGCCAACCAGCTTTGGTCTGCTCACATGCTGTCTCTGCTTGCTCTGCTGCAGTTACGACGTGGAGTACATCGAGGAGAGCATGGGCTGGACGCGGCAAGCCAACGGGATGCCATCCGGGATGCCGGGGGAGAACGGGGCCTTTGCAGGTAGAGTGTATTGAGAATCAGCCGAGGGGGGCGCCAGAGAGCGGAAGAGAGGCACACCCGGTGGTGGCGAGAGCGGCATAGGCCACAGGCCCGGGTGTCGAATGCTAACAGTAGAAAGGAGGGAGGGAAAGGCACTCGAAGAGAGGCAGAGACGTTTTACAACTGAGCTTCTCTGGTTCTGAATTGAGGGACTGTTAGAAGTATCAGATTAGTGCCTTTACAGACTGTGTTGAGCGGACCGTGTGAAACATTGGTCACAATGATGTGGGCATTCTGCTTGTTTTGGACCTCGGGGCGTGGCAATCCGCCGCGGCTTACCCACAAAGACTGTCCGAAAGCAACAAGCGAGCATACCAACCAGCCCCCATGAGTGACTCTCTTCGTCACGTCGTTTCCTGCTTCCCATGTTTGCCTTGGCACGGTTCTTGCCGATACTTCACCTTCATCTTTGACGTATGCTTTCTTACTCATCCCTGATGCTGCCCTTCGCCCTCTGATGTTGTCCTGCTTCTTTGATGTTCCCCTCTTTTTCTTGTCGCCTGATCGTCCTCAAAGTACCGTCTTCCTTCCCTTGTACTCGCTTCAAACTGTAGTCTCGTCTCTTGGTCATGTCTGGCTCGTCTTTCTGACGCGTCAGTATTTGAGGAAGTTTGTCTCCATGCCTGCTGCACGTTCACTGCTCGGTATCAGTGTAGTGTGTATTTACACGTGCCACCGGCAGGCTCCCCAAAGCTAACATTCTTTTGAAGAGAAAGCGACAGTACCCAGGTTTGCAGAGACTAAAGTTGGCGGCCCTCCCCGGCCGGGCTTGCTCGGCGATGCTGCCGTACTGTCCCCTTGGTGTGTCCTCTTTGTGGGCCGTGCGGTCTGCCTTGACCCGCGCGCTGCTCTCTTGCAAGTGCAGGCTCCACGGCGCTCCTCGAGGCCACACGATCGTATGCGGGCCACCAGTCCACCGTCTTTGCTTTGGCCTACGGTAAACCGCTATGTCGAGCTGTTGTTTTTGAGTAGATTTAGTTTTGATTAGACTTAAGTCTTTCAGAACGCTGTATCAACGATCGGTTCATCAGTGCCCTTAGGCGCTCCTCGCATAGACCTTGTCTCCTGACAATTGTCTTTCTGCTAGGGGCAGTCGGTTGTTGGCCGTGAACAGCTGCATTTGGGGCCATGTTTTTAGGCCTTGTATGTGCCCTGCACTTTGCCTTGCGATTCGCCCTCGGGCCCCCGTCTGCTTCCGTCCACGTACGACCGCCTTGGCCACGTGGCTCCGTGTGCGCTTATTTCCCCCAGATGTGGTGCGTGACCAGCTGGTGAGCGCCAGCCGCGACGGGACGCTGCTCGTCTGGTCGCCGGAGGGACAGGTGGGCGCGCACACACTCGCAGCACCGGCCATACCCGGTTCTCGAGGGGCTGGCATGCCGAGAAGTTAGTGGTCGCAAGTATGGGCTACTGTGTTTAACTCGGACCATTTGCAAGTCGCTTACACATGCTGCCCTTTTCGAGCTTGCCTGCTGTACGTTTCTGCCTCGAGGCTTTCGAGTTGTCCAGGAACTTCGCCCGGCCGTCCCCCGGCCGTCCGCCAGCTGCCTGCCTTGCCCGTGCAGGTGGTGGACACGCTGGCGGTGGGCGGCCACTACGCGTGCGGCATGGACATCAACCACGCCACCCGGACGCTCGTCATGTGCGGAGTCACCAAAGTGCGGACCCGGGCTAGCGTCCGCCCTTTCTTTTCGCTCTTTTTGAAGTCGGTTCTGAAGATTCAGGTCCTCTTGCTATCTGCGTTCGTTGGCGCTTTGCATGGTTCCGTTGGAGGTTCACGTTCTTCCTTCGAATACTGCTGGCTCGGGAACTCTTCTCAACGTACTATCCTCTTGCTGTTGACTCAAGAAGAAGCTTCGTAAGCCCTGGTCGCTGGCACTTCCTCCTGTCCTTGGGCCTTGGCGGGCCTGCTGTGTCGTCCTTCTCGACTCTGATGGCCCCCCCGGCGGATGTCGCGTGCAGGACGGGTCGGTGCCGGTTCCCCCCCTGGTGACCTTGTACGAGGCGAACGCGCGCAGCTGGCAGGAGACCGGCTCCACGCTGCGTTCCAACTCCAAGCTCGTCTCCTGCATTAAGGTGTGCCACCGCAGCTCGTCCCTGTCAGCAGGCTGGAAGAGCTTTTCTACGCAAGCAACTGCCGGTCGTTGCACGGGTAAGGTGACAACGTCGTACTTCGACGTGCGTGTGGCAGTGTGGCTGTAGTATGGCGGGGCTGATGCGGCGTGCTGCGGTGCAGGCCCTGGGCGATCAGAGCGAGCACGCATTCGTGACGGGGGAGACGCTGCACAGCCCGGGGTGAGGCCATCACACCACGCCGGGCTGCAGGCAATTTGTTTGCCCCTCTTTTCGAAATAGAAATGCGATTGGATCAGCTTTGCAAGGAAAGACTTATTACTTTAGGCACTTGCATCCTTTGGGACTTCACAGATGCCACAGCTTCACCGAGCACCTGTTGGTCTTGAATACCCTTTGCATTTGCGCGTACGTAGACGCCATGGCGTGCTTTGGTGTTCCTTTCGCGTATGTCTGGACCGCTCTCGTTCCTGGCTGTCCTCCAGGGTGGGCGGCAGCACGGAGGTGGTGTGCCTGTACGACGTGGCCCACCAGCGCACCAAGGGCGCCCCCTTCGCCGCCATCCAGCCCGTCCGCCAATACGCCGAGCACACGGTGAGCCACCGCGGGGACCCACGTGGCCGACGAGCACAAGCTCGGACCCAGCCGCGGCTGTGCGCTGCTGTGCCCCACAGGCTATGCGCGGCGTGTCTCGTTGCCAGCAGGCGGCACCGGTGTAGAAGCTCCAGAAGAGTCCCCTTACGAGGCCCTCTCGTTGGAGCTGCTGCGAATCTTGACTTTCTTTGAAACGGGACACAGTGCTCACCGTCTCACCTTGGTTGCGTTACAATCCAGGTCGCGCATCCTTTTGAAAGTTGCTGACATATTTCACCCTTGCTATTGTGGTCCTTATTGCTGTCCTGGGCTTCCAAAAACGCTCATGCCGAGCAACGCAAGAGAAGAGGGCATCAGCATTTGCCATGATTATTCCTCTTGAGGCAAAGCTTCCTTTTTGTCGTCTTCCAACGGCCCCCAGGATTCATCTTGCCTGGTGCGGTCTTGTGCAGAACCTGGTGACGTGCCTCTCGCTGTTCCCGCCCAACCCGAACGTGTTCTTCTCCGGCTCCCGCGACTGCACCGTCAAGGTCTGGGACAGGCGCAGTGACCGCTCCGTAGGTCAGCCGCCCGCCCCACCGCGCGAAAGCTTCTCTCTATCGCTGCCTGATCTACTTGGGCCACAGTAGCTTCTTCCGTGCCAAAGGACTCCCCTTTGTCCTTGTATGTCTTCCATTCGGAACCTTTGAAACGCCGATATCTTGCTAAAGAAAGCACTTTGTAAGAGCTAGCCACGCTTACATGCTGCCGAGGTCAACCACTTTGGGACCTCACGTGGCATTGCCGTCTCGCTCTAGTTGCGGGCCTGCGTGACGTCCCTTGTGCCCCCCCCCTTTGGTGCAGGCTGCTTTGGCGAGGCGCGGCCGGGCGGCGGCGTGCAGGCGCACAGCGCGATGGTGACGTGCGTGGACGCGCTGGAGCCGTCGGCCATTGTGTCGTCGGGCATGGAGGGCACCGTGCACCGCTGGGACTTCCGCAAGCTCGCCACGCAGGTCAGCGCGCGTAGCAGATTGCTAGCCAAGGGGACCCACGCAGGCAATTGCTTCAGGAATACCTGCGGGTTTGCTGATTTTGAGAGGATTAGAAGTATCGTTCTAGATGGGGGAAGCTTTGTGTCGTAAACATGGACTCTTCACAGGCCTACACTTTATCTGTGCTGACGCGGGCTTCCTCGTCCAATTTTGGTCCGAAGTCCCATCCTCAGCTTAGAGTAATATTTTTGGTTCGGCGTCTCATCTTCGGAATTGCTCGAGCCCATCTTCGGAATTTCGAAGCTTACGCGAACTGCTCTGCTATTGGCTGAGCTACCTCTCACTTCCGTCGTGCTGTCTGCCTGACCGTGTCCTGCGCGACTGTGGCGCAGGCCGGCGCGGGCAGCCCCCCTGTGTCGACGCTGCACGTGGACGGGAGCGCCATCATGAAGGTGGCCCTCCGAGATGCGCACACCGCCGCCGTCAGCACGCTGCGCGGCCTCTACACCGCCGACATCGCAGCACCCGCACCGCAAGGTGCGCCCCTGCCCCGGACTGCTGCATCCCCGTACGTTGGCGTTGCCACTTGCAGACGCTGCTTCACCGTGTGTTGCCCTGATATTGTACTGCTGTACTTCTTGTCTTGTGCACCATGTGATTGCAACGGCGAGCGCTCCTCGAGAGCCTCGTGCTGACCCGAGGACGGCTTGGCCAAAGCCTTTCTGCCACCAGCACATCATAGTCAGAACTGCCCATCGGCGCTCTGGCGCGGCCTGCGCAGCCGTTGTCTGTTGCTCGTGTCTGCGGCTCTCGGCAGCAGCGGCCCGGGGCCACGACGACTTCCGACCCCCTCGCCAGTGACCGCCTGTGTGCATATGTGCAGCTCATGCGGCTACACCATTTGCCGACAAGCGGCGGGTGGGTCGCTATCACGACCTGCGCTGGGGCAAGGATCGGAAGCAGCTCTTTGCTGGGGGGGAGGACTGCCGCGTCGACGTGTATGCAGTCAAGTGAGGCACTCTCGCGCTATGTGGGCAGGGCTCGATCGGGGCTACGACATATGCATCCTCGAGATCATTCGTTTCTAGGTCGCATGGGCATCAAAGAAGAGGCCGATCGAAGCGTCAGCTCGAATCTACACAAATGACGTGACATAATCAATTAGGTTTTCAGTCAGGTTCATTTTTGACTTCAAGAGTTTGATTGTGGGTATTGCTTCAAGATACATTTTAAGCAAATGGGTTTGTCGGTGCTTTAGCGTTAGGTACAAGGAGACTCCTGGTATGTAGGCACCTTCATATACAAGTGATCATCGGGTTATCTTTGTTGAGTGCGCTCCTAACTCTGATTGGCATATGGTGACAGAGGTGGATTTGAAGCAGTACGCAAGAGAAAGCGCGGCAGTGACCCTTGTGCAGAAAGGATGGTCCAAGGTTCCTTTGCGCTTGGAATGCACAGGCGCCGCCGCCACATGGTCCGACCCCCGGGGTCATTTACCAGATTAGGGTCATATGCATGTTTATAACTGAACATCATGCAGTATATAATCGAATCAAATGCAAGCGGGCAGCTAGGAGCCAGGCTGGCAGCTGTACGTCGATGCGGACCGACGGTCCATATATGACTCTCTTGCATGTCTTCCGGCACGCGTGACCGGTTAAGAAGTTCTAAGCTTGATTCTTGCCGCCAATTAAGCTGGTTTGCCGCCATGACATATATGTTGCGGTGGGCCGGCCGGCCTTAGCTTGCCTTTTCCATCCAACGCGGCCCGGCGGTCATTGCAATGACACAAG